GCAAAATCGTTTCGGTGGTAAAGTAACTATGAATTTTCTGCATTACAGACAAAGTGGAGTGGAGTCAATATACCGGCGGTTACACATTCTGTTCATAAACTCAATATTGGAAGTATATTAATCCTACAATTTAGATGTTTGTGGCTCATCAAAGGCGGTATTTTATAAATAAAGCCCATTTAACTTATTTATCAGAAACATTTTATTATATCTGCGTAAGAAAAGAACCAGTTGATATGTTACTGATGCTTTATCATGATCTGAAGGATGAATTAAACTATATCAACAATAGATAAAGGTTCCTGCAACTTATCGTTCAAAGCTACGTAGTGATAACTTTGTGATGCCTCTCGATCAAATGTTATCGTTAGTTATTTAATCTAAATGAGGCTCTCTATGAAATTTAGATTAATATTACATATATATATATAAATACAAGGATTAGGATAAACAAAATATTCATGTGCTTGTTTAACTTCCTAACATAACATCCACAGAATTAAACAAACAACTTCAACATGGAAAATTTCAAAGTAAATGATTCAACAGAAAAATTGCTTTCAATGGTAAGATAATGGTCTTTTTCTTATATACACATTTAGGTAAAAAACTATTTAGCAGATGGGAAGTTGGGTTTATATTTGTATAACCTAATTAATTCTGATTCTCTTATAATTTTTAGAGCCTGAAAGAGGTATTGACATTGGATGAGAATTTGAAACAACATCCTTCAACTGAAGATAGATTGCTACGCAAGAAACAAAGCATCATGAAAAGAATTAGAAAATCGCAAATAAAGTCTGCAAGTGATTCTCCATTAGTTTCACCCAGAAGTGTACGAGAAAATTATGAAAATATATCTCCGGCTCAGATGTACAACAAGATAGAAATGATAATTCAGAAAAACAGCTCAAAGAAGCAATCTCCTCGTCGCGTAGTTCCTTATCCTGCTTTGAAATCTCGCAGAATGGTTTCTCCATCGAAGTCTTTGTGGATGCATGTTGTAAGACGACAACATGGCAAATTATGCAACAACAGAGTTTAAAATATATTTCTAAGCAAATTTTATCATTTTGAAACTCTTCCAATTGTTACGTATATTAAACATTGACTTGAGAAAAATATTTTCTTTACATTTACCAATTTTTTTGTGCATATTTATATACTTATAAAACAATATCACAAATTATATCTTTGAATTAAGGGTGGCGACAGATTTATCAAATATGGAAAATCATACCAATCTGAGTGAAACAGGATGAAATCAGTGCATAATCATGATGTTAATTCTTTTTTTTTTCAATATATTTCTAATTAATTTTATCATTATGAAAGTGTTCCAATTGTTACGTATATTTACCATTGACCGGAGAAAAACATTTTTTTTACTTTTAGCAATTTTTTCGTGTAAAAAAAATTATTACAAATTATATCTTTGAAATAAGGGTAGCAACCGATTTATCAATTATAGACAATCACACCAATGTGAGTAAAACAGGATGAAATCAGTGTAGAATTACATAATCATAATGTTAATTCTTTTTTTGTGAGTGGTAGTATGCTTGAAAAACGACGGGCGCTAAACACAGTAGAGTGAGTACCTTTTTGCAAAAACGCTTCGACAATAAATAAACTCGAGAGATAATGGTTTTTAGCGAGTACAACCATATGCGGAGAAGATGTTTCATGTAAATCACCCTCTGTAAACAGTTGAAAAAATAAACATAATATAACTTTTTCTCTTTGTATTGAATAATATTACTGTCTAGTCCGTATAACTAAGTATTGGAGGGAGTGTTCAAAATTGTAGTCATTCACCTTCACAAATAATATTTATAATTTTTTTCATGACTCCCAACATAGCAAAACTGTGCGTTCAAACGTTTTTCTCTTCTATATTTCAAAACACATATTCTATTACATCTTCTGTTTTAATCTCAGTGCTGCACAAACGCTACAGTTTACAGAACCCGGTAAAAGCAAATTTCGTAAACACATAAGGAAAGATTTCAAAAAATATTCCGGTAAATTTTGTTGAGTCTGTTTTGTTCATCTTTTAAAGACGAATCTGTCAAAAAATTATATTTTGCAAATCGAACATTGGATTCGAAGATTCTGGAAAATCACAACAATATGAGAAGAACAGGATGAAATCAGTGTAGAATCAAATAATCATGATGGTAATTCCTTTTTGTGAGTTTTAGTATCAGTAACTGAAGAAACGTGTTCAATTCCAGATAAATCTTACTTTGCAAAATCGTTTCGGTGGTAAAGTAACTATGAATTTTCTGCATTACAGACAAAGTGGAGTGGAGTCAATATACCGGCGGTTACACATTCTGTTCATAAACGCAATATTGGAAGTATATTAATCCTACAATTTAGATTTTGTGGCTCATCAAAGGCGGTATTTTATAAATAAAGCCCATTTCACTTATTTATCAGAAACATTTTATTATATCTGCGTAAGAAAAGAACCAGTTGATATGTTACTGATGCTTTATCATGATCTGAAGGATGAATTAAACTATATCAACAATAGATAAAGGTTCCTGCAACTTATCGTTCTAAGCTACGAAGTGATAACTTTGTGATGCCTCTCGATCAAATGTTATCGTTAGTTATTTAATCTAAATGAGGCTCTCTTTGAAATTTAGATTAATATTACATATATATATATAAATACAAGGATTAGGATAAACAAGATATTCATATGCTTGTTGAACTTCCTAATATAAGATCCACAGAATTAAACAAACAACTTCAACATGGAAAGTTTCAAAGTAAATGATTCAACAGAAAAATTGCTTTCAACGGTAAGATAATGGTCTTTTTCTTATATACACATTTAGGTTAAAAACTATTTAGCAGATGGGAAGTTGGGTTTATATTTGTATAACCTAATTAATTCTGATTCTCTTATAATTTTTAGAGCCTGAAAGAGTTATTGACATTGGATGAGAATTTGAAGCAACATCCTTCAACTGCAGATAGATTATTTTTGCTACGCAAGAAACAAAGCAACATGAAAAGAATTAGAAAATCACAACTAAAGTCTGCAAGTGATTCACTATTAGTTTCACCCAGAAGTGTACGAGAAAATTATAAAAATATATCTCCGGCTCAGATGTACAACAAGATGGAAATGATAAATCAGAAATACAGCACAAAGAAGCAATCTCCTCGTCGCGTAGTTCCTTATCCTGCTTTGAAATTCCGCAGAATGGTTTCTCCATCGACGTCTTTGTGGATGCATGTTGTAAGACGACAACATGGCAAATTATGCAACAACAGAGTTTAAAATATATTTCCAAGCAAATGTTATCATTTTGGAACTCTTCCAATTGTTACGTATATTTAACATCGACTTGAGAAAAATATTTTCTTTACATTTACCAATTTTTTTGTTCATATTTATATACTTAAAAAACAATATCACAAATTATATCTTCGAATTAAGGGTGGCGACAGATTTATCAAATATGGAAAATCACACCAATCTGAGTGAAACAGGATGAAATCAGTGCATAATCATGATGTTAATTCTTTTTTTTTAATATATTTCTAATTAATTTAATGATTATGAAAGTGTTCCAATTGTTACGTATATTTACCGTTGACTTGAGAAAAACATTTTTATTACTTTTAGCAATTTTTTCGTGTATACATATATATTTAAAAAAAATTATTACAAATTATATCTTTGAAATAAGGGTAGCAACCGATTTATCAATTATAGACAATCACACCAATATGAGTAAAACAGGATGAAATCAGTGTAGAATTACATAATCATAATGTTAATTCTTTTTTGTGAGTGGTAGTATGCTTGAAGAAAGACGGGCGTTAAACACAGTAGAGTGAGTACCTTTTTGCAAAAACGCTTCGACAATAAATAAACTCGAGAGATAATGGTTTTCAGCGAGTACAACCATATGCGGAGAAGATGTTTCATGTAAATCACCCTCTGTAAACAGTTGAAAAAATGAACATAATATAACTTTTTCTCTTTGTATTGAATAATATTACTGTCTAGTCCGTATAACTAAGTATTGGAGGGAGTGTTCAAAATTGTAGTCATTCACCTTCACAAATAATATTTATAATTTTATTAATGACTCCCAACATACCAAAACTGTGCGTTCAAACGTTTTTCTCTTCTATATTTCAAAACACATATTCTATTACATCTTCTGTTTTAATCTCAGTGATGCACAAACGCTACAGTTTACAGAACCCGGCAAAAGCAAATCTCGTAAACACATAAGGAAGTATTTCAAAAAATATTCCGTTAAATTTTGTTGAGTCTGTTTTGTTCATCTTTTAAAGACGAATCTGTCAAAAAATTATATTTTGCAAATCGAACATTGGATTCGAAGATTCTTAAAAATCACAACTATATGAGAAGAACAGGATGAAATCAATGTAGAATCAAATAATCATGATGGTAATTCCTTTTTGTGAGTTGTATTATCAGTAACTGAAGAAACGTGTTCAATTCCAGATAAATCTTTCTTTGCAAAATCGTTTTGGTGGTGAAGAAACTATGAATTTTTTGCATTACAGACAAAGTGGAGTGGAGTCAATATATCGGCGGTTACACATTCTGTTTTGATAAACTCAATATTGGAAGTATATTAAATCTTACAATTTAGATGTTTGTGGCTCATCAAAGGCGGTATTTTATAAATGAAGCCCATTTCACTTATTTATCAGAAACATTTTATTATATCTGCGTAAGAAAAGAACCAGTTGATATGTTACTGATGCTTTATCATGATCTGAAGGATGATTTAAACTATATCAACAATAGATAAAGGTTCCTGCAACTTATCGTTCTAAGCTACGTAGTGATAACTTTGTGATGCCTCTCGATCAAATGTTATCGTTAGTTATTTAATCAAAATGAGGCTCTCTTTGAAATTTAGATTAATATTACATATATATATATAAATACAAGGATTAAGATAAACAAAATATTCATATGCTTGTTTAACTTCCTAACATAAGATCCACAAAATTAAACAAACAACTTCAACATGGAAAATTCCAAAGTAAATGATTCAACAGAAAAATTGCTTTCAATGGTAAGATAATGGTCTTTTTCTTATATACACATTTAGGTTAAAAACTATTTAGCAGATGGGAAGTTGGGTTTATATTTGTATAACCTAATTAATTCTGATTCTCTTATAATTTTTAGAGCCTGAAAGAGTTATTGACATTGGATGAGAATTTGAAGCAACTTCCTTCAACTGCAGATAGATTATTTTTGCTACGCAAGAAACAAAGCAACATGAAAAGAATTAGAAAATCACAAATAAAGTCTGCAAGTGATTCTCTATTAGTTTCACCCAGAAGTGTACGAGAAAATTATGAAAATATATCTCCGGCTCAGATGTACAACAAGATGGAAATGATAATTCAGAAAAACAGCTCAAAGAAGCAATCTCCTCGTCGCGTAGTTCCTTATCCTGCTTTGAAATCTCGCAGAATGGTTTCTCCATCGAAGTCTTTGTGGATGCATGTTGTAAGACGACAACATGGCAAATTATGCAACAACAGAGTCCAAAGTATATTTCTAAGCAAATTTTATCATTTTGAAACTCTTCAAATTGTTACGTATATTTAACATTGACTTGAGAAAAATATTTTCTTTACATTTACCAATTTTTTTGTGCATATTTATATACTTAAAAAACAATATCACAAATTATATCTTCGAATTAAGGGTGGCGACAGATTTATCAAATATGGAAAATCACATCAATCTGAGTGAAACAGGATGAAATCAGTGCATAATCATGATGTTAATTCTTTTTTTTTAAATATATTTCTAATTAATTTTATCATTATGAAAGTGTTCCAATTGTTACGTATATTTACCGTTGACTTGAAAAAAACATTTTCTTTACTTTTAGCAAATTTTTTGTGTATATATATATATTTAAAAAAAATTATTACAAATTATATCTTTGAAATAAGGGTAGCAACCGATTTATCAATTATAGACAATCACACCAATATGAGTAAAACAGGATGAAATCAGTGTAGAATTACATAATCATAATGTTAATTCTTTTTTGTGAGTGGTAGTATGCTTGAAAAAAGACGGGCGCTAAACACAGTAGAGTCAGTACCTTTTTGCAAAAACGCTTCGACAATAAATAAACTCGAGAGATAATGGTTTTTAGCGAGTACAACCATATGCGGAGAAGCTGTTTCATGTAAATCACCCTCTGTAAACAGTTGAAAAAAAAAACATAATATAACTTTTTCTCTTTGTATTGAATAATATTACTGTCTAGTCCGTATAACTAAGTATTGGAGGGAGTGTTCAAAATTGTAGTCATTCACCTTCACAAATAATATTTATAATTTTATTAATGACTCCCAACATAACAAAACTGTGCGTTAAAACGTTTTTCTCTTCTATATTTTAAAACACATATTCTATTACATCTTCTGTTTTAATCTCAGTGCTGCACAAACGCTGCAGTTTACAGAACCCGGTAAAAGCAAATCTCGTAAACACATAAGGAAGTATTTCAAAAAATATTCCGTTAAATTTTGTTGAGTCTGTTTTGTTCATCTTTTAAAGACGAATCTGTCAAAAAATTATATTTTGCAAATCGAACATTGGATTCGAAGATTCTGGAAAATCACAACAATATGATAAGAACAGGATGAAATCAGTGTAGAATCAAATAATCATGATGGTAATTCCTTTCTGTGAGTTGTAGTATCAGTAACTGAAGAAACGTGTTCAATTCCAGATAAATCTTTTTTTGCAAAATCGTTTTGGTGGTGAAGAAACTATTAATTTTCTGCATTACAGACAAAGTGGAGTGGAGTCAATATACCGGCGGTTACACATTCTGTTCATAAACTCAATATTGAAAGTATATTAAATCTTACAATTTAGATGTTTGTGACTCATCAAAGGCGGTATTTTATAAATAAAGCCCATTTCACTTATTTATTAGAAACATTTTATTATATCTGCGTAAGAAAAGAACCAGTTGATATGTTACTGATGCTTTATCATGATCTGAAGTATGAATTAAACTATATCAACAATAGATAAAGGTTCCTGCAACTTATCGTTCAAAGCTACGTAGTGATAACTTTGTGATGCCTCTCGATCAAATGTTATCGTTAGTTATTTAATCTAAATGAGGCTCTCTTTGAAATTTAGATTAATATTACATATATATATATATAAGTACAAGGATTAGGATAAACAAAATATTCATATGCTTATTTAACTTCCTAACATAAGATCCACAGAATTAAACAAACAACTTCAACATGGAAAATTTCAAAGTAAATGATTCAACAGAAAAATTGCTTTCAATGGTAAGATAATGGTCTTTTTCTTATATACACATTTAGGTTAAAAACTATTTAGCAGATGGGAAGTTGGGTTTATATTTGTATAACCTAATTAATTCTGATTCTCTTATAATTTTTAGAGCCTGAAAGAGTTATTGACATTGGATGAGAATTTGAAGCAACATCCTTCAACTGCAGATAGATTATTTTTGCTATCCAAGAAACAAAGCAACATGAAAAGAATTAGAAAATCACAAATGAAGTCTGCAAGTTATTCTCCATTAGTTTCACCCAAAAGTGTACGAGAAAATTATGAAAATATATCTCCGGCTCAGATGTACAACAAGATGGAAATGATAATTCAGAAAAACAGCTCAAAGAAGCAATCTCCTCGTCGCGTAGTTCCTTATCCTGCTTTGAAATCTGGCAGAATGGTTTCTCCATCGAAGTCTTTATGGATGAATGTTGTTAGACGACAACATGGCAAATTATGCAACAACAGAGTTTAAAATATATTTCTAAGCAAATTTTATAATTTTGAAACTCTTCCAATTGTTACGTATATTTAACATTGACTTAAGAAAAATATTTTCTTTACATTTACCAATTTTTTTGTGTATATTTATATACTTAAAAAACAATATCACAAATTATATCTTTGAATTAAGGGTGGCGACAGATTTATCAAATATGGAAAATCACATCAATCTGAGTGAAACAGGATGAAATCAGTGCATAATCATGATGTTAATTCTTCTTTTTTAAATATATTTCTAATTAATTTTATCATTATATAGTGTTCCAATTGTTACGTATATTTACCATTGACTTGAAAAAAACAATTTCTTTACTTTTAGCAAATTTTTTGTGTATTTATATATATTTAAAAAAAATTATTACAAATTATATCTTTGAAATGAGGGTAGCAACCGATTTATCAGATATAGACAATCACACCAATATGAGTGAAACAGGATGAAATCAGTGCCTAATCATGATGTTAATTCTTCTTTTTTTTAAATATATTTCTAAGCAAATTTTATTATTTTGAAAGTGTTCCAATTGTTACGTATATTTACCATTGACCTGAGAAAAACCTTTTCTTTACTTTCAACAATTTTTTTGTGTATTTATATATATTTAAAAAAAATTATTACAAATTATATCTTTGAAATGAGGGTAGCAACCGATTTATCAAATATAGACAATCACACCAATATGAGTGAAACAGGATGAAATCAGTGTAGAATTACATAATCATGATGTTAATCCATTTTTGTGAGTGGTAGTATGATTGAAAAAGACGGGCGCTAAACACAGTGGACACGTTTTGGTGGTGAAGAAACTATGAATTTTCTGCATTACAGACAAAGTGGAGTGAAGTCAATATACCGGCGGTTACACATTCTGTTCATAAACTCAATATTGAAAGTATATTAAATCTTACAATTTAGATGTTTGTGGCTCATCAAAGCGGTATTTTATAAATAAAGCCCGTTTCACTTATTCATCAGAAACATTCTATTATATCTGCGTAAAAAAAGAACCAGTTGATATGTTACTGATGCTTTATCATGATTTGAAGGATGAATTAAACTATATCAACAATAGATAAAGGTTCCTGCAACTTATCGTTCAAAGCTACGTAGTGATAACTTTGTGATGCCTCTCGATCAAATGTTATCGTTAGTTATTTAATCTAAATGAGGCTCTCTTTGAACTTTAGATTAATATTACATATATATATAAATACAAGGATTAGGATAAAAAAAATATTCATATGCTTGTTGAACTCCCTAACATAAGATCCACAGAACTAAACATACAACTTCAACATGGAAAATTTCTAAGTAAATGATGCAACAGAAAAATTGCTTTCAAAGATAAGATAATGGTCTTTTTCTTATATACACATTTAGGTTAAAAACTATTTAGCAGATGGGAAGTTGGGTTTACATTTGTATAACCTATTAATTCTAATTATTTTATAATTTTTAGAGCCTGAATGAGTTATTGACATTGAATGAGAATTTGAAGCAACATTCTTCAACTGCAGATAGATTATTTTTGCTACGCAAGAAACAAAGCAACATGAAAAGATTAGAAAATCACAAATAAAGTCTGCAAGTGATTCTCCATTAGTTTCACCCAGAAGTGTGCGAGAAAATGATGAAAATATATCTCCGGCTCAGATGTACAACAAGATGGAAATGATAATTCAGAAAAACAGCTCAAAGAAGCAATCTCCTCGTCGCGTAGTTCCTTATCCTGCTTTGAAATCTCGCAGAATGGTTTCTCCATCGAAGTCTTTGTGGATGCATGTTGTAAGACGACAACATGGCAAATTATGCAACAACAGAGTTTAAAATATATTTCTAAGCAAATTTTATCATTTTGAAACTCTTCCAATTGTTACGTATATTTAACATTGACTTGAGAAAAACGTTTTCTTTACTTTTAGCAATTTTTTTGTGTATATTTATTTATTTAAAAAAAATTATTACAAATTATATCTTTGAAATGAGGGTAGCAACCGATTTATCAAATATAGACAATCACACCAATATGAGTAAAACAGGATGAAATCAGTGTAGAATTACATAATCATGATGTTAATTCTTTTTTGTGAGTGGAAGTATGATTGAAAAAAAACGGGCGCTAAACACAGTAGAGTGAGTACCTTTTTGCAAAAACGCTTCGACAATAAATAAATTCGAGAGATAATGGTTTTTAGCGAGTACAACCATAAGCGGAGAAGATGTTTCATGTAAACCACCCTCTGTAAACAGTTGAAAAAATAAACATAATATAACTTTTTCTCTTTGTATTGAATAATATTACTGTCTTGTCCGTATAACTAAGTATTGGAGGGAGTGTTCAAAATTGTAGTCATTCACCTTCACAAATAATATTTATAATTTTATTAATGACTCCCAACATACCAAAACTGTGCGTTCAAACGTTTTTCTCTTCTATATTTCAAAACACATATTCTATTACATCTTCTGTTTTAACCTAAGTGCTGCACAAACGCTACAGTTTACAGAACCCGGTAAAAGCAAATCTCGTAAACACATAAGGAAGTATTTCAAAAAATATTCCGTTAAATTTTGTTGAGTCTGTTTTGTTCATCTTTTAAAGACGAATCTGTCAAAAAATTATATTTTGCATTCTGTTCATAAACTCAATATTGAAAGTATATTAAATCTTACAATTTAGATGTTTGTGGCTCATCAAAGGCGGTATTTTATAAATAAAGCCCATTTCACTTATTTATCAGAAACATTTTATTATATCTGCGTAAGAAAAGAACCAGTTGATATGTTACTGATGCTTTATCATGATCTGAGGTATGAATTAAACTATATCAACAATAGATAAAGGTTCCTGCAACTTATCGTTCTAAGCTACGTAGTGATAACTTTGTGATGCCTCTCGATCAAATGTTATCATTAGATATTTAATCTAAATGAGGCTCTCTTTGATATTTAGATTAATATTACATATATATATATATAAATACAAGGATTAGGATAAACAAAACATTCATATGCTTGTTGAACTTCCTAACATAAGATCCACAGAATTAAACAAACAACTTCAACATGGAAAATTTCAAAGTAAATGATTCAACAGAAAAATTGCTTTCAATGGTAAGATAATGGTCTTTTTCTTATATACACATTTAGGTAAAAAACTATTTAGCAGATGGGAAGTTGGGTTTATATTTGTATAACCTAATTAATTCTGATTCTCTTATAATTTTTAGAGCCTGAAAGAGTTATTGACATTGGATGAGAATTTGAAGCAACATCCTTCAACTGCAGATAGATTATTTTTGCTACGCAAGAAACAAAGCAACATGAAAAGAATTAGAAAATCACAAATAAAGTCTGCAAGTGATTCTCCATTAGTTTCACCCAAAAGTGTACGAGAAAATTATGAAAATATATCTCCGGCTCAGATGTACAACAAGATGGAAATGATAATTCAGAAAAACAGCTCGAAGAAGCAATCTCCTCGTCGCGTAGTTCCTTATCCTGCTTTGAAATCTCGCAGAATGGTTTCTCCATCGACGTCTTTGTGGATAAATGTTGTTAGACGACAACATGGCAAATTATGCAACAACAGAGTTTAAAATATATTTCTAAGCAAATTCTATCATTTTGAAACTCTTCCAATTGTTACGTATATTTAACATTGACTTGAGAAAAATATTTTCTTTACATTTACCAATTTTTTTGTGTATATATATATACTTAAAAAACAATATCACAAATTATATCTTCGAATTAAGGGTGGCGACAGATTTATCAAATATGGAAAATCACACCAATCCGAGTGAAACAGGATGAAATAAAATAGGAAAACTGTAACGTTTTTCTTCCCCATATAATAAAACACATATTCTATTACATCTTCTGTTCTAGTACAGTACTGCACAAACGCTATAGTTTACAGAACTCGGTAACAGCAAATCTCGGAGACAGATAAGAAATATTTCAAAAAACATTCTTTGACATTTTGTTTAAACTGTTTTGTTCATAATTTAAAAGACGAATCTGTCGAAAATTTATGTTTTTGCATATCAAACATTCGATTCGACGAATGTGCAAAATCACACCAATCTGAGAAAAACATGATGAAATCAGTGTAGAAACATGATAATGATGATAATTCCACTTTGTGAGTTGTAGTATCAGTAACTAAAGACACGTGTTGAATTCCAGATAAATCTTTTTTTTTGCAAAAACGTTTCGGTGGAAAAGAAACTATAAATTTTTGCCAATACAGACAGAAGGGATAGGGACGTTATACCTGCAGTTGCACATTCTGTTCATAAACTCAATATTGAAAGTATTATATATCGCAGAAGTTTAGATGTTTTTTGGCTCTCGGGAAACTGCCACTGAAACATATATTCAAGAAATGAGTTAATTTTGTTTGTCGTTGACGTTGAATTTCTGAAGTCGTGACTTTATGCCCACGAAAGGGTATGCACATGCACGGACGCGTTTGTGTCCTTAGACAAAATTGCTCCGATTATTACATTGCTTCCACTCATATGAAAGTCGAGCGTCCTCAAACGCAAAAACTCGAAATCATGAGTTTCCGATACCATGGGACAGAATGCGCGTCCAAACCTCCAACACACCTAAAATTCAGAAGATTTGGGACTGATGTCGATTTTTTTCAATTGTCCTGCATACAAAGTTCCCGATATATTTTTGCGTGTTCTGAAACAGTCAATTTTAGTTGTTTTGCATATGGAAAGTGGAAAAGCAGATTCAATTTCCAAATTGAATTTTTCATAATTGTTTAAATATAGGATTAACCAATATGTAATGGGAGCAAAGATCTATTGCATTACAAAGTCAAGCGTATTATTGGCGAGCAACGTCACCAATATAAGATGGCGATTCCACATATGCGAGTTCTGAAACCCAGGTATTTGGTTTGTGCATGTGTGGACGCTTGGTGTCGCGTCTGGAACAAAATCTTAGCTGCATATGAACAATTGGGTTCTGTGTGATCGCCTCAAGTTTAGAATTTCATACGTGGGCGCACTCTTAGTGCCCACTTAACTGTAACACGTAACGTTTTTAAGCAGTGCTTCACATAATTTCATTGCCCAACTCCTGTACACAACCTTACATCATACGCGAGAAAAGACGACAATTTTACAAACCGAGTTTATTTTATTTATGATACGAAACTAGGAAAAACAAACACGTTACAGACCTTCTGTAAAACCGCCTGACAACTAGGTAATAATAATCAAAATATAATCACGTGGCAATTCACGTTGAATCGAAAAAAAAAAGCAAAAAAATAATTAGCAAAAAATCAAAAAAGCTAACAATGGAATGATTATCAGAAAATAATAAACGCCAAATTACTGATCGCTTACAAACAAACCCAATTCTACAAAACCGATATTTGTAACTAAGCAAAAATTATCATTTTGAAAATATTAAATTATTAACAATAATAATAACGGTAACAACAAGAACACAATATGATTTGGCACGCCTCTACTTTCAAAAAATAAGAAACAGGCAGTTTTATTTATAAACAGTCGTATTATTACAGTACCGGGGCTTTTTTCACAGCTTTATGAAAATGGAACGGTATAATATAATATATGGGAGGTTAGAACCATAACGAGAAGCAATATTATATATGAAATTGTCCAAGAGGATACCGAGAATATCCAAAAAAAGACAAATATGAGTGTGATACAAGGACTGCAATCAGGCCAAGTTATGCAGAGAAATAGGAATACATTTATCCATTTGTATCTACAATCAACCCGCAGTATGCAATATCATGCAAATCGCAATTTTAACATACCATATAATCCCTTACTTAATTGACTAATTTAAATACAAGTGATTTCAAGCAGCATACAATGTGATTATCGATTTTATCTTGAGAGCGATTAAAAACGATTTGATTCCAGAGCAGAAGAAGGTAAAAAGATGCCTCTATTTGTCCCCAATGGGTACTGCCGGTTGACAAATTCTGTGGGTTAACGGTATGAATGCAGAGTCACAGTCACAGTGTATGCCTGACTTAGCGCAACCTGTCTTCTTCATCACTTGGGTTGCATAATCAATTGGAATACCAAGATAATTTGCTCCACATTGAACAAAATTGGCCAGGAACTACTATACCGATTAAAATATTGACATTGCCCCCACCAGAGAAACACTAGCCTGTTACGCCAGACATTGCCATTTTTTCGATTTTGCTTGGTTGTATAGAGAAGTCTCCATGAACAACTCAAACAACCTGGCTGGAGGAAAACCTCTCTTCGCGACAAGCCTCTTGGTATGTGGGAAGACGCAGGTTATCTCCGTGTCTCTGTCTGCTGAGAGAACGACTTCGATGCGACGCATGTGTACCTGTTTCCGATGTGTGAGTAGAAGCTCGAGAGTTGGTTGACACGTCATCACCACGTTTTACACATCCGACGTCGTAATGGGAATTAGCATGATTTTGATGCTTATGGTTCTGATGTCCAGCGGTCAGGATAAGCGACGATCGCTTTTCCCTTCGTTCTTGAGGGTAACTTTCCGGTGCTTTAGTGAGAAATTCTGTCGATTTCGATCCCACGAGACATTTCCTGGCGGGAGACAATGTGTTGGTGGGTACGACCACAATTTCCGAGCTGAACATTTCACGCTCGTGAGAAAGATCATTTGTCAGAAAGCTTGTCTTCGTCGGTGAAGTGCTTGTTGTATACAATCCTACCGACGATCGATCTGAAGCAGATTCGGGGTTTTGATTTCCTGATTCAGAATTACCGGATTGGGAGAAATTAGAGGTAATGGCCCGACCGCCAATGTAAGTACTTTTTATTTGTCGCTGATAGATGACGCAAATCGCAATGGCAACAAATATTAGTAACAGAAAACCAGATCCGAAACAAACTGCAATCCATTGTGCTGTGTTCAAACCAGATTTTTCGTCTTTGGTCAAAACGATGATTCTAGTGTTTTTGTTACTATCGTATTGTCCAGCTGATAGGCCGTCCGCAATAGGTGTCTCACACATATCTCCCTTGTAACTTGCACGACATAAGCAAGAAAATTCCGATCCTCCTATCTTCATACATCTTCCGTTGTTTTGACAGGGGTTGTGAAAACATGGAGACTCCATTTCGCATCTTTTGCCAGAAAATTCGTCTGTACATTTACATTCAAAACCTTTTCTATTGTTGACGCATGTACCGCCATTTTTGCATGTGTTTCTTTCGCACCTCTCTGGTGGATTTTGACATCGTTTACCAGAGTATCCAAATCTACAAGAGCAGGTGTAGCCGTTTTTCTCGTTTTGACAAGTTCCCCCTGAAGAAAAAATATTCTAGTGAATGTTAAGTTACGTAAATGTAACTTACGACAGTTTTGCTTAAACTTTGATCATTGCTTAATTTCCCCCTTATTACATAATTCATCGATTTCAAACTGTTGATCATCACGCTCTGCTTATATAAACTTTTGTATAACTTGCTTCAACAAATGTGAGAAATTACCAGCTTTTCATATTCTGCCAAATTACGATACAAGATTAGTATAAAGCACATCTTTTCAAATAGTAATTAGGTATCATCATAAAGGGTTTCCGTCGCACGCAAGTCAATACACTATGTACAAGAAATGGCGTCTCAAGTTGCTTCATCCATGGGAAAGTTTTAGATGAATAGAGTTATTAAACAAAGAATAGAAAGAGACATAAAAGCAGGATTACAAAATGAATTATGTCAAAATCTTAAATTTCATTAACCAATACTAAGTAAACCCGTCGACCGGTTCCGTCCTGTACTATATTAAAACTGTAGTAAATAAAACAGAATATTACTGTAAATAACATCGCGAGTTAATCGAAACACAAACAGCAAGGTAATTGTCCATATATGGAAGATTGAAAGCCAATCGCCTGTACTGGGTGAATATATTCAATTTACAAGATTCTAATTACCCGAAAATCCATGGGTATTTGCTGAATTTGTCTATAAAATAGGACTGTGGGAATGGTTGACACTTAGTTGAAACAAAAGCAACTTTTGGCGGGATTTTCACAAAGAAGATTGAACAATAAACACGGTAGGAGAGGCGATTGCGTTACAAACAAAAGCGCCCGTGTGTCTAATGGTTTATGGCAACATTGTCTAACTTCAAGCGAACTAATTTCTAGATAATATTATGTCAACCCAAGCATGGAGGATACAAGATAGTAATACTCATTGCATAGATACCAACAGACCAATCATGAAATATCTAATTAACTTCAGAAATTATTATGGTAAATGAAAGTGTAAATTACCGTTAAGACATGTTTTCGGTGAGCAACGCTTGTCTTCGATTTCACAATTAAGTCCGCGAAAACCGTGTTCACATCGACACCGGTACTGTGTTAATTCTTCAAAGCATGTGCCCCCATTTTTACACGGCTTTGTAGCACAGGTAACGTGGGTCTTTTCACAGGTGGGACCGAAAAAATTATCTGGACATTCGCAGGTATATCCACCATATTTCTGGACCTACAAATAATAAATTTGCAATAAGAATATACATAAATTACAAGACAAAATCCACTACGCTCGCCATTGCCATCATATCCATTGAAGAGCCAACAAAATTATAGTTATAACTGTGCCAATTGATCGTGAACACACAGTCCATGGAAGCGTTTCGTCCTTAGGCCAATAGAGATCAATCACAAAATTCTTATTTATCAATCATTATAAACGGTATTTGTAAGTGATGGTATACAAGGTCCAATGAAATGGTTAGGTTATAAAACGGTTTTCCTATGTTTCCAGCGCTTTCTCTCCTTTTCCCCGGACCCTCGAAAGTAACCGATGCCTCACAGGCAGCTGTTCTTAAAAGGTTCCCACCAATATATCTCTATAAGCTCGAAAGAAAGCCATTGACCCTGACAAGCTCGTTTTTCAATGTTATTGTAGAAGTGGCCCACGAATAAAGTGGCCGAATCTTGATACGTTAATTATTTATATAAATTGTATTATCTGGTGTTATAAAAAGGAGATGAGATGTCTTGTTAAAGAATTGCACCATTTCGTATATAAAGCAAGCAATGCCATATATTTTGCTGGTATCTAATTTTGCAAAACGCGTCGTAGTATGAGGAAAATTGGTTACAGAATAAATAAATGTGAACAAATGACAACTCTTGTCTAAGCGATACGCTGTAGAGCTTATGTATATTAACTTACCGTGCATTTAGCCCCATTCTTGCAAGGATTAGGTTCACAATCGTTCATTTCGATTTCGCATTCCCTTCCAGTAAATCCTGGTGGACATTCACATGAAAAACTACCTTGTCCAGAATTGGTACATCTTGCACCGTTTTTACATGGTTTGTGGTTGGTACAATAATTCAAGTCTAAAAAATGAATACAGTTTTTAGTACTCTAAAATAATTTAAATAGCCCATAAGCTAATTAGTCTATGTAAAGTTTTTGGCAAAAATGTGTGTATTGGAATTTTTGCGAAATTAGGAATGGCTTATTATTTCCAAAAAAAAATGCCAAAACGATATAATTGGTTTAGAGATATATTTAAATATAGATTGTAAATAAAATCATTACAATTTTAATAAGTTATGAATATTCCAACAAACATACCTAGATTACAAAGCATTCCGCCCCATCCTGGATCACAATTACATTCAAAAATTTTCTGACATGTTCCGTGTGAACAGCCTGGGTATGTCTGACACTTGTCACATAATTCTCCTTCCCAACCCTGTCGACATCTGTAAAGCAAACAAGGCATTCTTTTGAAAATACTCAAAAACTAAACAACTTCAAAAGAATTTTGATTTTTAAAAATCTAAAACTGGTAACGTTACAATGAGATATCATTTGTAAGGGCTCTTGACGTTTTCAAGATGGCGCCACACCAAATTTTATTCCGCATTGCAAAAACTTTTGTATAAAGCGTGGGGAAATGGAACAAATGGTGAGCGAGTCTCACAAGGGCTTTGAACAAGATTTCGCTTAATCATACCCCATTAAATTCAGATTTGACATATAAAAGTACTGAGGAGTTAATGTGTACTTGAGAATGGCGACGATTGAGTTTAAAGCCGCGGGCGGTTCATTATCATCATGCAAAATAAAAACAATATTCGTCATAGAAAAATGAAGGATAGCGGCTTGGTAAAATCAAATCATGGACTGGTTTCTGGTCATGGGATTATCAAGATCCCTCTCAAAACAAAGGGTGTATACTATCAGTTAATATTTCGGGTCACATTATGTCTGAAATTTATGATACATTTTTGATGAAAATATTGGAATATGACTTACATGCATTCATTGGGTCTCTTGCAGTCTCCGTGTGTTGCATTGCAACCTGGCAGGCATATTGCTGTTAAATTAGGTAAAAGAGGTTATTGGCACGCTTATTAATCGATATTAATATCATAAAGGGGTACGAAAGAGATTTATAAGTTCGTGTTCAATCATGCGTATGATTTACCAAGTGGGCATATTATTAGTAAGTTTCTTTGGATCGATCGATGGCAGATAAATTAGCGGCACATAATTGTTAAACAGCTGGTTAGCGCCGCTCGAGAATCGAAAACAGTGTAGCACGATGAATAGCGACAAAAGCGACGCGCTCAGCAGGTGCACAATTCCCCCAAGGAAAAACGACATGTCGTTAATATTATATTTCGAGTCTCGCTTAGACGACATAATAACTCAGAAATATAGACGTAAATTTTCACAGGGTGAAACTTTCTTTCATGCTGCATTATCCCCATATACAAGCTATATGAATAAAATTACACATGCTTGTCGTAATTGGTAATTTTGCGGATACAAATGATAACCTTGTGAATAGCAAATTTGCAGTTGAATGTGTACGATATCTCTTACTTCGTTTCTATAAAGTTTCTATAACCACATATACTATCAATCTAATAATATCGTTCTTACGTTCTGAGCAGTAACTTCCTGTCCCATCTCTCCAGCCATCTAAGCACACCTTTTCGCCATTTCTGTCACAGGTATAGTGTCCGAACATGTCGTCACGTGGACGGCAATATTTTGAGCATCCATCACCATAGTAATGTTGGTCGCATTTGACACGGTAAGAATATCGAAGAATTTTTTCCTGTTGCGTTTGAACTTCCGTCGCCCAGTCTTGGTTAGCATCGACATCTCCTTTCTTCTGCATACGAGCGATAAGTTTTCCTGGAATAATGAACAATGTTTTAAATCTGGCATATAGTCCACCAGACAACGCGACGTTTCACGTGCGTCACAATGATATTTAACCGAGTTCGGACAAAGTTAAAATCAAAAAGAATGTGTGCTTTGAGTCATGTAAAGAAATAAATTGTACTCGATGGCTTATCTTTGGAAAAAATCAAATTACAAGCCTAAAAATAGAGAATGAAGCGTTAGAAACTACATTTATATGAATTTTGAACGGTGCCGTCTAACCTTAGTATTAAGTGAAATATGGCCAAATTTGTATGGGTCAAATAAATGAATTACGACGTTTTATATAAATGTTTCCGAATTCCAGTATAATTTCCCAAGGTTACCTAACGCCTGTTCTTTCCCACGTTCTAGTAGTGGGCGAGTGATTCATATAGGACACACTTCATAAAAGTAAAACAATGAGATTTACGACTACATTACAATATTCTTTACAATCCCACTACTATATAACCGACGCGCTATAGAACAAGTGGCGCTGGGTGTGATAACGTCCATTATCTATTTGATTTAATCTCCTCAAAAGCAACACTATAATGAGCATCGTAAAGTAACGAATAATGTCCGTAGGGGATTGGCCCTACTCTCAATATACATTCTCTAGCAATTAATGATTCAGACACATTTTTACATTTTATAATTGCAGTCCGTATTCACTTTTGGAAGTTCTATTTATGTCGAAAATTACGCTCTCACAAATACCATTCTCTGACGCATTGACGTCGATCGGCGCACACAATGTGTAGGACGGTAGGTATTCGATTTTGATGTTGTATTGTTTTATTATATATCTATACCACAAGTCTCACCTGTCGGCGGGGAGTCGTCGTTTTCATGTTCGTGTGTGGCTTCGATCACAAGCGCAAATGACTTCTAAAATAAAAATATGAGAAAACACATTTCATCTATTGTATGATAATCCATCTACTAAAATATTAACGAAACAGACATTGTAAAGTTGTAACTGGTTGTAACAAAATGTTCATAAAAACTTTGTTATCCAAGCTTGTCTGGATTAAACGAAAAATGAAAAAGTCGGTATTGAAACGCCGTACTATAGATAGGGTCGTTCTCAGAGTATTATAGCAGTACGGAACGTTTGCAAATAAAAAAGTAAACCTTAAAGCGCCTGTTAAATTAATCGCATATAACAGTTAATAGTCTGTTTGTTGATAATACAAGACAATGTTTACTTACAGGCCATGTAAAATTGAATTTTAAGCGTATCACATTCAATCCAATTGGATCAGACTGTGTGGGAGAGATTGTGTTCGACCCCAGCACGGGTGTTTTCGCTGATCCAAAAGTACATTTGGTCTCTGATCCTAATGACGATTGGAAGTGCGTGAAGCAGACATGAAAAGACGTTCGACATGGCTTGCTGCATATTTCCATATCTTTCACGATGCTGAGCTCACAACACTCCCCATTCTTTGCTCGGCCTGCTTGATTCACAAATTCATCGACTCTGATTTCAAATACTCCTGACGCGGACACCTGCAATAAAATTAATATTACTATTAGTAAGTAGAAACAAGAACCATCTCGCCAAGTGTTCCCCAGTTTTGATGTATATTTCTCTAAATAGTATTTATTGAGTCCTTGTCGATTGCAGGCCAAAGTTCATACGATATTTGCACATATCGCTAATCTGCTTGAAGCCGATTACCCGATTAAGCAATTCCGAGACGGGTTATTATATAAACTATAAAATTAGTTCTACAGGGATCAGCTGGATTATACTATTTCTGGTTCAATAAAAACTTTTAACGATGCATAATTGCGCCAATTTTTACTTACTCGTCGACTAACTTATAAATAACCTACGATTGGTCATTCCCGGATTCGCGACAACACGGGTTCGAGATAAAACAAAAATTTTCGAAGCACGATGGTGGGAATTTGGAACAATGGACTGTCAAAAGTAAATCACATCAAAATATTTTTCAATCAATCGCGTCAAAGCCAATTACAAGGTGAAACAGCGATGACGTTTACCACTCAATCAAGCAGTAAAATACATACCTGTGTATCAAGCAACAGCATACATGCAAAAATTGCAACAGTAGTTTTATGTATCCCTTCGATATATTTCCATGATAGTTGCGTCTCCATTTTCACGCGAGTTTCAAACATAAATAAATCTTTTGATGCAACGAACAGTTAACAGTAGTAAGAACAAAACTCTTCAACTTGTCAATAACTTTCTTGAAAACATAAAATAATATATTGACTAGAACTTCAAATTTAATATCTGGATAATTCAAATAAAACTTGTGAATAACGTATTTATTCATAAAATGAACAGTTTCTTTATTCCCATTTTAGAATATCGTTGAATTCTCTTAAGCTAGAAACCGCTTCGAAATTAAACATGACGTGAAAACACATCACTTCCACATTACCAACGCTTCCTTCTCACTTATTTAAGTACTGCACCCATATACTAAAAACAACAAAATAAGACTCGGTCGAAAAATTAACCGTCGCTGATAAGCTCAAAACCTATTTGGATTAGGAGCTACTACGAATCCATTCGGCGATTTTCAAACTACAAACAAAACGCCGTATGTTCCTTCTTTCTCTCTCCGAGACCGATAATTGTGCTCGTCCGCCATATGTCTCTACTTCGGTCGAAGGCGCGTCCTACATTTACGTGTTCCTTTCTTTGAAAAAAGCACTAGCGAGTCGGAGACTACTAATTTTATTCAATTGTATTGTAGATTTTAGTAGACAAATTCACGGTAGATAGTCGGCTACGTTAAATATTCCTAGAATTTATTTTTAATGAAGTGGTGGTGACGGTCGAATATGATATATTCGTCTGGCGTTACAATTGGCGGCCTGTTTTCATTTCTTTATTTGGCCTAAATATGAGTACGAATATCCTTTGAATAAACATAGCCTATTGATACGAACAATTCTTATACTACTACGACAGCGAGCTACCTAACGCACAGCAACCACCTGTCTCTAGAGTCCAGTTACGAAACCCTGGGGGCTAACGAACCCTGTTGTAAAACAATATGACGTTTACTACACCGATGACTCGCCTATTAACGAAATTCGTTATGACCACAAACAAAGCGCTTTTTTCGCATCTTCTAATTATTGTCGTGCGAGCGCCACACAACACAGGAACGAACATAAACAAAAACAATCGACACAGAACAATAAAAAGCACCCTCGTTATCAGTATCGATACTCAAAAACCAACAATCTTCTTCCGACCGTCACTGTCAAAGTAAATTGTCAAAGTCCTGCCAAACTGGCGTTTTAATTGCTCGTAAGGGTAACGTTATCTCTAGTCGGATTGATGGAAGTCTATCGCGCGCGCTGTATTGTTCGGCTATTTGTCAATGATAAACGTCTTCCTGCAGTCGCGTGGCAGACGCACGAGAGCAAACTGTGCTATTATAAATATTTATTCACTCGATTCCTCCCCACGTACGGCGTCTGCTTACCGCTGCGTAATTCCCACTCAAGAATTAATATGATAATTTAGCTATACCCTAGTTTGGATTATTGGTCTATTACAAGACGAAGATGTTCTTTATTTTCACGTCATGCTCGTCATGGCTTAGTTGGTTTATCTACTATTTTATAAAAAGCATCATTCCACTTGAAACCGCAATGGACGAAATTCCAATCATTATAAATATCAAAACATCAGATTACATTCAATAAATGCAGGTACACTCCTAGTTGCGAAACCTATAGTTTCTGAATATTCTGTTGAATGCACAACAAGTGCGAAGTTGCAATCGTTTGCTCAATGCCTTGACGGAATCTCAAACAATTATTTGAATCTGAAAATAACCCCGAAAGTTGCATCGATTCGAGAGGGCGTGAATTATACACGTATTCAAACAATATTTTTAATAAATGATCGAGTTAAGTACGATAAGTAAGAATGTCAAATCTTAAAATATATCAGATTTGATCGATGTAAATTATATGTTATCGTAGTTGTCATTCATATCGACGAGAAAGGGATAATATTTTACTTTGCTTTTCATGACCATGATTAATTTGGAAAATTCTATTCAAATGAAAATAATCAATTCCAAAATAATGATTCCCAAAATCAACTCAACTTAGTCAACCGCCACAAATGATGTTCTGACTAGTATCCATAGACATATATATTTCATCTTCAATGATTTCGAGATGAGTAGTATTATTACTAAAATCGTTTGACATAATTTTACTCAAAGAAAGATTATTTGTTATGATTAATACATACAATCAGATACTGATGAATTACGTGTAACATATGTCGCAAGATAACAATTATATACAAACACTCCCGCTTTACGACAGCTGACATATTTGGATAAATTATTCGGAAAGTCCGTGCGTGATATTGTGGGTGTTCGTAAGAAATATTCAAAACATGATATGCTTGAACTGCTAACATAATTACCGGCGTTGGTGGACACTAATGAAAAATCATACTATATAATTTATTTCTGAGTTTCTGGTGTTACTTTTGCAGCTTAAAGCGGACAAATACGAAAATAAATGGATACAAGAGTTAGGGGACAATCGTCTCAAAAAGTCGGCGTTCAAGTAATATTTATTTCTGAAGATCTATTTAAAAAGTAGTAATTTTTCTAATTTTTATAAAGGCCTTACACATCTTCATCAATATCGTGTCGTATTTAAATTATATTCACTTTGAAATACACAAATGTGAGGATTTGAAAAGATAAAAGGTGTTCATTTTAATAAACCCTAATCCAGGTTTCATCTTACTTCTCAAATAAATTTTATAATTTACAGTAGACGATTTATTAGCTCCAAGTTTTGGCATACATATTTTAAGTGAGATTCTAAACGAAACGCGCACGTGGCGTTGATAAGTACTTACAAACCGCACATGACAAGCGCGGTTCTCTTTAAGTGTGCGGCCCTTGACCTCTGCGTATTATCACTGCACATCTTTGCAAAGTGTTTGACAAGGAGTCGCATAACTTATCATTTATTCATGTCTAATAACGTCTTTGTACTGTCAAATAAATTATTTTGTAGTCTTGGACATTCGTTGAGGTTATTTTAGAATGGATGGGCTTAGATGAATCACCTATCAGAAGCGTGGATTATCCACAGCCCTTGTCAGGGTGTAAATTACTCATAAATTACTAAATAACAAATGTTTTAGTGTATGTGAAATGTGATACGATGATGGAAAGATCGCGCTTTTTAATCTCAAATGGGCAACTTAGACAAGGTTCACTCCAACACTGCTGACCACGAGTACTTGAAGTCTTACTCGCCCCGTAAATGAAAACCCACCGTGTGATATGTACTCTCTGTTTATAGTCTATCAAGGCAATATAAAGCAAGTTTTCCTTGAATCTATTCAAAAAAAAAAATCTCACCTTCTGTTGACGGACAGATTTTGAAGCATATATCCTAACGCTAACCCCAATGTTGACTGGACCTCTCAACATAGTGAAACAACATAATCAGCATACAAAAACGAGAGTAGTAAAATAAATTGCCCAAATGAAACATGTACCCAGGATATAATTTATTAATATATTATCTTAAAATTTGATTGCTTTACGGGAATCCAGAATGGCTTGAAATAGTCCCCTGAATCTGCAGAGTATGACATAATGTTATGCTAGAAAATCAGAAACCAAAAACTGCCTTCACTGAAGAATTGCAATCAAGATATACACTGTACGCCACCCACGCGACTATTGGCACTATTTTTCCCTACAACATAACTGTATAAAGCACATTACAAGTATATATATAAATAAAGCCTATATACAAGTCATCTTTATTCATATTTCTTATATGTAAACCTCTGAACTTAATGCGTAAACGAATTTTGTATCCTTATTACTTGATTCAGCCTGTTGCAACGACGACATGTTTTGGTCTCTTCATATGCATTAAAATATATACTTGTATGGTTTCGGAATATGGAAACGGAAATTAGGTTATATTTTATGAATGAAATAGCAGGTCAAGCATCCGGTGATTTTTTCATGAACAGATTAGCTGGGCCAAGTTTGAATCACATATATTTACAATAATTTTCTGTGCTTTTCGATATATTGGCTTCGGGCAAATAGTCGCTTTCTCGCGGTGGTAAATATTCTCCGTTTTCTATTCAAGTAGTCATTTAATTCACTTGTTTTCATTCACTATGTAAGGCCAACAATGAATAGCCAGGTGCTGGTTAAATCGGTTATCTACGCTCGGCTGGATATATTTCAACAAACTTTGCTGTCTGAGATAGAAAAATGGTTATAAGAACAACGAGTTCAACAGAAACCCAAAATCCGACTTATGACTATAACATAAAATCAGTCTATGGTAAAAATGGGAAGCGACTGAATTAACCCAGATATCAAAAGAATTATAGGGATTATAAGTTAGTGGAAATCTATGTGCGGAATCAGACAATGTAGACTTTTGTGACATTTTGTGAAACTAGAAGTGTACGCAAAATTCATCACAGTCAATCAAATAGTATTAAACATTTCGAGCTGTTTCAAAATCCTAATATAAATCATATATGCACTGAATACTGCAACCGCTAAACAAAACTGCTTAACAAAAATTATGCAGTAGAAAGTATATTAAAAAAAGATAATTTATATTACTCGCTATTTTTGAAAGCTAAAGGGTGGCGTACTACCAATCTATTCTGACCCATTATTCCATATTTGGCATCTCGTTGTGGCATTTGTGATAACGTTTAGATTCACCTCTTAGGAAGTTTAAACCATAAATGATTTTACAGTGGTTTCTCTAGTTTTTGGTTATTTCCACGTCATATCGTCGCAGATAAACCTAATTAGCTTATGTCACATATTTCAGAAATGGACCTTTTTGACCTTCTGTCATTATGGGCCATTTGGACATATTTCATCAGAATCTTCCGTTCTGATTAAGAACCTAGAGTTCACTAAACAATTTTATAGCAAAGCACCTGCAAGACGGTGGGCCCTATGCCCTTTTAAGAATACATTTAGCGTGTTTAATGTAAAGAGAATCAGGTAATACGATCGTACTCAAACGCAATAAATATACGAAGAGAATGTCGATTAAAAATTTATCGCTTTCGACAAGAAAAGTACGTCTGGCACGCGAACGACGAGTCTCTAATGCAGCAGGTGGTTTTCAACAACTGTTATGAGGTAAAAACATACAAAACTTTAGTATGTTTAGCTAGAAATTTCCATTGTACGTTGTCCTGCATGGCAACTGACGATGAGCAAAAAAATCGTTACAACGAGTTCAATGCGAGATAGTTCGACAGGAATAATCAAATATCTCATTAAGAACAACTGTTTACAGCTTCATTCTCCATGAGTAACTGAGCCAATGAAACGGTATTTTGACAACATATTCGATCAAAAAATATTCTTTTTCCCATCTGATTACTACGCTAAAAAAATTTAAAACGCCTAATTTTGAAAGGACGTGTAAAATATAGCCAGTTTGGAAAATGACAGGAAGAGAAGCGAAACACAAGATCGGGTTACGCTTTCTGAATCGTACTTATGAATATTGACATAATGTGTGTCTTCGCCCCAACAATGAAATTATAAATAAATAACAAAGGCGACCAGCCAGTGAATTCTACGTTGTACATTACGTGCTTAGATTTCATTTCGTCACATCTCCATCTTTCATCATCGCTTAGTCATTTTTAACTATTAACTATTTTTCACCTATTTAAATGTTGGAATGGAAACAGCGTGGCGACGTGCTTTCCCGCCATGTATATCTCAGTACTTTTGCGCCACCATGCGTTGGATTGTTATTTTAATTATGAAATTAGACATTCAATATTAGTCATGGGTCTTTTTAGGCACATAATTTATTGATAATTGTTACCTCAAAACAGTTAAACATATAAATCTTGGTCATTATATTGCGAACTATATTAATAGCCACAATCGAGCTGGATTGACGCACATTCATTCAAACTATCAATTGGTAGTAAACACCGGTAATAGTTTCACATTAATCTATTGAATGCGAGAATTAGAAAAGGATTATTCTCGTAAATTCCAAAATATTTTGACCTTTGTGTGGCAAATACCCTCGTCTGTGTGTGTAGCATTTGTAACTCGTTTTATTGTTTTATGGATCAAATAGACTAGAATATCAACCCTTTACTAAATTGTCGATTTTATTTAGAAATTGTCATACGATTTTACTTCTTTGGATTACTAGCGGTGGTTAGTTACAAATGCTGAGGATAGGTAAAATAAGGCTTTTTCACGGGTCGGTTGCACAATATAGGTAGACTCAAATTCGCATCAACTCTACCTCAAAATATCTGATAATTCAAAAATACTGAGAATTTTGAAAGTTTTCGGAAACATGTGTGCATTGATCAAGTATCAAAAATACTTGCAGTCATTGCTTAAGTCCTAATAACCTACTAGCGTTTTTTAAATATATGACGAATCCGACCCGCGAGATCTATGGCATAAGATATGGCGTAATAAATAGACTTGTCAACTAATTTTGCATATTCGATAAGACATCGGTGTTCCAAAGGCAAAGGCTCGTTAACAATTTAATATAGTATATATATATATAAATACAATATATAGTATTTTGCTAACCAATAGGCGGCCAATTGGCAAAATAGATAAATTGCGATCGACGTTGTAATACGCCCCACGTTGTATGTTCCTCCGCCTAACTCTTTCAACCAGATAAATAGTTGAAACTCCTTCCAAATACCACATCTAGATTATAACATAGATAAGGAATCGGGTTTGATAAATGCGCTCGAAGATAGGCTCTATGGATGTTTTCTCGAGCACCGATTTCCTTTTTTATTTCCGTAACAATGACCAATCAGCAATATGTCAACGATGACGTAACGATGGCAATATGAACAGTCGCTCAGGCAGATATTCAAGCATGGTTGTAAATATTGCCTCGTTTTAGCGGTTTTCAGTGGTGAATTGTCAGTTTTCATATGTTTTTTCAAAAAATAGTTGTAAATCAAATAATTTTTAATTTTCATTATGGCCATCGAGGAGCTTTATTTTATTTGCAATAATCAAAAATTAGTTCCGAAGAGCTGCGATGTACTATAGACTGAAGTTAGCTATCAGTTACCTATAAGTGGCACGTGGTCGGATAGTTTTTAACAAAAACTGTATTTTTGAACATGTTAACTAGTTTATGAGCGCCCACTCTTCAAAACACTCTCAAAATGAGTATCAAAAATTTTATAGCTATAGTAGAGTACAGGGAGTCTTTTTCTGGGGCCAAGAGTCGGACAAACGTCCACAGGTTAAGTAAGTAAGACATTATTCAGAAACGTAGGAACTTTTATTTATGGCGGTATTTGAAAAAATAAAGATTCAAGAACGATATTCGAAAACAACTAAATTTATATGACTGATTTTATGGATATCACATTATAGTAACAAGGTACATAAACAATATATTTGTATAACATTCATAATTTCATATTCTTTCGCATTCGAAGAGTCTATATTATCCAGGTTATACGTCTTTGCATAAATATTACAAAATTCAATACAACTGTCTTTAGCATTTAACCGACTGTATATTTTCGCTCATGATTTCAAAAGCAGATGTAATTATGAAATTTAGTCAACCAATAAAAAAAAATTGTGTTTTGCGCTCTTGCTTAGCATATATTTGAATAAAAATTTATTCTTTAAGTTCCGATTATCAAGTTCTTCATAAGAATACTCAATTTGTTTAACATGGAGTAAGATATGACATGCGTCTTCGAGATTCCATAAATGCTCATCAATGATTCCCGGGAGGAATTCGCGTAAACTGTCTATTAGACGGAATAAATATTCTAAATTTGATCCACTCTTTCCTTCGGAGTGTACAATAGTTTCGGCGATTTCATCGATGGAAGCTGGTCCGAGATATAGATCGTTATCTGGGGTGGCGATGAAGGTAACGGCTTGAATAATTTCGTTGTCTTTGGAACCACGAACGTGAAAATCCATGCATTCGTATTTATATCCACCAAGTTTCATTTCGCGAGTGCACAAATGTTTGAGAGCCTCATTTATTTGCTTTCTTCCACGAAGTTGAAACGATCTTCCCCAGGTAGCTGGTTTTCTGTCTTCAATAAGCGTGGGCACCCTGCCAGGCTGAAAATAATGAAAACGTATAGGCTTCATGACACTAATTGCTAAGGTTTGTTTGAAAGGAGTTCATTGAAATCAGCAAAATTTTATTATTTTACTAAGTAACAGTATAACAAGTTCATTTATTCACCCGAAAAATGATAAAAACGTTTGCTTCCTCTGGGAATGATCTTGGAATTTTGCTTATTGTAAATCTGGTTATTTTTGTTTTCATTTCCGATTAATATATTATAAATATGCTCTATAAAATGTACTTCAACTTTGCTGCATATCTGGGATAGCAGTGGTTTAATGTGAAATATATTCAGAGTTCAGTTTAAATATGATCTTGTGCAAGTACTAATCTTATACATGTATGTTGAACCTACTGATTCCGGAGTTCCACGGTGTGTAGTATTTCCCTGCCAGAAGCGAATAGCAAATCCTTCAACGAACCCCATCTCAGACTTGGCGTATTCAAAATTCGGAAGCCAAATTAAAGAACCGTAACCGAATAACCAAAGAATCGGTTCATTATTTTCGTACATCATATATTTCAGGAAATCACTGAATTCGGCATCAATACATGGCGCCAGTTGTTCTCTCTTCTGATCAATTTTCATTGTCTTCTTGGCTGATGCCCATGTAAAACTTTATGAGTAGACACTGGGCTGTTTTATCGAGTTAGCATTTATCTGGGAGAGCACTGTATTTATGAGACAAAATGACTGCGCAATTTTTTAGTCGTCATTGGTTGCGTTAACTAAATGCTGACATCATGCTGTTGTGAGATCGATGTTTTGCTGTCGGTACATGTTTACAGCTTTCCATCCTTCATTTAGAATTTAGATCGTTAGCGCATTTCTTCGAGTGATAAACAAATGGTTAATTAATATATATCAGACTACAGTATTTTGAACCGATGGAACCTAGAAACCCACTTAATGGTAATATAGTTGTTTGTCTAACGTCCATAGCGTTTTATTTCATAAAAATATACAATAATACGAATATAATTCGTTACTTTGAATTTGATGAATTAGATCATTTTGAATATGTAACTGAAATAGAACAAAACCTAAAATGAAAGCAAATATAGACATTCATTTTTTCAATCATGCAGTTCACTCGAGTATGCAAACTTTAGCGCTATAGGACTATAGGTCTTTACGTGATATACAGGAACAGAAATAGCTCGCTCAAGCTCGTTAAAGGTCTAGTATACTTTGACATATTTGAAATATTTAATTACGAATACGTGTGCTTGTATATTTGTAAATAAATGGAATGACCTTCCATATGAAGAATTTACAATTAATTCACGTGTTGACATCGACAATGTGCAATATTGATTCAGGAAAAAGCGGACAATGAACACAATGTAAAAATTTCATTTTAGTATGACATACTCAGTCAAATATAATGGCGTTTTCTCTGAAGTCTGTTACCAATCATGCATCGTAAATAAACCTGACATGTGCTTCAATAAGCTGATGATGTAATTTTTCTCGTGGGGTCACAACAAGGTGGGTGAGAAGAAACTCATTTTGTCTGCGTCACCAAAACAACCGAGTGAGCGTGTTTACTGGCTGTGACAGGCGATGGTCCTGTTCTCATCACAATTAGTATAGCCTGGATTGAAAACAGCACTACTCGTAAAGATCACTTTCTAACCACGGCTCAAAGTATCAGACTGCGTTTTAAAAACTAGATCTATGGGAGATATGCGCCATCTGATTATACAATTCCAGTAATCCCGATTTGAAAAAAAAATATTTTAACCAGTCGTAGAAAAGGAGTTACGTGTTTTACAGGAACAGAAATAGTTCGCTAAAGCTCGTTAAAGGTCGAGTCTACTTTGACATATTTGAAACATTTAATTACGAATACTTGTGCTTGTACATTTGTAAATAAATGAAAACTTTTCATATAAAGAATTCACAATTAATCTACGTTTTGACATTCGACAATATGCAATATTAATTCGAAGAAACCCGAACAATGAATACAATATATAAATTTTATTTTGGTAAGACAAACTCAGGACTTATGTAATATCGTTTTCTCAGAAGTCTTTTACCAACATTCATCGTAAATAAACCTGAAATGTGCTTCAATAAACTGATGATGTAACCTTTCTCGTGTTGGTCACAACAAGGTGGGCGAGGAGAAACTCGTTTTGTCTGCGCCGCTACTGACGATAGTAAGTCGCCTTGTATTCCCGTGTTTATTGAATGATTCCAATAGTAGTTCAACACTGAACAAAGCATTGGCGATGTCTAACATCGGAGCAAACATTTTCTGTTTACCTCTAACTTCAATGACGTCATAGTGCGTCTACTTTTTGTTTGTTAGCCGGCATGATCGATTTACCCACATGAAATATGGAATACCAAATAGCAGATAAATGTTTACTGAGCAAATACATTTGTAGTATAGTTATTGCGATTCATACTCACAACAACAACAAAATGGAAGTCCATCGAATTATTTTTCCAAAAGGCTCGTGCCAAAATGTTTGGGCATAAATTAATTCATGGTAGTTATCGAGAATATCCAAAAATGCACGAAAAATATATGTGATTGAGATTATGTTGAAACCCTCACAACGCAACCACTACGCCTGCTTATACTCAGTTTTGGAAATTGTGAAACAATCGTGCAAGTGGATAAAGTTTCCTTTAATTATGATTGACAGCAAGAAGCTAATATTAGGAATTTTACACGTATTGAATTTATGCGTATTTAATATAAGTGTTTATGGTTATATTTAGTGGTCTCCTGGCATCACTCATAAATAGGATAATTCGTCGACCCTATACCCAAGACTGTGTCCATAATCTGTGCAATAATGTTTGAACACAGCTAAATCCCCATAAAATTCCAGCAACACCGCCTAAGTATAATATTGATGATGCAAATGCTTGTCAGAGACTCTGAAGATTTGCAAAGTAATATCTTATATTCGAGTGCGGTTTATGAATACACTGGTTAGTCATGTTAACGTATACGCAACACTGATAAGTGATGTTTGGTAAATCTATAGTGCTAACAGTTGATATAGTCCGTTTATGATTAATTATTACTTACTCATTACAAATCAAGTAACCATCATATTGAATTATCTCTAACAATATAGAAACCTGTCAGGATCAGTCACTATGATTACATGCAATTATTTACGTAACTTGTGTTTGCGTCGAGGTTAAAGTATCGTAAAAGTTTAAATTTGACGCATAGTCATTATTCATTTGATTTTATATAGTAACAAATAGCAAGTGGCGATTATAGTTCTTTTTGTCATTCCTTAATGACATCAACAAATGTTTCCATTCCCTTCAAAATTTAAATTTTATTTGCTCAGGCTAGCATATTATGAATTTAAAAAAATCTTGTAACTATTGCTTAGGCGTCATAAAGCAAAATGGTTTTGTCCTATTTTCTTCAGGCTATATAATTAAAACGCTGGTCGAATGAATGCGTTGTATAATGCGTGATTCCAAACAAGTAAAATTTGATTTTTCCGACTTCGGTTGGCATTCTTTTAATTAATAGTCGCGTTGCATTGTAGAAATATTGGCATTTAAGTAAGACAATACTGTCAGCGAAAAGGTCAGAAATGATTAATGTTTGATAATATCCGAACCAGCTCTAAATCTTTAACGTTTGTGAAGAACACCTGCTTATCACATCTGGCCACTGTTTGTCGCTTGCCAAAGTGTTAATTGGAAGTGACAAATTTGGAGGTGTTATCAGTAACAAAGAATTGCGATTGGTTTTCCAGGTTCATCGACATTGGCAAGTTCACCCTTGTTATTATCTATCAGCTATCACTTTTCTCTTTGTTTCGATGGTGTCGGCCAATGCCTGGCTTCTTTTGCGTCACGCGTCGTTTCGCCTAAATTTACCGAGATTAAATTGACCTCAGTTTATTAAATCCTGGAACTTTAACCATAATATTCTACAATATCCTTCATTATTCTATTAAGTCCTTACTTACAGGAGATTTTCAAGTATCTTGTAATGGATATTAAAACATATTAATAATTCCCCCGCCAAAGCGTTCCTTCAGGGCAATACAAACCGAAATAACTCACATTGGCAAATCTGACGCAACAATAAGTCACGCGTCAGAAAAGGCGAATACGCGTTGCTTTATAAACGCGTTTATCGATTTGGAAGCATCATTGTCAGTTTGTCCATCGGAGCGCGCGTTTGTAATATTTTGCTTTAAAATGGCTCCATATTCAAAATACGACAGTTCTTATATAATGAGTAAGACGCTGGAAGATATAACTTTAATAAACAATCAAAAAATACTGCAGCCGGAATTTTCAGAATTCGTCGATTATATCAAAATAGAGGATGGTGAACCTGTGTTGTGGATATACGGATATGGTTCCTTGATATGGCTACCTAAGTTTGAGTACAGCAAATCTGAGGTAGGATTCGTCGAAGGGTTTGCTATTCGATTTTGGCAAGGAAATACAACACATCGTGGAACACCAGACGCGGTAAGTTACAGTATTATTTAACATGATGATATTAAAACTCATAGCCAGTAGTTGATAACAACAATGAGTCAATGACAACCATCTTTCAGCCTTTAGGGCAGGGTGCCTTTCCGAACATCCTTCATTATTTCCTTTTACACCACATTTAATTTTTATTTTGTTTTTCAGCCTGGTAGAGTGGCGACACTTATCGAGGATAGATGTTCAGTAACTTGGGGAAGATCGTTTCAACTTCGAGGAATGAAACAAATAAATGAAGCTCTCAAACATCTGTGCACACGCGAGATGAAACTAGGTGGCTACAAATACGAATGCATGAATTTCCATGTTCATGACTCGGACAAAAAAGAAACCCTACAGGCTATTACATTTGTGGCAACCCCAGATAACAAGCACTATCTTGGGCCTGCTTCAATAAACGAAATCGCAGCCACGATTGTTTATTCACAAGGAAAAAGCGGTCCAAACTTGGAATATTTATTTCGCCTGACCGACAGTTTACGTGAAATCAATCCACAAATTGTTGACGAGCATTTGTGGGACATTGAGAACGAGTGCCACAACCTACTCAAACGGCGCCGCAGTAATGACACTTCTGAGTTCCAAGCTGGCCAAATTGATGGCCAATTGATGCATAAGGACGCTGCAGCTGATTCCACCAACCGCTCTTTTGTCTCAAGCCTGAATTTTAATAATAGTTTTTGTAATATCAGGCCAGAATAATCTTTTTTAATTGCGGCGAGTCATAATATAATTTTTTAACTGCGGATTATCATTCAATATATTGATTGCAAGCGGATATACCCTCTATTGTAGTAATTATTGTGAACGGTGCAACCGTATATTTTTCCTTTATAGTTCTGAATTGTACAAAATTTTTGCCGATTGTAGCAAATTTAACTTTATTTATTACGTGCCCTACACAATAGAATTAAATTATGTATATACTTCTAAATTTTGTTTTCGGATTATATGTTATCCATTTATTGGTGTTCGAAATAAACTAAAATATTTTCAACGTATTTGTTGTAAAATTTTAGGTCTAAGAAAATTTTCGAGTTCATGCCATTTTAAGCAATGTATCACCGTGATAGTAGGCGGCCAAGTTTCCAGTGCATTTATTTTAGTTAATTACCAGAATTTCAGTACGAGTCGCGTCCTCATTCAGGTGACGCCAGTTCAGGGAAGACGTGGCCTGATATAGCGTCACAAGAAAGTTATTTTAATAAACGTAATCAGTAAAACAATTATCCGACATCTAATTTGTTGGAACATACATGGAAATAGATTCAACTTAATTTGGCTAACGCTGTCTTGGTATTATATTTGACGGTTCCGATTGTCTTTTGGTGCATATACCAAACAATTGCGTTTATCGGTGCTGGTGGGGCTAAATCACAACCAAATCAAACGAACTTATACAGCAATGTGTTAGATTCATTGACCTAAAAATAGAAATCACATCAAAACATTTGTATTTCTGTCGTCGAAATTTCTTTGTTAAAATTATAATAGCAGCCACTTTGCCGTATGACTCACCTCCTTTGAGATAAACTAATATACTCCCACGGGAAAACGAATCGAAACTGTAGCTATTTTGCCATTAATTCCAGACACATAATTATGTGAGTGGCGTTCATTGTTGGTGTAAGCCAAATCCACGACTACGCATTGTCATTTTGTATACTGTAGTTGTTTTGATTTGAGCATCTTCTTTCAGCTATGATTTAACCCCCTTCTCTCGCTGTTTCATTATTCTGACGCAATACAATATTCCCAACAAACTCCCCTTGTTGTTGTTCTGCTTCCAATCTTCTGAAACGGCGTGACTATAACACTTAGTCACTCTATTATGAAACAAGTCTATCATTTCCAATCAAAAACAGAAGTTTATTTTAACCCTGCACTGCGATGTTGTTTTGCCACGCCCCCTTTTAGGTTTGTCTTGTGATATCATGCAGCTGATTATGGCGTATGCGTTTCCGCCAAAATGATTTCGAATTGATGACGTGTGATATGAAAAACTTCTCAATATTTAAACATTGACATAACGTACAACGTATGAAGGTGTATATCAAAACTTGAAAAAATTTAAGTCAAATTATATTACAAAATTCGTTTCACGTTGAAATTGACATATAAAGCTTATAGACTACATGAAACTTCAACTTTTTGAAAACGCCACGTTTACCATGAAACATCTCAATATTACATATAATAATATCCCGTCGTTATCGTCACATCTTACGTCATATTCAAGTGATTCACGAATCATTGTAGATTCCATATATGGCTTTCTTGAATGTAACAAAAAGTTCCAAGGTATCTTTTAACAAGTTTTATGTCATAATATTACTTTACAATAAAATAGGGTATAAACTACACGGGAGCTAATTTGTACTTATACGTAATGTTCTATAAACGATTCACTTTGTTTTTTGAAAGCACATTACATATTATTTTGTCATTCTGGATAAATAGTTATGTGGTTGGGTTTAATTGTTAAAATTGTCCTTGCTTAATTGCCAAAATATAAACTAGGTATAAGAATTGTAATTGAATTTAACTGTGACATTTTGATTCAGTTACTAATGTACTGACAAATGAAGACAAGTACGTAATTCTATTTCAATTTTTTTTTCATCATTATGGCGTAATAGAAAATTTCTAACAACCCCCCCCCCCCCCCCCCCCTTATATAGATGGGTTGTCAGTTTTTAGCTAGACCTCTCCAAATTTGTTATTTCTATTCAAAAATAAGTGTTCATTTAAACCCTGCGTTGACATAACGTTTAGTCACGCCCACTTTTACTTTTATCGCGTGAAAGCATCCAGCTGACTATGACGTAAGCGTTACCGTCAAAATGATTTTGAATTGATGACGGTGATATGATTAACTTCACAGCGTTGATAAAACACTGCGTAACGCACAATGTGGACATAAGTTGATGAAAACTATGAAGCTCGTTATATTATAAAAACTATCATCGAGATTAATTAAAATATAATGTGAATGTGATATACAATACATTACATGCAACTTAAACTTTCCGAATGGGGTACGCTACGCCATAGTATCGGTTCTGAATTTTACACAGATATTTTCGGGAACACCAGTTCGTCAGCGTAAAAAGTATGCCATGTTCACTTGGAAACAATAAATGATGAATTTATGTTTCTAAGAATGGTCAGCAATATGTAATGTTGCACTTGCTATTCTGCGATCTGCCTATTTATTACCAAGTACCTATAGGTTTTCCCGTCATAGCAAGCACGTGCAAAACTTATAAATATCCGCTCGATCATGAGTTAAAATAATTTCGCAGTTAATTTTCAACTTTACGGTCAAATCTATTAGCAGAAAATTGTTGTGTAATCGGGAGATAAATTTATAATTTTAGAAATACCATATTTAGTGGATGTTCTAATTATTTAACATTTCATTTTGCATGATATAGTATATGTAATAAATAAAACAATTAGTTGGTACAAAACGCGACTTCTCTGCAAATTCATTTATATCACGCTATATAAATTAGGCACAAATTTAATGAAACACTGACGTAATGTACAGCGAACCAATATGTATGTCGAAGCTGGAAATTATACCAATTACACACCCTAGTGCAGGGCTACTCAACTGTCGGACCGCGGTCCGAATCCGGACCTTATGAGTATTTGAATCGGACCGTACTTAATTTTATATTTTGGATCATTAGCCCCACTTTTAAAGTTTCATTTTATAAAATCACTTTTACTATTTTGAATATATATGAAAAGAACTATAACACCATAATAAACAATCTTGATTAGTTGATAATCATTAGCCGGTCGAGGAAATGCGCGTTTAAAGACGCCGAAATATCATTTCTGAAAACACCGGACCCAAATAATTTTGAAGTTTTGTATGCGGATTCTCAGTAAAAACAGTTAAGTTGCCCTGCCCTAGTGTGTAATGTTTACATAAAGACGAATGTTATTAGTTATTTCATGCATGGTCCGGGCAGAAATATTATTATTGTACATTAGGAGTTAAAATGACTTTTTTGAAAGGTTGTATGTAGTGACAAGAACAATTTTAGGTCGTTTGAATATTCCAGTCGTATAAATAGCAATAAATGGCATCAGAAATGGAGGTTGTGAGTCATAGTTTTGAAAACCTGGTATGGATCACTTTTAACCCCGATTAGAAATGTCAGCCGATAGATCTCTTCTGATTACTTTGTATTGACTTAGCATATATTTTTAGAAATCCATTCCATTTTTGGCCCCATAAGTTTTTGAAAAATGTGATTTTTAATCAACCATGCATGACGTGCATGCATGGTGGGTTGGGTGGTAAAATTGTCAACAAAAATAGAAGGTAAAATCAATCGTGAATTACCAGGCTTGTCTGTGGGACATACTTTTCTGTCCCTTTCCCATTCCATCCCATAGCAATTATACCTGGCCTATCCCATCCCATGGGATTCCCATCGGAACAAAATTCAATAAAAATTGTTAAATTTAGGTTTAGCGTCTACTGAATAGGACTACACATGAACGAAAAGACATGCAAAACAACAAAATTTAGGAATTTGTTACCTTTATATTCATAACTATTATACATGTGTCCATCAGCCCATTCAAGAAGTATATTGTTAATACTTAATATATTTTTCTCTTTATATCTAACATGAGAGCTATGCTCAAATATACGGACACGAAATCCATAAGTGTTTTACCATCATTGCCCTGAGAATCATGCGGTTTTCGTGTCCCACGTGTCCCATGGGAAATACAAATGTGTGCTGTCCAATCCCATCCCATAGACAAGCCTGTGAATTTCATTCTAACGACGCACATAGCCTTCTTTCCGACTGGTCGCGAGTATGATTACTTTCGTGGTATTATGAAGCCTTTGTGCTGTAATTATCAGGGTGTGACGTCATCAAAATTGTCAACTGAAGTACTGAATAATTCAATGAAAAGTCTTGCTGCACACTAACACGAATATATTTCTGTAACGTTTCGTCTGATCAAGGTCAAACTCCCTCAGACATACATATTTCAGCTGAAGCAAGAACAGCAATTGCAAGCACATTTATACAATGGGTGCGACGTCAACAAAACAATATCATAACAATGTGAGTTAACGAACCCATGCAGGTGGTGATTGAAAAATTAATTAACAACACTAAGTTTAAATATTTAAAATTAAAAAACACATGAAAGTTTCATGCACATTCATAAAATGGGTGTCATGGCAACATAACAAAATCACAACAATGGGATTTGAAAAATTAATAAATTGGTGATTGTATTTTAATTAACTGCACTAAAAAAATACATGAAAAAAAAATATATAATCGGTAAAATTACGAAAATATACGGTATATAAAATGTTCCTAAATGCCCTAAACTTTTTTAATGTTCATTCCCAGTGGTTCATGCGTTCCAAGTAGGTGAAATATGAAATATGATTCTAGTTTTTCGGTAAATATGGTCTTGAAACAGTTTATCAATTCCGGTTCCATTACATTTGAACCCACGTACATTTGAACCCATGACAATTGCACCTGTATGCTAGTGCACCTATGGAATTTTTTTTGTTTCACGGATAGTTAAACCCATACTAACCCTAACCCATGGGTTTTAGCACCCGCATATAGATTGAACCCGTGGATATACGCATGGGTTCAAATGTACATGGGTTCAAATGTACGGTCACCATCAATTCCAATTACATTAAAGTCTTTCAGTGAATGTCCAGGTTGGTTAAAGTGAGCACCGACGACGATTAAGTACTGAATTTGTAAATTATGTAAAAGCAATTGTAAAATTCTCGGTAAATATTTCAGCCATAATAATGGTTGTGGTTTTATTAGGAAATGACACAGGAAAACGTTAAACCTAAAATTATTTATTTCCAATTAGTGACTAACCCTCTACTAAACGCAATAACACTCAAGTTCAAGGTTGTTTTTTAGGAGTTAGTTCGCATATTTAAAAAAATATTAGCAAACTGCTCTTTAGCGTCATATCACTGAGTAGGACTTAAGGATGCGCTTTTAATAAGCCATGAGTGAAGTTTTAGGGAGTAATGGTTAACGATTCAATTTTTTTGAAAAATGACCATACAAAATGGACTTAGTGGGAGAGGCATAAGCGGGATGAGTTTTTTTTAAGATGTTTTTCTACGCGGTATTGTACATGCGTTTATAAGCATTGCCTTTGAATTACGAAACAGTCAATGACTTTTATAGTTAAAACAAATATTACAGTCATCAGTGTTCGCAAGAAAATGATAGTTTTTAGCCGATATTTGTTATGTAACAACGAGATTATCTTGAAATTTCAAAAAAAAGCATGTCAAAATCAAACACGTTTTGATAGACACTTCAGCAATTATTTTAAATGTCAGCTATTTTGAATACAATTCGCTGAGTATTTGAAGCGCAAAAAGGTGTTCTTCAGGTTATACCTTGGTGTATGAGTCATCGAGCACTGAATTATTGTAATACGTAGACGATATGTTTAAACTCAAAATAGACTTTGTTTTGGAGATAATCAACGTGTATTACAGAGCGTAAATACACAAATTCTTTTCCCCAATAACAACGTCAGGAAAATTATAATCCCGCCATTTGCTGTTCCCCAATATTTGACGTTGTATGTTACCAACAATTCTACGCCACATACCTGTCAGTCACAGTGTACCCTCTTGGCGCGACATATAACGTATCAGTGGGAGTTTGTCTTTCCTCGCCGTATATTGTTTCTAATTTTTACCAGCGCGCACTCGTTTTTTGTCGTTGACTTGGAACTTTATTAATATGGACTTGTACGTGTTTCTTTAAGGACGAAAATATCGTCTTATCATGCTTACTGAAATGCCTAATATTTTCAAGTTCTGGTGTATATTATATATATTTACTAAAATTTGTCATTAGTAAAAGTCAGTAAAATTTATAATCATCTACAACTTCGATTTGAGAACATTAGACGCCAATTCCGGATAAAGAAAAATTTTGACTCTAACTCCGGTCGGGGAAAAAATCTGATCCGAACTACGAAAAACAAAAAAAATTTTAATAATAAATCGGTTGGCGTATTATCAAGCTTTCGCTAACAGACTATTGAGAGCGCTTCGTGGACTTAAGGCTTTGACTTTGAAAGTTTTGACTCGCTGTCTTACAATTGATAGTTTGAAATTCAGACTTCGATTCAGTGGAATTTAGATATTCAATTCAGACTCGTACCGTATATTCCGCAAGTTGGAGCACGCGATTCCTAGAAATGAATGTATTGGCTACATATTTATCCTGACTCATAACTGTAGTCAATATTTCGTTAGGAATCTGACGACCAGGAAATAATTCATTTCAAATTTTTGTGGTCCAACTAGCAGCATTTGACGCACGTTGTTATATACTGCTCAAATATGATCAGTTTTCATAGATATTTTACCGATGCGGCAAAATGTTCAGATACGCGTTAACCGTTTGACAAAAAGAGAAGACTTTGGGTTGCTAGGTTTTTAACCTTGTTTCGCGCAGGAGCGGCAAACTCGTTGACGTTTTCACTGGATAAGCTTTTGAAATTTAGTCGTTAAAAAATGTGAATCTTATAATTTTGTTTGTCTCCCACAAGTGTTACAGTCTTTATGCTACAATTTGATTCTGAACACAAAAAACGCAATATTTATGCGAAGCAAAGCATTTCTATTAGTGATCAATTTTCAAGTTATGTGATGTATATACAAATGAATATTTTCACGCAAAGCAAAAAATAAACTGAATAAAGTTCTTCTGTCTTGATTGATCAAATCCAACTGTGGGTTTAGGTTTAAGTGTTACGAGCAACATCGCAGCCTTGATTGATAGATGCTCGAAGGGTGCTCTTCAACTGACAAATTGCCTTTTTCTTCGCATCCGCATCCAATTTTTTCTGACATTTGGAGTTCTTCGGACAATGGCATTTAGATGATGGCAAAACCGCTTCGATACCATGACCCTGTTGGGTGAGATCATAAACGTACCTAAAAACGGTAAATAAACTTGTTAATGATATTAAAACTAAAGTTTGGTGCTTCTTTAATGAGTTTATTTTCAGTATTTGAGAGTACGTCTTTGTAACTTTTGGTTAACTTTTTAAACTCTGGCATCCCAGAATGAATTCTCTCCATATGGTGCGTTCACATCGTGTAACGCATATAGATATAGCAGTACAGAATATTCCAAGTCATAAATCAATGTTCATTCTCAACTATCGACAGTTTTCATGGTACAAGGTGCAAATATATTTATATATCAATTTTAAATCTGAACTCGTAGATTTTGTTTGCGAGTACGATTTAACAGCAAATCTAGATATTTGGCATAAAATGCATTGATCATTATTACATCGTGTCTGTTCTCTTTTAAAACTTATAGTATATATAGTTAATAATACGTCGCGGTTTCTGACGAGCACCAAATTGTTGATTGAATGGTATGAGCCACCTGCCAGTGTTATCACACTATTACGCAAAGTGTACAACGATTTCAGCTTGTGACCAAATGTGAATGGTTTCGAACAAAATATATAGGAACTTTTTTTATTTAGTGGAGGAAAAAGTATCCAGGTGTGCATGCAATTTACTGCAATTTCAGCCAATACTTCCAAATAGTATTTTACGTAACTTACTCCCTTATAAAATCTGGTGCAAAGTCTTGATTATATTATTACTGGAAGATGGTTTTGTAGTTCTTAAATATTGTCTATTATACACGACGTTTGTCAAAATAACAAACTGTAGTATTTTGCACTAATTTACCAACTACTTATTATATTTTTCGCAGTTTAATTATAAATCATCATGCGACAAACGTAAAATGACAAATTGGTTGGGTAAAAATAATCCTGGGAGTTAGTTTTCATTGTCGTATTTAGGATCTATCGTTGTATTTAAAATTTAAAAATCGAATTTTGGGATCTTAAGTGCCATAACATTTTGGCGCCAGGCGCAAGGTGGGAGAGCGGTTTTCGAATCTCAAGAGTTGAATGTTTTTTATATCCTACGCTTCATTGCTTTGTGAATGAGTTAGAAAATATAAAAACGACGTTGTTAAATGTGGATGCAGTGCCCATTCATAGTTAGGAAATCAATGCCATAGTTTGAATAATTAGTAGTTTGACTTCACAGTTTAATGTATTTAGTTATCTCCCTCGAATGTCACCACAGTTTGAAAAAATAAACTAAAGAGCTTCATGGGTCAAATATAATATAAATTTCGAAGACGATATACTGCGAGAACGCTTTACGATTGGCTTTCAACACCACAAAACTAATATATTTCTTACAATGGCTCTGGTCCAGTTTCACTTTTAACCCTTCTTGGATGTCCTCCACGAATCATCAGGTCTCGACCAATGCTAATGAAATCTTTTGGCTAGGGAAATTAAAATGAAACATTTTTTAGAATGCGGCGCATCGAACTCTATTGAAATAATTTAAGTGCCATTTTCGAAAATGTTTAAAGATATTAATGCGGCAGCCGGCAGCTGTACCTATCGATTTATTAATTTCTAGATAAAATGAGTATTAGCGATTCTTCCACGCTTAGTCTTTGATGATTCGAAAGGTATATATATATATATATATATACGTATATATGCTTCAAAAAAGGAAATGTAATTATGCCACATACCTCAACATGCTCGCCCGTTTTTATCGACTTGTCTTGGGCAATTTCGTCATAACGCTCGTCATGACATTTTTTGAAGCAGTCTTCTCTCATCAAAAATTTGACTACAGCGCCGAGGGCATTTTTGTGGTTAGCTTAAACAAAATATTTGAAATATGGAACTCATATATTTAAATGCAGAATCAAACAATGTAACTGGAATTAGCAATCGAGTTTTGACTAATTAAAATTTTTTTTATCCATAGATAAAAAAGAAAACTGCCAGAACACAGACTTGCGAAGCGTCACATCATAAGCAAAGCTTTATGAAATTGACAGTATTTTTGTTTCTCGTGGCGCACTTACCCGTGGCTCTCATGACTTCATCAACTCTTGCCTTGAAGTATTTGAAACCTGGAGTTTGATCGTTTCCGACTTCAACCACATGTACGACATATACATACTCACTAACATAAAGAAAGAAGATTAAGAAAATAGAATTATGTCAACGATTTTCAATTTTAATACTTTATAGTTTAATAAATATAAAGTACCTTCCTTAGTTTGGTCGACGGAAGTAAGAAGAACATAATCAAAACTTGCGACAAAATGTGACATTTTGGTAAATACCATTTTTTTGCATAATAGCAATTCCTTTTTTTCTTTTTTTTTAGTAAAATGATTACTACCACATAGAAGCTTTTTTATTTAGAGCATAATTTAATTACAAAAAAGGATCCTGTAGGCCTACTTAAGCAAAACTTAGCAAAACCTTTTACAGCTTTCAACGTGAATGTTGGTGCAATCGTCCCTATTTCCTTGACATAGCAATTGCGGCCGCAGTTGATCCTTTTCCTTGATTAAGCACAGCATAGCAAGTTGCCTAAATTTTGAAATGAACAACTAAACGTTAATTTTGTTGATATATTTATTCTAAATCTGCAACTGAAATAAAACTAATATATCATCTAAAATAAGGAACATATTTAATATTGATGAGTATTTTTATCAATATTTTTTCTACTGAAAATAATTATTATAGAAGTTGTATTGAAGAACCTCGATGCAGACGTTATGCAAGACATGATGAAAAACTGATAGTAGAATAACAAATAATCAGTTCATGATATATGCTACAATTATGACACAGCAGACTATTTTTGTTGTGTCTTCGGATGAGGTTCCAGCAATACAACAGCAGACAACTCGATCCGCGTTCGTACATGAATAGTTGCAGTGGAGGTTAAATACCGACGACTAATGCATTTTAAATTATGTGATTATCTTTCAATTTGATATATACACGTTCTCAGACTTAATTGTTGTTATATTGCTTTCATAATATCAATATGTTGCATTGTAAAATTTGAATAAATAGGATATCTGAAATGAGTATGTAAACAGTCTTACTCGAAATCAGAGCAGATTGTTCTTGTCAGTTGATCTTCCCGAGTTCTGCAACAATACGTTTGAAAATTAAGTTAATTAAACTATCACAGAATCTAGATCTAGACAGCAGACGTAAAAACTTCGATCCCTTGGAAAATGGTGCAATGGTGTCTTTTAGCCCAGAGAGCTTGATGAAGTGTTGCTTGGCTGATTTTGGCAAGAGAAACTTATCAGGTATTGTTTTGTTTGTATTGTTATTTAGTCGTTCAATTCGTCTTTTATTTGAAAAATTGGATGAGCAAAAAACGGTTTATAGACAAAAAAATCTTAAAAATTGGGGAAAATTAGTTTCATTAGTACCATTATGCATTGTGCAAATCATTGCTCACCGACAAACCGGACAATCTCCTTCAGCACATCTACACATTTGTGCGTCTTCTCCTTGGTCGGCTTCTCCTTCTCTGCAAATTGAGCGAATAGTGTGTTCTCCGCGTTCTTCATAAAATTTTGTGCAACGGATCTGAATTCAGTTGGAAATATAAATCTGCTCGTACTAGACCGCACCAAAAACAATTTTCATAAAAACACCAACGATTTCACATAAAAAAATAGACTTGCATATTTTCTAGACTGGAATATTTACTGGTTAAAAGCATAAGTCAGAATGAAATCGTGAATTGATGAAAACGATTTGTTTGCGGCCACTTTGGTATTCGATCTCAGCGGCTGTGGGATCTCTGGGATTATTAGTATTAACCTAACCTTGAGCCTATGACATCACAATTTGTGACACTTCGGTATGCGATTGGGATCACGTTAAGTAAGTGAGATCACGTACTGAGGTTTTGGTACTCCCAAAGTATGCGCACCAAGATGTCGCACAACCTGAACCCTAGCCTGGTACACAACCTGAGTTCAGGTTGTGCGCCATCTTGGTGCGCATACTTCGGGAGTTTATGGCGTTGATATCGCCTACAAAAGTGGCACAGATTTGTTAATATGCCATATACCCACATTATACATTATACAATGTTTGTGAAAAAACAGAATAATATTATAATAAAAAAGTTTTACGTCCGGTTCGTAGTAGTCGTAAACTGAAACTGACGCCGGTTGACGATCACTTATTTGCGTCACTTGCTTGATTTTAAATGCAAGATTGACCCCTTTTTGATCGATTTTAGTGAGGTAAAATTTTACAGTGTTTTCAGTAATTTCGAATCGGTCAGCTGTAAAGAAATACTGCAAAAATGAGATGGAGGTAACAAAAAAATGAAAGATGCATGAACGTGTTTTTAAGGAAAGTCGCAATCAACCTGGACTATGTAATTTAAACGGGAAAGCAAGAAAGATCGAAATAATCGATCACCTAATTATCCACGATTAAATTCCAACCTATATGTACGATAATCAGGAGTGCGTTGCAGTGAATGTCACTGCTATTAGATACTTTCAACCAAATCGATTTAAATAAAACATTGCATCAAAATATCAAGTTATGTTGTCAAAAAACTTAAATATCCTATCTTAGCTAAAGTTGTTTTGTCAAAATTCTGCGTGGGTTTACAGATGTGTCGTAAAGTTCTCATGGCGTTTCTGAAATGAAGTCGTTTCATAACACACTGTTCGAGGTCGACACCAAAAGTAAAAATACTATACCTTCAGCATCGACAGCCTCTTCGATGCAAAGTCTCTTGATGGATTCAATAATCGGCTCGAACCCACTTAGCAGGCCAACATCAATTACACTCATCTGCGTAGTACGGTTAGAGTTCATTGCGACGGAAACCTTTAAACATAACCAACCACTGTCAAACTTTGGAACTGGGATGATTTCGTTAGTGTTAATACCGATTATACAGAATATGTACTTTACAATCAGTGATAGACAGGTGCAATTCAAAGATTTCTATATATATATATTTGTTTTTATTTTAAAAAAATTTTCGATTCCAACAACTGTTGAGGAAGGAGGAAAAATGCCGATATAAATGCATGCCTAAATAAATATATGCATACCACACATGTGTGTCAGATGTGAGCATATCAATAGTATTTCATATACATAGAACTCAAATACATAATCTATTATCATTTAATTAAAAGTTTTATAATTTTTTGTGTGTGAGGAAACGACGGATTATTAGCAACCGTGTTGTACCTTCAAAATACTAATGTCCGGTTGGCCGTCGTCATCATTTTCGAAACTGACGTTAATATTAAATTGGCAATTTCCATCGTCGGTATATTGGCGCCAAGTACATCGATAAGAGAGACTCCCAACACCAACACCTAGATTGAATATTCATTAAATACGTTCATTCTGTGGTGTCGATTTAAAAGTTTATATTGTTGGAAACGGAATGGACCTATGGATCGTTTTGTTATTTTAGTTCTTTTTCTTCCTACTATACTGGTTTAGTATTTATTCTATGAAAATAGTTTTTCTTTTCAAGTAGTGGACCAATTGCTTCGAAATTTTCTGTGATTCACTATTATTGTTGTAGCTATAGTACGGTATTACTTTCATTTTTTCTTAAATTTTATATTTCTTCTATGAGATTTGATATTTCACCAAACCTTTCGCTGTTTAATTTTTATTCACGGGAACATGGTTGTTATTGCACCAAGCGTGGCGGCTGTCTCCCGTTTTGATTTTTCGTACGCGTGCTGTACGCGAAAGTCAGAGGGTTTTTCAATACCGGTAACGCATTGTAGACTAGTTACGGTAAGTTATTTCGTGTCCGTATATTTGAGCATTGCTCTCTTGTTTGATTTGTTATGTACACGTAAAAATCTTTCTTTATTAATTTATTGATTATCAAATGAAATAGATAATCATAAATGAACTAGAACTAAGTTATCTAAATTATATAAAATAAAATTGAGGCATTAGCATGGTGCATGGTACACCAATTTGCATAGCATAGAACAGTGGTTGTTGAGAGCAGTGACTTTTTATATTAGAGTTGTATAAAGGCAAATAAGTTGTTAAAAAATTGAGACCAAATGTTTTGAATTGAATTTTAAAATTTACCAGCCACTGCAACTGTTACTCCACCAGCAATAGAACCTTGGTCGACCTCAATTGTTCTTCGCTTCATTGAATCTTCCGGAGTCAGATGCACAACTTCAGGTTCAAGATGCCATGGACTATCTCCTGATTTTCCAGTTATCGTGGCACGCAGGTTGGTTGGAGGGGGTGGATTAACTTGCTTTAATGAAAAAAATGAGGGGTGAAAAAGTAATCATTTTTTTTTTGGAATAAAGGATTAAAATCATTCCTAATGGGGTAATGTAAATTTTATCTGAAGTATTCAAATATAATATTTTCATTATTTATGCAGGAATAAAACGAATATAATAATAAAATAAATCGTTGAACAAATCAAGCAATCTGGTAAACTGTACCGTAATATTCTCTGAATAAAATACCTTGTATAAGGGTATTACATCTCTTATAAAAATCTCGCCATCTAAACATGTAAAACCACGTTCCTTTTGAACGTTATCATATCCATTCCAACATATTCAAAACCAGTCGGAAATACACCACAGAAAATATTTACATTACAATATAGCTACGAGCTACGTCCCAACTGATATTTGGATACAGGCTAAATATTTATTACCGATGTTTCCAAAATTTCCATATACATCGAAAGTGCTTGTAATCCACAAACGGTATCCTGAGTAGATTTAAATCCACCTTTACTATTTTGTTGCGAAATTAACCAATGTGCTGCATTCCTCGTAATTTGGTCGTTATCTTCATTGACTGAAATAAAAAAATGTTTGAAATTCAGCAAGTTCTATTTGTTGATGACGAGATAGACGGACGACTAATTCGGCTGGATTGAAGGTAAGCAGAGCTTGAGTGCGCGAGTATGTGATTGTAAGAGTCTTGTAATTGTAAAAAATCTTGCTTCAAATTAATGAAATACCATGAATTTTGATTTGACCTAGAATTGATTCATGTGATTGCCACAAAAAGTGTAAATTTAAGAATCAATTGTAATCTATAAAAACGAATCAACCAAATTTCAAGAGAGATTCTGTGGTGTTTCTTGGTATTCAAGAGAGCAGCGATAAAGAAATGTAAAACCTGACCGGGCCTGTCATAAGTGATCGCAAATATAAATAAGTGGAAGTTTTTTGAAATATTGTGAAACTATAAAAAACTATCAAAGTCATTTAAATGGACCACACAAGTTAACATACTTCCATCGAGAGCCAGTAGCGCCATCAAAGCGTACGCTGTCGTCTCAATGGTTGAAGCTCTACCTCTTGTACCACTCCAGAATATATATTCACCATCATTTTCACTGACGTCGCGTAATCTTTAAATAAATAACTCCACATAAAAAAAATTTGAATCTTAGCATATTCGAAAGTATTGGCATATATATATTAAAAACTTCCACAAGTTGTGTAATTAATGTTTGTATTCAATGAAAAAAACTTTCCATTCGCGATATTAGCAGACCGGAGGTCACATGAGCATATTATATAGTTATATACTTATAGTACGAAAAGCTGGTATCGCGCTTCTTGAAATTCAACTTGTTTTTCTTATTTTTATGCAAATGTTTCTGACTGTGTTTTATTTTCATCTGTAAATACGAATAAGTGTAATAAACCTTGAATCAGCATGCGAATAATGACATAATTATTCATAACACAAGAGGCCCGTATGGGCAGTCTCAAATACAGATCAATTCACTACTTTTATTTAAACGTTCGTGATCTAGTTTTATTTTATTATTGTACAAAAGTCTATGTAGGTTATTACCGTCGGTTCCAATCTCTTGCCCGGGGCTCTGGCGGATCTGCCAGAGCAAGAGCGTACGCGCCCATTGCTAGGGTGTATGGTGTAGGAGAATCCTTATCTATCAAATAGTCATTCGATTTATCGATTGCACGTTTGTAATCAATTTGTCGATCTGGGCACATATACATAGATTCTCTAATGGCGATATTGACATATGCAGTCAACGCAATTTCATAATCTTGTTCACCAGCTTTAATCTGTCCCTGTAATATAAAAAAGAATTGTCAGAGAACAATCCAAGTTAATACCCCTCTGATGAAATAAACACTGATTTTATAAACAATACTTACGATCATTTCTTGGTGATAAACTTTGTAGTTTTCTACGAAAGTTCCATCTTCATTTTGCTTTGTTAAAAGCCAATCAAGCGAATCGCAAAATGGTTTGACTTCCATTGCTTGGTCGAATTGTTTTGCAGCAGCAAATACTCGGTCGACGTAAGCATTCAACCTGGTATAGTAAAATTTTATTAGGTGAAAGGCTGATGTTTATTAGTTCGAAGCATGGTGAAACATGGTCTTTATCTGAAATATGACCATTTCATATGTAGGGAAAAGTGACTTATTATAACGCAATTCAAATTTAATATTACAAATTCATTGCTACCACAAATACTGCAATTTATAAACTTTTTTCAAATACAAATGAGCAAATATCGCAATTTATCAAATATCGAGTTGTTACTTATCGATTTTGATCGGTAAGTATGTAGATAGGTATTTGTCTGTCTGTATGTATGTCTGTATGTCTGTCTGTATGTCTGTTAGGTGCACGCGATATGCGTGAGCATTCATCTTATCTCGGACCAGAAGCCTCTTGATTTTGGGCGAATTATGTCGTATAATTAGCGAGTTATTAAACAATTAGTGATGGGACACAAGGTGTCACTATAGAGTTAGAGCGCTGCTTTGGGGGATCCCCTAAGTTTCAATCGATAAGTCTTCGGTCTCTGACCGATATTCTCGTTTTATGTTTATCGCAATTATTAAAATTTATATTGATTCATTTTTAGCTAAATTTCCTAAGACTTTACTATTACTCCCAATAAAATGGCTACTTTTTAATACAAGGCGGCTTTTTAAAAAAGATGGATTTCTAAAACGAGTTTTATTTGATTGATGGGGCAACATATAGCCTCGGAGGAAAATTAAAAAACACAATTTGAGAATCCGGGAGTCCTAATAAGACGATGTAAACAGAGAGTCCAAAGGGAATAATCTATTTGTAATTACGTGTGCGTGAATAATTATGTCCATTTTTCTATCTCGAGATCACAATTGCGGTAGATATTTACCTCGACTTTCTGACAGCTTATGTGGCATTGCAACTAAATGGCTCTCAATGAACCAGAATATTCCAGAACGACGATTCACTATAGGCGACTCACTGTTGTTCGTGAATTTATATATATATTCTAATGCCATTCAGCATCATAGCACGAGCAACCTTTCACTTATTTATAAAGTTTCCTCACTTAAATGAAGTTGTTTCCAAATTATATATTAAAGTGCGCAAAAATATTAAAATTGAATTCGATAAGTAGAGTTTGTAAAGTTCCACGCTGTCAAATGTAGTCAGTTAGGAAAACTATTCAGGCGATGACCCCGTAGTGGTGGCGATGGTTATAACTTATGCTATCCTACTGCAGCAAAATGAAGACAAAACGTGTTGAACCAGGTGAGATTTAAATTATGACCGAGAAGTAAAAAAGCTGACAAAGGGCAATAAAACAAAATTCCGCGTGGATAAAATTATAAGCTGAGTCACATATTTTTAATGCTTGTGGCAACAATAACAAAATTGTTATGGAAATAAAGACATATATATAATTACGCGCCGTTTATCGTGCTCCAAACTAGTACTACAGACAATTAACGGTAATTTTACTTTACACTTTGATTTGCGAGATTTTGAATGTATTGTGTTGTGTGGCACTGAATTGGTTGCAGAAACGCAAATGGAAGCAGCATCTTATCCAATCACATAGATGATTCATACCGAATACACTAAAAAGCTTTAAAGCAGTATAGTCATTTATAAACATTTAATTTGTTTTAACATTGAAAAAGTTGTTAAAAGATTCAACTCATATTTTTCGTGGACAAGTTTGTTGCACTCCTGACGTGAAAATCCAAGTACACTAAATTTTGTAGAAACGTTAACAATAAACTTATTTCTATAAAAACAACGAACTTCAACAACATCGAAGAGCTTGGTAGTGCTTCTTAAAAAGATACGATAACAGAACACAATTTATTTTTAGTTTTACCAGGTGCTTGGTGGGCGGTAGTTCCATACGGCAAAGGCAACCTTAGCCTTATCAGATCTCCATTTCAACTGTATTCTGTAGGCTGAAACAAATTTTATTTGATTGGCTTCATTTCATGGCTAGCACAAAAAGATTATTTCACTGATCTGTGATTGTACAATCTGTACCCAAACATTGCATTTAAAAATTAGATTCTACGTATACATTATATAAATTAAAACGAAAGGTAAGAAAACAACGAAGCATGTTCGATATCTATATACCGGTTTACCTAATTGAAAATAGCCTATCACAAGATTGTAAAAAGGAACATGAAATAAGCATAAACAATGAACATTGCCGGAAGAAATTACTAAAAAAGTACTTAAAACGGTAAATACTCCGGACAATTTTGACGCTCATTAACATTTTGATATCGATTATTACAGTCATAATACCGATCGTTTTTTGTCATTAGTCATATTTCTGCCACAATCATATTTCTGTGTAGCAGAATATAGGAAAGGCGTTTTGATTAGTTGAATTTACGATATATGGGACCAGGATGAATCTGCCGAGACGATGGTTTGAGGAAGATTATAATCTGCTGGACAGAAACGATTTACAACCTGCAATACTAATTAGAATCAGACCGGAACTGTAAATAAACATAATAAACCTATCGCAGCAAAAGTTCTGTATATAAAGTTGGATAAAATGTATTAAATGTACATAAAAACAATACCTGATGATATATGGTTCTTTGTTTGTTGTTCTAGTTTTTGTGAAATTTCACCTCCATTGACGGCTACTCTATATTTATGAATAAAAACAATTGGGCCTATGCGAATCATATTTTGCTCTCCACATCCTGCAGGTGGCTGAATAAAACCGTCAAGATTATCCAAAGAATCCTCAAACCCTTCAATTTCGATGCTTGGTCCCATGGGGTGAGCTGCGTGAAATAGAAAATACAAGAAATATGAAATATGACTCTGTAATTAAAGGCGACGCAATAGCAAAGAAAATGTCAAACACTGTCTAGAACAGGGTCGTCCAACCTTTTTGGGCGAAGGGCCACATGCAGTTTACTATTAAGTGCGCGAGCCACTGAACATGGTAGTTGTGTTTTAGTTTTGCTAGACTGAAACCAACGATACCATCCCGCCAAACTTTCACAATTATTAGAACAATGAAACTGTTGTTTCCTAGACATTGGTGGGGCGCCATCGGTGGTTATTCCCGAAAGTTTGGCCAAAGAAAAGCCAAGACGCTTGATCGTTTTCATCACAGCTCCCAACAAATCAAGGCTTGTAGTCGTGCCCTTAATTGGGACAATGGCTGCGAGCTCTTCGATAATTTCTTCGCTTTTGCAATTGAATTCCCAAGCTCTTCATTACGACGAGAATCGTCTGTCTTGACAGGCTCATTTTTGCAAACGCCTCTTTTATTTCCGGACATAAAACATTGGCAACAATACATTGCTTAACGAATTCTTAATGTAAGAACGGCTTCGATTCTTTTGCGATTATTTCTGCCCCGAAGTAGCTCGCTTTTATGTATGTATTATGGATTTTTTGTATTGACGTAGCGACTACGGCAGCTTTGTATATATATCGATATCTCTTCCCAGTTGGTTTCGATTCAAAATGGCACTCGTGGCTCGTTTGGAAGGACTGGCAGAGCGCATTTCAGGAAAATAAACAAATCCTCTGTATCACTTCTTTACATACTAAATCGCTCGAATAATAGTTATACTAATTTTTTTCATTCAATTCCGAAAAATACAGCGCGGGCCACTCGAAATGCTCCCGCCGGCCACATATGGCCCACGGGCCACGGGTTGGACGACCCTGGTCTAGAATCTAAAATTTGGAACCTATCTCCAAACAAAGCCATAACTTAAAAATGAATATTTTATATTGGTTTCAAAATGTATCCCAAAATTTAAAAAAAAATGATTAATACTGAAATTTTTTGCACGCCCATTTGAGTTATATCAGTTTTGCATGGTTTGAAAACGATCAAAGTGATTCTATAAATGTATATTAGAAATTAAAGTGTACTAATTTCTATTGGTTTGTGCATTCTGTAAATACAACATTCCCGGCAACAACTCCACTCACCATGTGCGTACAGTGTACACTTAAGCGTATCAGGCATCACAGCTTGTTCAGAAACGTCAAAGAAAAGTTCTTTTACATTCTCCTCTGGATCAAGTACAATTGTTTTTGAACTTTCGTTACGCTGTCCCGGTTCCTGAAATGTACATTGCAGTTAGCGTGTTCACATCTACGCTATATCGCTTGGTATAGGTATCTGGCAATAGTATAACGTTAGCCAATCATATTATTATAATTATTTTATCGGTTAATTTAATATTGGTCAAATAGTGGAAAGCACCATATTAAATAATTACATTTTCGAATTAAAAATCAAAATTGAGACAACGTTTGTTTATGCTACTTTAAGCTTGATCTCAGTATTAGCCTACTCGCCACAGTTGTAGCGAAATGTAAATAAATATTATGCATCGAGCTCCACATGTTTATCAGAACTGAATCGAAATTAGGTCGCTTAGCATGTTGTTACATCACATAATTTGGGGCATATCATGTTTTAAATGAATCCATAATAATATAAACAACATGAAGAATATAAATCAAATATACTTTTCAAATAAAATATAAAGCATAAATTATAATCAGTTGTTGACACAAACTAATTTCTGGATAAACACACATGTATTTGATCTTGTAAAAGTTGCGAACAGGAATCTAAGCGGCATTCGGATTAATAATGAATTGAACGTCTGAAATTTGTTTTTATCAAGTTACTGCAATCGTTGAATGTGGTGAGGTAATCGGAAGATTAAGCAATACTCTTGACTGTTCTGTTTTTAACAAAAATACCCTACTATGTCATGACAATGCATCGCATGGGAAATTACTGAAATAAAATACTTATTTACGTGAGTCAACTACAAGCATATACTTGAGTGTGAAACCAAGTATCACGAGAGAAAGAATACACTTTAAATCAGGCTTGCTTTTCTAGGGGTGCACACTAGGGGCTGCAAGAATTCTAAAGAGGTAAATTGATGAAAAGACATAGACTATAAAACGACTGCAAAAATGTCACTGCTTTAACTCAGACGCTGTAAATACTTATGTATTACTATAATTCAATTTCATTATTATGATGGGGTGTGAAAATTGGTTAATAATTTCAAAGGAATAAAAGTTAAGAACTACTGCCTCAAATCAAACATTAAAAGCGAATATACCTCAATCAAAAGTTTTTTAAGAATTGCGTCTTCATCCCCGGCTTGTAGTTCAATAGTCGCTTTTTTGTTATCTGGAATACTTAGCGGCATTACAGTGAACGAGGATGAACGTGCGGAATTTGGCTCAATTTCCAGCATTTTTAAAAATTGAAAGTCATCTGAACAAACATAAAAATGTTGAGAGATACGGCACTGAATGATTACGACATTTATTTAGTTGGTGCCAGTTCGTATGAATAAACGAAAGTTGTTAATTTGAGTTTAAAAAATAAGTTCTGTACATTCATTTTCCGTCTAAACTAATGTGAATCTTATTCGCCTGCATCCACTTCTTCCTTTATATGTAAAAACAAGCAGGTTGTCAAATAGCATAATGGGCGTACAATTGTGTTTTTGTAGAAGCTATAAGAAAATAAATATCTAATTCTAAATCATAAACGAGATATTGACCGAAAACAAGTAGTTAATTTTTGTATTTGAATTCTTATATCCACTAAACTGCGATTGCTTGCCAAATCACCTTGAGCAAATTTTGAGCAGAGTTCCTTGGAGTGACGAATGAAGATTGGAACCTGAAAATCAAACAAACTAGTATAAAAAAATGCTGTATTTTCCAGCTTGTCCCATGTTATCTAACAAGATATTGTGGCTGTGATGTTTTCAATGATAACTAAAAATGCTTTCGAGGTGTTCTATGATTTGAAACCATTAACAACAAATTGTGTATGAACACAGAAAAAATGTTAAGCTTAAAACAGATAGAAAACTATAATTGAGGGTACAGCGCCTTTCTTAAAAATATTCACATTTTGATCGAATCTTACCTGTGCCGGCTGGTCTCTGTAGTTAAAGACGGAAAATCGAATTTCCGCTTGTTCCCTCAGTCGTACTGAATACGGCAAGTATAGTTGGATGAAGAAATCCTGAAACACCTTCAGGTACTTTGTATGGGCAACACACATAGCTGCAAATTTCAGAAGTAAGAATTATTACACGTGTGGACTAGATTTTACTAATCCGAAAATTTGTAACTTACGTGTTTGAGCGTTCATTCCAAATGCGTCTAGTTCAAAAATAGTGATACTGTCTTGCGCTTTTGCTCTTATTTCATATAATCGATTGCCACTAAACATTAACATAAAAAATGTGTCAGGACTTCGTAAAGCCAAATTTTATAAGATATCCTTTTAATGGTGCTTACTCAAAGCATGAAGCAGTAGGGCGTTTTCTGGCAGTTTTCACCATTGAAACATAAATACATAAATAACATATATTATACCTTAGAGTTTCTTTTCCAAAAAACATATTTTCATTAAATTGTTTTCTTACTCGTGTTCGTACTTCATTTGCCCGATTAGCTGCACTTGCTGCCTTTCTGGCAAGCTCTGAGCGTTTTTTTTTCCTAAAATTTGGATATTATATATTATACAGCTAAGAAGGAGAAGCATCGGAAGAGTATTATTGTTTCAAAATATAACTATACCCATGTTGGGGAGACTCTTCGCAACCTGTCATAAAGCTGTCCATGCATGCGTCAATATATTCTGCTGATTTCTGTTGCCAACGTAAATTTTCTTCAACCTTGTATGTTCTTTGTAAGCACGAACGTCCCGTTGCGGCCTCTCGTGCACCATGACTTGAACACATCTTTTCTGCTGCGGTCAAATCGTCTGTATCATGAAGCTCCATTATATTTTTTGTGCAATATTTCTATTGACAGTTACTAATTCTTTTGGGAAGCGTAATATTACAAGTCTATCATATAGTCTTTTGTAATATACTCATGGTTTGATGCTGGTGAAAAATAGAAAATTATTATTCCAATCTCAAAATCATACTGTCAAACAAGAAAGAATCACTTAAATACTATCTCCTTTGAGATTACAAATCAGGCGAAGACAAGCATATCATTGGAGGTTTGATTTTAAAGTTTGATTGCAAAACTCACCAAGTACGAGCGGCGCCGGATGAGCATTTCGTTTTTTCCTGGAGTGCACGCAATGAATATTGCTGTACTGTCTCAGTGCTTCTACTTGAGTATTAATAATCAACCCAGCTTCCTAGATAGAAAAGAATATCTGGAAGATAGTTTGTACAAAATACGAGGTCAATGGAAATTGAACACACCTCTATGTAGAATGTTCTTTAATACCGGCAATGCGACATTACCTAGTTCAAAATAGTTTTAGTCATTCAAGACGGAATTGTTACAAACCATAACTTTTTTTTGCACCAAACTGCACCACCACATATAGTTAGCTAATAACAATAATACCAACAACTGAAACATTCTATTCTAGAATGGAGGGTCAAAGTCAACAGCTGACAATTGCTGAAGCAATATATTCTTGCATTTGTAAATCGTTCGGTTATATTACCTCGAAAACATTATGGGCGTCTCTTCCGCCTTTTCGCGAACATGCCGTGTCATATTCTTCCATCTTTGACCACAAAAGATCTCGAGTAACTCTTGTTCCATTATGTACAAAATAGGACGCTCTATCAATAGCGGAGAAGAAAAATGCTACATTGGGTTCCCCTGAAAATTGAAGAGTACGAGTAAGACGCCGATAGAAGAAATATGCCAAACACGCACACGATATTTTTGTCAAAATAAATAAATTCGAAAGCTTACTTCCTCCAAAATAAAAACACCGGAGTAAAATTATTTGTTTGAAACATTATCGCGGGGATATGATTCAAATGGAGTTGCGGTGCTGTTTTATGAACATTGATACGTTGCGAAATCTGGATGCCCGATGTCACCGATTCTTCAAGCTAAGCTGTAGGTTTTTTATTATTTTTTAATTTATTGTTAGACGCATTCCTTCTGAATCTTACCCAATTATATATGTAAAATTTATTGTATTTGTATATCGAATATATTCTTACCTTCTACGACCATAGAAACACCTTCTCCTGGAGCTACAGTTGATTTTGGAGTTGAAATTTTCAATTCCTAAATATTAGTAGCACTTAAATTAACCAAAATTGCAAAATTATCTAGGAAATTATGCCAGTTCAAACCAGATTTGTTAGTCAACCCGAAAATTTAGTGACAGGCATATTCGCCCATGGTCCCAAATGGATATAAGCCTCAGTTTAAAATATGAGTTCGTGTCTGCTGCTCCATCCACGCCCGTCCCATGCCATGGGGTTTGATTACACTGGTTAATTGTTTCAATCTTTGACCAAATACTACATTCCCCAATTTACTTGTCCTGTAAAGCACAGACGTGAATAATTTGAAATTATAAACTTACTTCTTTGCAAACATTGATTACATCAAACCAAATGGAGTTTGAAGCCAATGTTTCTCCCAGAATGTAATAAGCAACCACGCGAGCATTTGGAACCATTTCATCAGTGACGTCAAAGTCTGCTGGAACGTCTCCTATTTGACCCGGTTTGAGTTCCACAAAATTCGAATACACAAATTGACCTCGAGCTATAACCTGAATCCAAGCAAAAGATCACAATCATTGGACATGATACAGCGACAGCCTGCCAAACATCTTTTAAAATTGATTCAACTTTGTTGTAGGTGATAAATTGAATTTTTGCTTGAATTGAACACCGTAAGCCAGGGCTTGGCACCGATAAATCACACTTTCCAACTGTCTCAACCAATGTGTAATAATGCTGAGCTCTTCCAATTGAAATCCAATACAAATATGCTCTTTCGTCACAAAGTTTAATTTTCCAAGTCTGCACTGTTCCACTGACGCGTAATATTACTAGTTTGACTTTATTTTACATTGATGTCGTTCTTATCCTATTTGGTAAAAATGCTAGGCTTTTAACGTTTTTTTAGAGAAAAAAAATTATACTCGCTTACATAATATATTATAGTCTGTGGTGATACATTTCCTAATATAAAAGTGACGTGTTGGGATTCTCCCACTTCGACAATTCTGAATACAAACATACGGTTATTAGTAATAGAGTAATGATTTTAAAGTTTATTAATTTAGCTAACCAGTAAATAAGGATAATGTAACCCTGCAAACAATGGATTCGTGAGCATATCCTAGCTTTTACATCATATGTATGCACAGTTTGTGCGGGTAGTCGAATTAGCTGTAGTGTATTGCTGTAAAACTTTGATCATTTTCATTTTTGTAAATGTTCATAGACAAATTTTTTTTTAAAACTACTGATGAATCGACATATGGATATAAAATATGATGATACCTTTTTTGAATCCGCATTGCCAAATGAAGATTAGCGATATTTCTAGAAACTTCAATTCGACTCAGTTCTTGGTTTACTAAAGGAAAATCTTCACTGTCCGTTTTTATCTAAAATACATATAAAAATACGACATTTGTAGAAGATCTAATGAAGCCCCAGTGAATTATAAGGGTAAAGGGGTAGTGTGAGGGCGAATTATTTTCTTTTAAAATTAATTGAACATTTTACCAAATTGCCTATTACAAACTGATGAGCTCTGCCTGCGACAAATGAAAACTTGAAGACTATAACGCGCATTAAACTACGAACGAGATGTCAATAAGTGGTCAATGATATATCTTTGAAATCGATGGATAACTTAAAACTCTAACCTTCCAAATACAAAAAATCATTTGAAACGACACTGGTGTTTTATGCAATTGTCAGATGAAACTAATTGTCCCAGAATCGGGACCTAGGGTGAAAAATTGAAACCTATCTCCTTGAGATGTAGCAAATAAAATCTTTGTTTCGAGATGAGTTATTTGACTCGCACAAACATGTGTTATATATTTTACTATGCTATTTAATTACATTACCTCAATGACTGCAGGGTCTCCTTCAAGATTCATTTCGTGGTATATTTCGCCATGTTTGTTACTTCTGAAATCTCTATCTCGCCCCTTGCCCCCTTTGAAATAATATTGATATACATATTTAATTTGGAATTAAACAAAAGTCAAAATAGCACTTAAAACGATTGCATTTCTGAAAAATTATCGTTATGTGTTTTATCTTTACCTTTGTATCTTGGTAAATTACCTGATGGATTTGTGTTGATATATCTAAATAACACATTCGAATTGCATATAGCGGGCTCTGTGTTCGGTTTCTACATAAATTGAGATTGTCCAGTTATTTGCTACATTCGTCAGAATCCCAGTGGTTTATGCTGACGTTTGATCTCGTGAATGAATCGACTAGAGAGCAGTGGACAATTTTCTTCCAGTGAGAAAAAACGGCAATTAAGACCCCAAATTCATTAGCACCAGGATAGCATTTTTGAGCCTCCAACTTGCTTTCGTTTTGTAAATTTCGAATGACGTCATGACACATTGAAAATTAATAAAAAATTCGATATGGCATTATATTACATTTACAAAAATTCAACATGGCGTTGGATTCAAAGTGTCAATTGATACCCACTAGTTACGTAAAACATAAAGTATAAAATCTATACTATGGCGTCAAAAATTTTCAAATTTCCAATGCCTGCCTGACAAAGCCTAGACGAACACCCACCCTCTGACGATGAGACGTCCTAGATCAAACATTCGTTGTGCAAAATTGAAATATTTTGAAAATGTCTGAATCTTATTCGAAATACTTACATTCAACTATTACAGGAATATCCGGTAGCGGTGAATTTGATACAACGTCTCGAATTGTAACCTGCGTGAATAATAAATGAAAGCAAGTAATATCAGCATAATTAGTTAAATTATGTATACTAATAAAAAATATGCAACATTTTTGAATGACAACTGACCAAACTGTAATTTTTGTCTTTCACCAACAAATTTTCTTTCTATTAAATTGGTATAGGAATGGATGAATGTAGAAAATCGTAGAAAAATTTTTTGTGATAACTTTTCATATGTTTTAAATTTAGATAAATTATCGAAGAAATTTCCGTCTTGAATTTACCTTGACTTCGTAAACTGAATGTGGTAGATAGTACTTTGCACATTGTGAGTAATCGATAACGAATGGCGAATTGGTAAATATGATGTCATCAACTACGTCACTTTCAAATACAGCCTCATGGTCACCTATTGATTAAAGATAAAAATAAGGAAATGTTTCTGAATGTTAGTTTTGGTGTGAATTTTTCACACACAGATCCGAAGTAGGAAGTAGACGAGGGTAAACGACCGGCAGTTCCATACACAATATCCTACTTCCCGGTATCGGTATCTGTTTTGCATATTTTCAATGTATAAATAAACACATATATATCTAAACGTATGTCAGTGGATATTTCCTGGTATACGTGGCTCAAAGTCAACCAAACCGAAACTATTAAAAATGAGCAACTAGTACAATTATTGTGATACAATAAAACTAAACAATTCAAAATTCAACTCCACAGCGACTAGATATCGAGAAATTGTCGATGTTTCAGATATCGATAATCGGTCACAATAAGAGGGATATGCAAATTTGAAACATAACTCTAAAAATTAATTGTATACCGTTTCGTCTAACCAAAATCAGACTTCGTCAGACAAGCAGTTAACGACAATACTGGAGATTATTTGTGTTAGTGTGAAGCAGGACTCTTGAATTGCATAGTGCATTTCCAATAGTTGTGAAACCTTGAGACTCAGCTAATGTACACTATACTTACAATATACTTACATAATATGCACCTAGTAATATGATCACTACGTGATACTAAAACGAAGTTTAATAGGTAGCTGTTTCTAACCTGTAACTGATGCCATGACGATAACTTTAGCCGTGCCTGGATTTTCTGCAAATTGTCGTAACGTTTCTCCTTCTCTTAATATTTTCGTCAATTCATCAATTGGGATTCTGAAAGATTTTTCTCCGTTACCTATGGCTGCCTGCAGAAGAATAGTGGAGGATGAGCAAAAAACTACTATAAAAGGAAAACAGAGTTTCAAACACCATCTCAGCGCAAACTGAATACCTGTTTGCTGAAACTTCGCGGAATCTTGTAAAATTCTTCTTCTTCTTGTCCATCTCTGGCAAGTCTGAAGGACATGTAATACTGGCCATCAACATTTTCGCCATAACTGTATTGCGCAGTTATGAAACCTTCTATATGTTGTTGACTCGGTAGAATGAAATGGTTCTTCATGTGTATCTTCACATCAAATGTTGGAGTTTCTGAAAACAAATAAGTAAAATTTTTGAATTAAATATTTGGAAATATTTCAATAAAATTTAGTGAAATTTTATAATAATTGAAACCAAAATAACTTTTTTTTGTCTGTTCGTCCGTCTGGCACAGTACATGCCACATTTCAGGAAAAATCCACACAAGCCGACTTAGTTTAATAATCTTAGGTTTATCGCACATAAGTTAAAACGACCCTTCTTACCATATCTGTCAATGACGTATGATTTTTCTGCCATTTTCACCCCGTCCTGTGAAATTTTACGAGCAACAATTAAAAGGTATAAACACAGTAGCGGTAAATATACAAGATGTGCGGTTCTTGTTTTGAAATTTTGATTCATATCGAAATGAGCATAGAGTCAAATTCATTATAATTTTGTCACAGCCTTTTGCAACCATGGTACATACTCACTATGTGTGCTTCTGCCCACCAAACACCAAGAATAGGTTCTGATGAAATTGCATATGATTTTTCTATAAAACCATCCTGGTCAGCAATCAAATTGTTCATCTCTATCGCCGTTACCCTATTATGCTCTTCGGGTGTCTGAAATTGTGATAAAACATATTTGTGTTATACCCACTCTGCTAATATGTTGTTCAGTAATTTGGCGTGCCGTCGCTTTTACATCATAGACGTAGTATTTTAAAAGTTATTTATACAATACATTACTCCAAGGGGGAACTAGTAAATAGAATAGCTGAAATAAGATGTGAAATAAGGCATCGGCATTGCGGCAACACAAACTTTGATCTTAATATACTTTACAAAATATGTATTAAAAACTTTCTCGATGTAATTCATTAAGCTGATTGTAGCTAATAATATATTCAGTTTATGACAGGTATAACATTATATTGTTGTCAATTTTGAAATAGAATAACATTTGAATAAAATATAACAAACAGCAATAAATTTACTTTGATTAAAAGCTTAACCGATCTACGTTCATCGGTCTTTCTGAGACGCTGGTCTGTTATAGCAAGAGCCAAGTGGACGGTATCTTTCGGCCTGAATAATATTTAGCATATTAATTACATAGAAAAATAATACCTCTTGTAACAATGTTCCAGTGTAAGATTATTATTGTTGGGTGCCTTGAAAATACATATTTAATTTTTAGAGTTATGTTTCAAGTTAGTTTGCATACCCTTTTGTTGTTACCGGTTATCGGTATCTGAAATATCGACAATTTTTTGATATCTAGTCGCTGTGGAGTTGAATTATATAAATTGTTTAATATTATAATGATATGACATAATCGAACGCGACATAATTAATACTTTTACAGCGCAATAACATCGAAAAAGGTATAAAAATGCAATAAGATTTATTTCATTACAGGAATCTCGGCATCGATTTTTTAAGCAATACTAGTATCAACATTACCTTAATATCAAATACAAAAACGGGGATACATTTTTTTGGTCGTTTTAGGTACAATCAATTTAAAACAGTGTGCACGGTCAGTCTCTTTGTTGTCATTCGCAAATATCTGTATAGCAACGAATTAAAGACGCAAACCTTGCTTACATTTACAAATTTTACATACCTGTACGCGGGTCTGTCTGTGGTCATGAAGACATAGCCATGTGTGTTGTTGAGCATGATTGTCATTTCCTCAACGTCTGTCATCTGATTCAGATTGCAGTTTGGAGGGAAACAATATTTGACGATGAGAAAGGCTTTATATTGCAAACGTTCATTACTTCTTTCCAGAGAAGCACTCTTCGCCTACAGCAAGAATATAAAATAAACATGATGAAGTTTGAAGTGGGAAATTATTTTAAGTATTTTGTTATGTTCCTTGTAAATATTCGTTTAATTATTTCAAATAAAAACGTGTTATTTGTAAGTGAATGGATATCGGTTCCCATATTTTGTATATTTGAAAATCTGGTAATTTTCTACTTTGTAATTTTGTTCTTAATAAATAAAATTAAAAGACATCCCCCGAAAATAAGCCCGAGTGTTATTTTTATAAAAAAATGAAATAGGACGCAGTCTTATTTTCGGGGAAACACGGTAGCTAGCTATCTAGAAGAAGATATCCGAGACTACTTTATCGTAGGAAAAAACAAATGTACTATAATTACTATTCAAAGTGCAGCTTCAAGTGAATCTTCAAGTGTAAAAAGATAGTTTTTACATAAGTAAGAAATAATGAACGCAAGAATCAAAGCATGTCCTATTTTAAAATCGTTTCATTTGGGTTATAAATAAGTAATTTAAAATCGTATAATATTTTGTGCATTCATGTATAAAAAAGACAAAAAAGCATATCATTACGGCCTATTTACTGTTAATTTTGTTTACGAATGATACACGCATATGTGTCATATTCAGCATCGCAGAATTAATTTCATAAATTAGCCTGTAAATTTTTCACCTGGACTGTAAGTCGAACTGGTTTATTCCCGTGTACATGATCACGAATGGTCGATTGGTCGTGCCTGCCTGCTCGACCAGGATAACTCTAATAAAAAGAAACAGTAACATGACATAATGAATCAATATGAATGAAAAGGTAAAACTCTATTTTTCGAAAATGCTAATTGATGTGTATTAGACCGGGAATCGGCAAAGTTTCTGATTTTGCGAGGCGGTGTAAATCTCATTTATTACGTTGACTGGCCTTCAAAATAAATAAAAAATATTCAGCGTTGGAAATTTATTGCACCTCATACTATCCATAGGTGAGAACATTATTTTGCCGCTACATACACTCCCACCTTGAACTATTTTAATCACCGGATATTAGGAATCAGGTAATTAGGGGCCCCATTCGCCAAACTTCGTAAAAAGCCTCGTTTACGAGCACGTAACCTTGTCTCTCAAAAACGTCGTTACGCAATCTCGTTAAGCGCGATTCACGAAACATCTCGTAAAAACTTTACGCACGGTCATACCAGTTCTCTCGAAATCTTACGCACGGTCGTCGTTGAACAAAAATCACTGTATGATCTCTCAATCGTAACAGTCACTGCCGCTAGCCGCCCTGAGCGGACGAGCTCATTTTGCCACGATCTGTAGGGTTTCCCTGTTTACAGACTGTGTTTTGAAAATTTGGGTCATATAGCAGTAATCTATGGATATATGAAATAAATGCTGGAGTACCTATTGTGAGCTACTTCTGTGACCGACAATAAATTAGACGAATGAATGCAATCCCATATTTGATGTTAGTACGCTGTTAGTTTGCTTATATAGATGGGTCCACAGCTACTAGACTACAGTCACTCTTACCTAAGTTAGGCATTCAAAGATTTTTGATACCAATTTTTCACGAAGTATGCAAACACCACAGCATTTGTTGGGGTGCATTTGGCACATACTTGTCTTAGGCCAGTAAGGTATTGAACATGTATCCCGTCTTAGTTATACCGTTTAATTATTATGTAGATACTGTTACAAATAAACACTCATACATTTTAACCCGAATTCATGCTAAGAACATGCCGAACTACTGTTAACGAGCAAAATTTTCCCCTCGTTAGTTTGCGAGCACTCCGGCGCGAACTTTCGTGAATACCGATTCTCGCTAAAATGAGAGAAGAAGGCACTTTACGAAACGTCTGTTTTGGCGCGCAAAAAATTCTCTCGAATATTAACGATACTTCGAGAATACCATTTTTGCCTTTTACGAGGAAGTGGGTGGTATCTAACACGTTAAACGATAAAGAAGTTTGGCGAATGGCGCCCTAGGTCTCTTTTTTAAATAATATAGTCCCGGAATTTGCTCGCAAATTTACAAAAAATGTTTTATAGCATTTAAAAGAATGATAAAGTACGACCCAGGAAAGTAACGAACTCTTTGCCGACCCACACCGAGTCGCTGATTGTGATTACCGACTACTGCTCCAAACAACTTCAAAGTGTAATTTACCCTAAAAGTAGTTTACAATTATGCTTTTAACCAGATATTAGTTGTTACTGCCTTGGAATTTCTCCAATATATCATGCTACCTTTAAGCATAACAAACAATTATAAAAATAAGTAATCACTTGTTTACCAGTAATGTTGTTGACACGGTTACGACTTCAGAGCATCCGTGGAAACTGATGAAAAAATTTTCTGGAGAATTTATTCGTAGCCCTTTTGGTGTGACCATGAAATGTTTGCATCTAGAATGAATGGTCACTTTTTAAAATAAAGTTACACATTTCATAGTTTGAATAGTATAGTTTGAAAATGATGAGGAAAAAAAAGTATTTTTTTTAAGAATTTTGAATCGATAACGGACAGCAATACCAAGTCTGAAGCAAAACGGTACATTAAATTTTAACTATACCTCTGCAACGACACGGCAAACGATGGTCGAAAAAGTTGTACAAACTTTAAAAAGACTTGAATTTTCGAAGGTATTACAATGTTTACGCAAAAGCAAGTCAACATGCATCACAAATAAAAATATCTCCAATAAAGAATATGAAAATACCGAAATGGGTTTCATAACAGGCCAGATTACTCAATTATTTTTATCAAAGATCCGGTCACAAAACATAAAATTTACTGGGGTTCAGTCTTACCGGGAAATATATTTCATAGTGCGCCGAAATATATTTCAGTGCTTTTAACTTTGAAGTGAAAAAGTAATGTGACTCATAAGTTACAGATGCTATTATTAAGCGCATATCTTTATCTTTTGAACAATTTAAAATTTTTATCACATAAATTCCAAATTATTTCCAAATAAAAAAATACTTACGCGGCATCTCCTTTGTGGAACAAAGTTACCGCACAAATGCACATAAGTACGGTAAGTTTCATCATGCTATCATCAAGCTATCAGCATCAAATAGTTTAATCTTATATAACAATTATAACAAGAATTGGTTATACTGTATTTAAATTCTCAGTTCTTGTGCAATTTTTTATGCGGATATTGTTGAAAACAATTATGGCTTCAGCAAGGAGTAGTTAAGATTTTCTATCCATAATTAAACAAATTTTGCTAGAATATGATGCTAGAGAATAATGATGCTATGACTCTTCCAAATTCCAGTTTAGCATTTTGTTAAATGTACATATTTTTGTTGAATGGTCCTCTATAAATAATCTTAAGTGAAACATTTTCTGTTATAACTTACATATTAACGATATTTATAATTTCAAACAAAAACAAAATTTACCGCCATTCGGCAGGATTTTATATATGAAACAGAAGCAAGATTGGAATTTTTGCTGCATTCTGATATTGAACACGCGAACTCTAATAATGCGTTTCAACTTGATCCGATATAGACACAAAGGTTTAACTGATCAGCCAGCTACCTTCATGGTCTATCATCACCCCGCGAATACGCCTAGTTTCAGAAACCTGTCCTATTTAACGGATTTATCTACCGTCTGGCGTGCAGCGAAGCTTGCAACGCGTTGGATAGATTTCAGGTCTCTTGGTGCAGCGGGTAAAAAGGGGCTTTCTTCAGCAAAGCGCTAATTTGTATAGTCTACGTTTGCCATGTATGATGATGGGAAAATCAAAATGGGTAACACGGTATATCACTTGCCCGCACTTACCACTTATACCTGGTATTTCGACTGATGTAAAACATTATTTTCGACATGACCTTATCCACCGAAACTGAAAGTAAACACAACGATATAAGACGGTGTAAACGGGTGGATCTTTCGTTATCCCCAACAGAAAATAGTGCTTCAAATCGGGAAAAGAAAACTTTTCCAATCCCATTGATTTTAATTTTATGCTTTGCACTACTAATCTTTCGTATTTGAAAAAATTAAAATTAGCAAACATTGAAACGATATTAAGTAAGGCACTATAAAACAGACCTAGAAAAGCCGAAATGTTATAATCGAGTTTATATGAATGAATTTTGACTGCAATGAGATTATAATGGCGAGGGACGCTTCAATAAATTTTTCTTGAACTAGCATATGCTTGGTATCAAAATTAATCAGACGATGTAGTAATTTTATAGTGTTTTACATTTTATATTGCAGTCCATAAGTATTTATTCAACATGTGTGTGTGTAAAGGAGTTTTGAAAGTACGTCCAACAAACTAGCGCGTTCGATGTGGAAGAGGACACCATAATATCAATCAAAGAAGAGAGATGACAATGGATGTTTCCTCAACCCCTGACCCTAGAAATATTCATTCTAAAACCACTTCGAAGCGCAGCTGTCATTGCAAATTACTGACAGTTAATTGGCAAATCCTTTCGTCCATATTTTTCGGGGACGACATAGGTGACCGTAACTAGACTAAAACACTTCCGACTGAGTCCTTGATGTAAACTTCAATTTTGAATACGTAACTGACAATTACGAATAACACCTAAAATCGCCTTCCTAAATTTCAATAACGTCGTTGTTGCCTTGTTACTGATTTGACATATTACGGAATATACATAGAGGTCGTCGATGCTCGGGATAACATACAATTGGTACAGTAGTTTAACAGCAAAATATTTTTGTTTAATCAACAGTTACAATATTCAAAACGATCCATATCTCCAATTCGTTATAAAGTTAATGACTGTAAGTTCAATATTGCAATATCGTTTGAATTACAAGAATGACATAACGATGCCGAATCTATATTGCACTTTAGATTTCGCCATGCACGGAGATATCTGCGCGAGGTTTCTCCAGTTTTTATCTATATCAATTATGTTGATGCAACACTGTTTCCAAGTTGCAAGTCAGCAAAAACCTTCGTTCGTTGACCGCAATCGATGAACCGTTCAAAAAACTATTACCGTAACGTCAACGGATATTTGGGGTTGCAATAATACCTGCGTCATCTCGATTGCACCCACAGACAGACAAACAATATTCAATGGAAATAACCTTGTTTTTGAAAAAGCGATGAGATCAGCATGTCAGTAAATAACAAATATATCTCACCTGACTTTTTACATTAAGTTAGAATAAATGGTAAATTGTAATGGTAAGAAGAGATGATATCGTATGAAAATATTTTTCTGTTTGAATGCATAAATTTTATTCACTACTTCGGTGGTATATTTAAATTTTTTCGAACTCAAGAATTTTAGAATAATGGCGGTCATACTTTTTTTCGGAACTCTTTTTGCTGGAAAGCTGATTAATAGTTTTGCTGAAACGTAATTTTGCGCAGATATAGTTTTTCCATAACGGACTTTTACGCTCATTTTTTTTATATAAACAGATTTTGCGGAAGAAGCTTTTGAGCAAATTTAGTTATATATAAATGTAAAATAAATTTTGCGAGAATATACTTTTGCAATTGTATGTTTGATAAGCAACTTTACGTTCTAGCAAATCTACATTCGCACGAATTTACTCCCATATGAAGCAGTTCAGGCAAGGTACATTTTTACGAGTCAGCTGCTACAAATCAAATGAACTACCGTTGGAATGTAGAATGCTAAAAATGGGAACCGTAACACAAATGACAGAACACATTGATGGTTTAATTTCTTTAAAATAGTCAAATGTTTTCACAGAATAAAATATCCACTTTCAGTTAGGACAGAAGAACTTCACCAATCCGTACTCCTGGTCGTAATTTAACCCCGTGGCGGTTTAGTATTTCATGTTACATAAGACTGCGTTTTGGCTTCGGTTTTATAATAGTATGATTTCCGTGCTAATTATCATTTCTGTGGGTATTCGATAATTGATCGGTTTAAGTTTTCTGACCTTTTATTGGTACCCATTTTTTACAGTATTCATATGTCGCTTTATACCTCCATAACATGTATTGTGATTTTAAGTCTTTGCACGTTCATTGCACGTTACGTTAAATTCATCGTCTGAAACTTTGTTGTTACCTGATACGTCTGAATTCCCCACTCCGCTGAGATGGACAAAAATAAACTGATCATTCGAACCGATATTAGAGTTCTTGGTAAAGGAGCTCCAGTGGGCAGTTAGGCGTAAAGTCCCATTTTTGCCGTAAACAAATGATGATATACTGATTACTGTGTAATAGATTTCAAGACTAGACTATATCAAGATTTTGCAAAGAGGCCAAAATGGCCATTTAGGGTGCACCTTGTACATAAACGCATATAAAAATGAAAGGAATGATAATTTTAAATTAAGTTAGCTATTTTTTATTGACTTTTAAAAACTACGCTGTTCTCTTTCAGTATTTCGAATGGCATGCGCCATTTTATTTGATGGTAGGGCGAGTAACTATCCCATACTCACACAAAACCCATGTTTAGACAGGCCTCCAAACCTTAATAAATGTTACTAGGAAATGAATTAGATATAATCCTGACAATCTTATGAAGTGGATGTTTATCAGTCATTCCTTAAATAAAACCGCTGTAATAAATAATTCGTGGTCCATACATAGCTTTATTAGAATAAGTCAATAAATATGAAGAACAACAATTTTTTCAAAAAGACAATAACACAAGTATAGAGATTATCAACAAGTTAAATGTCCCTATCTCTTTCAAATCAATCATTATTGAAACATTGCTGGTTAGATTTATTATTCTGACTATCTATCATGTGGAATTCCACAACTTGTAGCTATATAAAACTCTATATCTATCTTTTTCTATGCCTGAAGGCATATAAGAGAGCAATGCTTAAATATATGGACACGAAAGCCAGAACAAAGTATTTCCAATATTTTACAGCACCAGCAGTCTGAACCATAAAATCACGGAATCACGGCACAGCGCACAACATTTGACGACGTCATCTCACAAAACTTGGAATTTTAAAACGAATCCAGTGAAGCCCACGAAATTTTTGAAATAAATAAAAGTAATAACTTTCTTGAGGCAGCAACAATCTTTAACCACTAAAAATTTCAAATCAATATGTCCAGTAGTTAAAGAGAATAATACCAATAAGAAAAAAATATTGTAAATTGTAACAATCGTGAACGCGAACTCGGAACCGCCCCAAGAGGCTCGAAATCTAATTATGAAATTACTAAAAGTATTAGCCCTCTAGTGATAACAACAATATTCCTGACCAATAAGAGGTCAATGCTCAAATACATGAACGTGAAGGTCGAAATTTTCAAAATATATTGAAATAATTGTCTTTTAGCGGCAGCAACAATCATCAACTACTAAAATATTCAAAGCAAGTGGCCCAGTAGTTGATGAGAGAAGCGATTTTTTCACAACAGGAATACTAACAACAACAACAATTTGGCAAACGATTCATAGGTCCACTTCGTGTCCGAAAAGATGACATAAGTTATATAATTTAATGACATCTCACTTGAAATCACTGTAGAAATGGTATTTTACGTAAAGATAGCCTCCCACTCGGCATATTCTGCTTTCTTCAAAGTTTGGGCTTCAATATTATTCATAGAACTTCAGATACATTTTTATTCTCTTATTTATACAAAATGTGCCGTTTACTCTTACTCATACTCTTCAGAACTTTTAATTGGAATCATATTAAAACATAAATCGGTGACATAACTTGGGGCATAACTTTTCTTGAGTAGCATTTTAACTTTATAGCTTTTAATATGTAAACGTATATCTCCCGGTAAAGATAAAAATGTCATTTGAGTGATGCATTAGATTATAGATTTGGAAAAGTTTTCTCGGGTTCCCGACTGCAAGCTGTTCTAACATTCGACGGCTCCGGGATACAAAATTTTGACTACAAACGCATGCCTTATTAGTTTCAGTTGTAAACATTGAATATTGACTTTCAGTAGTTCAAACTTTCCACTTCATGACTCGGGGAGTTTGAAAATACAACCGTGACGGAGAACACAACTTCGACAATGCTACTAACAAGGAAAGAACGACAAGTACTGATCTTGCGGTTTTGTGAAGAAATATGATATTCAATATTCTTATTAGTAACGAATACTAGGTTGTCGTCGTGATTTGCATAGACGCAGTATTTAATTTATGTATTCCTGAACAGAACTTAGTTCTAGGACTCGTGGGAAGGAATTTTCGTAAAATTATCTAATGTTTCAGCATATACAGCAGTTGGCGCATCGCACTAAATGCTAGGAATATGCTTGCCATCGCATCTGCGATTACATGCGCAGTTCGCATTCCTCGATGGAAAATTATGTACAAGCAGATGGCTGGACTTCTCGACTTCGTAGGGTGGTTCACATAACCGCCTTTCCGTTAGGCCGTCCTCTGCCATCAAGTCCACGCATCTGAAACAAATACCTACTGGCTAACTATCCCCATACCGAATATGGAGTGGTGACCGAAAGAGAGGTCGTGGTTTTCTGTATGGTTAAGATGTCTCACCGGTTTTTCTATTCCCGGCATAAATAGGAAAATCCAATCCTAATTGTTGAGTTTTTCACGATCCACAACGCCCTCGTGCGGCGTATCTGCACTAGCCATTATTAGTTCGCTGTCTGGGCCCTGAGAATACTTGGGCTTTTAATTCCAACAGTATAGTATTTTATAGACGCGTTCACAAACTATCATTTTAAGACCCTACTTACCTGTATAGAGTTTTATTTATTCTTTCAGATGAAATACATATATTTTAATACAGAATAGGCGATAGTTTCGAAACATAATATACACCGTTTCTATTTGTTCGTAAAATATGTCAAACGTGTATTTAGAAAAGTGCATGGCTAAAGGAATGCAGTATAATTCACTCATGCTAACTTAATAAAATGCTTTAAATACATCGTTTACACAAAGTTAAATACGTTACTGTATAAACAGAAATGCGAATCATTTTCAAAATTATTTTATTTCATAAAAAAAAATAAAGCACGAAATAATTTATTATTGATATAGGCCACACACATAGATAATACGATATAAGAATTATCATTGAATCAGGGATGGTTGAACATATCGATAAGAAACTGCAATGCAAATGAAAAAAAAAATGGCAAGCTCTTGAAAGAATAAAATATGGGAAGACTAAAGTTTCAGCAAATCAGCCGATATATTAAAGTTATTAAAATATTTTGAATCGTATTGTTATTGAGACACATGCGGTTTATAACACAATGTTGAACAACTAAAATTACCCAAGAATCGCAAAGTATTTGCTGTTTTTTTTCAACAGTTAATATTTAAAATCAGATGATGTAACATTGAATAAATAAAAAAATAAAAAAAATATATATGTGTATATCCATAAAAATAGTACAACAATAGCACTTATTTGAAAGTGAATTTTTTAACAATGATTATTCACAATGAAGTGAACGATAAAAAGACAGTATGAACTCCAAGAGGAATGCGTTATTTGGTTTTGATTTTTTTATATTGCATATCATATGACAGACTGATTGCACAAACACATTTACACTCATGCGCTTGTTGTTGACATTACAGCGTCGTCTGCAAAAAAATATAATATTAGTTCCCGCCATTTTCGATATAAAATGCCAATATAAAGATTGAATTAGAAAATAAAAGTTTAATACATTCGGTAACACCACTCAATTAGGACTATAGCCAGATTGAATCTAAATAAATAAATAAAAATAGATTTCTTTCCCGCATCCCTATCGTAAGTGAATCAGAAGATTAATTCTCGAATATAGGGAGGCAAAAATGACAAATAATAATATAATTGCACCGAATGTTTATGAATTTTTAAAAGAATGGTATCTAATGCCATATTGAATAAGATGAAAGAGCAAAATAGTAGGCCCCGTAAAACTAAAGAAAAAATTTGAAAAACTGTATTGAGAATATTTAACCGATTGGTTCATTTATAACGCAGAAAGGCAATTTTTAGCACAACAACGAGAATTTCATCTATCGACAATTTCAATTTCATCTACCGTCAAGGTTATGGACTGAACATTAGATTCACAGTCCAAGAGAATAAATAAGATTTAAAGGCACAATGGGTTTGTGAAAAGCGCTGTTTGATGCGAAATTAAATTGAAAACTATAAAAATAAATAATTGGAAAAAGAAATCAACTCACCACACTTTAAATGTGTTCTTTCGTGTTTTTTACTCCATAATAATAAATATTGCCTTTTATATGAACAACCATCAATATCTGAATGTGGAAATAATAAAAATGAGAGGGATGGTTTTCAACTCTGGTGTCGGCGTAAAAATGTTCGAACTTTTTGCACCAAACCGGAGCTATCTATTTTCATAAATAAATTATTCTAAATATGCCGGGATAGAGAGCCCGAAAAACTTCCTTCGACACCACTGACTCGGAATGGGTCTTGATCAAGGTTGTCCGAAATAGTCCAATACCAAAGAATTAATTTAAGCACGCTATTAAATACTTTTTGTTGTACTAGAAATTTTTAAACATACCGTTTTTCAACTCATTGACCCTCGGTTTTATTATCCATACATTGTGTAAAATAACAATAAGAGAAATGAGAAACAGCGCAACAAATATTGTAAGCGCGAGAGTCACTGCTGTGCAATCACTTGACGAGAGAGCTGAAAGAAAAAAAAGATTTCGATAATTCAAAGGATCACACTCTTGTGATGTCAGAATAAAATAGCTTAAAATGAAATGTAAAATTAGTGCCTGAATAAAATAATTTATACTAATTATCGAAATTACTAATTCTTCTGAAAAACACGAGCAAAATCTTATTCTACTTTTGTTGCTACAAACTCTTGACGCAATCTTTTCCAAGCATCTTTGTGACAAAGGTCACATATGGATCCGACAGTACAAAAACGTGAAAAGAAGGATAGACAGTTCGTCACACGACCCCGCAACATATTTCTTAGAATTTTAGGAAAACTTGGAATTTTTTCGAAATCAACCACAAAGAAGAATTATAGAACATCAAACTATACGAATGAAAAAAATCTAGATAAATGACCTTGCTCCGAAAGATGGAGTAAAAATATAAAGCCTCTATAAAAAATCTTATCCCAAATTTTATCCATTGGAAAATGTTGCTATTTATATTGTTTATAAATATTCAGTTTTATTAATAATTCAGATGATTTAAAGTAGTGAATAGAAAAATAAAACATTTCCGCAAGATTATAAAATTCCTGAAAGGCTGTTTAGAATTATGTAAGATCAATATAAATTTTTCGAATTTTGATAAATAAATATTTTCGCTTACTTGGGGTGCTGACCTGGCCGCTAGAGGCTCGCACGTAGTCCACTGAGCCTGTGGACTCGATTTCGTCCTGTGAAATCGCTCGTACTGTTACAGTGTATGTTTCGCTGTCATCGATGTTTGAAAAATAAAAAATATTATTTTTCTTAGTAGGGAGAAATAAAATTTCTTGAGAAATTTCTCCGTTGTACTTGATCAATCGAACCAGGTATTTCACGGCTCCTGGTACGTTTGACCAACTGATACCGATGTTGTTTTCTCCCCGAAGTAAAGTGACTTCTGGTCTCTGCAGGTCTAAATAAAACTTGATATGTTGTAGACGAATGACATTAGAATATCCCAACAAATTCAAAGTCCTTAATTGACAAATTCAAATGACGAAACAATGACGTGATCGAGTCATAAACGTCAGTTTGTCATTGTTTAAATATAATTTGAATATGACGTCATGATGTAATTTTAAGATGTCGATAACTGAGATATCAAACCCGTATCTATCTACCCGTATCTAAGTACGTGCAAACCATTAGTACACCCCAAGATTCTGGGACATGACTGTTTTTAAAAAGTTGACCAACATATAGATAGATGATTTATTTCACACGGATTTTGTGAATCTTCTAAAATAATGATTAAATTACCTGTCGTAAAGTTTCTTTTGATTTCCTTACTTATGACAGTATCGTTCACAGACCTTGCTTCCACTTGGTAAATGCAACCATCTTGTAATGTCGAACGTTTTATCTAAAGATATAAAAAAAAATAGTTAAAAATTATGACTTGTTACCTCATTCACAGGACCATCCCACAGACTTATACCACAACATATCTGGTCATTTTTGAGAGACCCTTCAAATACTAGAGGAAATGACAAGCGCATTTATCTCTGAACCAGACAATTACTTATGATAATTGTTAGATGCAAAGTACAACAAAGTAACCAGCATGACTTGTCAATTCACCAATATCGAAAAGCAGTATTTCCAATCACTAGGTAATTTTTGTTTTGATGGGGCAGAATCCGGACCAAATTTTCGGGTTTGTATCAGGTCGAAATAGTATTTCATCTACAGAAGGATTGTGGTCGCCTGCGGTAAACATGTCTGAAACTGCTTTGTCTTCAACCAACTTGTAAACTTATACTATTTACATCGAGATCTGAATCGATTTTCTGAAACGTCATTTTTACTCACAATCATTTTGTTTTTTAATGTTTTCTGCGAGAACACGATTTTCTTCGTTTTCTCTACTTTAATAGTGATAATATTAAAGATATGTGCCGTTATATCGTTCTGGTTCCAAGTAATTCTGACGTCATCTTTCCCTAGTTGTGCAGACAAATTTCGTGGAGTATCAGGAGATATCGGACATGTTCTGAAAATAGCATGTTATATTAGTATCAAAATATGAATAGAAACTTTAAACTATTCAAAACTACATATATATGCTTAATTAATACTGATAAAAACTAGCCGCAAACTTGACAAAAATATCATAGTAATTGCTTCGCCAATGTATAATAAGATTTGAGATATTCTAGCAAACGTGACCATAGATAAGTGCGACAAAATCAAAGATTGTGGAGTGTTAGATATAATAAATTAGCTTGTTTGTATTTAGGTTAGAAATATAGGTTTTAAACTTTGGTTTTAAACAGTTAAGCTCATCATTCTAATCATGTGTTCTATCAAAGCCAGAAAGCCCAAAGTAAATCAGAGTATTCTTCCTTTTTGATTGATCCTGATTTCAACCCAATAGATCATACAGAGTTCCATGATTGTCCCCACGTAGCTCTATGTGATACAAGCTGATGTTAATACCTTTGCTTTTTGTTTTTTGCAACATAGCATGAGAAGTTGAGGTCTTCATCGTCTCCCTTCCATTCGCATTCGGGATCGGAATTGCATGTCTCACAATCGATATTCAGCGAACAAAATTGAATCGGCAAAGACATAACTTTTGAAGTTGTCACTGCCAAGATGTAACCCTTGATGGGAAAAACGAAGTAGGTATAAGAGTATATTTCCATCATGTTATTACTTTGTTATGCTTGTTAATCGGTATTAGTTTACTAGTATATATGAAAGGCCGGACCTGAAGCATAGATTAATCGTTACTTTTGTAATTGGTGCTCCTCAGGTCCATGATAAGAGATAATATTAATAATTCCCCCCAATTTGCGCGTATCAATAGCTAGTGATGCATTAAAGAAGAAACATCAAGTGATAACAGAGTATGCTTAGAGAGGGAGAATGGAGAGTTTCAAAATAGTCGATAGGTGGAATGTATTAAGAAAGATTATACCAAAAAACTAGGAATAATAAAAAAATAATAACATACTTTTTCTTCAACTAGTTCAGCAGTCATGATAACGTCATCACCCTGAATCGAAAGAAAATGAGAAGTTGTTTTTAAAAATTATATTTCTTCATAAATGCATTATACATTAAACTGATGAAGTTTGCTTTATGGCAAAGTTACCTGGTATACTCTACGTTCGAATATATCTGATGTGGTCATATCAGAATGGCGTACAATTTTCTTCAAATACCCGTTTTCTAAAAAAAAATAGTAAAAGAAGGTGAAAGAAATTGTGATATTTTTTATTTGTAATTTAGAACTAGCTGTAAGAATAGGTAAGATAATATGACCTGAAAAAAAATTGGAAATGTTTCTCATTCAATACCAGGTAACAAATTTTACTTGCTATACACCGTAGCATGTAAAATATGAATTAACTAGTTAAAATCATCGAAATAACTAAAACTAATAACTTATTCGTCAAACCTGAAAGTAATAGTATGGTCTTGCTCCATTCTGTGCTGTGAATAAACATAAACTTATATTTATGATCTGCATTGCCAACATAAAACGGTTTTCCGCCCTTTGGTGCAACGTTTGTTTTGATTAGAATATTTTCTAGAACGAATTTCTCGAAAGCACTTTTCAGTTGGTACGGCAATGTAGTAGGGCACTGAAACAAAGTGTGAAATGTTAGTATTCATCTAATATCTTACCCTTGCAACGTCTTTGACGATCATTTTGAGAGGTGACTGGTGCGGATAAGTTGGTCTATTTAAATATTTACGTTTTGTCTTCAATTATTCCAGCAGTTAACTTAATTCTGGAGTAACCTAGCATTTAAGGGCTCATTTTCAATTACGGCAACATGTAAACTATAAGATCTCGCGGAAGATATTATGAGGGCTTAATTTAGGGATACAATTTTATAAACATATTTACAAACTAACAGACAAAAGTGTTACTGCATGAACGAGGACGTGTATATAAGCACGCATAAGAATTTATCTGAGTGAAAGGAATAAATAGATGGTTGAATTTCGTTTGTTGTCCTTATTGCTGATTACCTATTTTTGCGAAAATAAGTCAATATCGAAGGAAACTTTCAAAATATCTCTCGTGTGGTAGCTACAAACACACGATGCCTTGTCTTTGTCTAAAAGCCCGCAAGCATCACAGAATTAGTAATATATTTCACCCTATACTGTTTGGAAATCGAATTCACTGACCTGTCCCGGTAAGAATGGAGTATCTCCGCTCGGTTCGAATGATATTTCATTATTTGGATTCGTTTTGTGGAAGTACTTTGTTTTATTGTTTTCGAAAATTTTCCCTTCCATGACGTCATCAATGACGTCTGTATCATATTCTGCAAGAGCGTAAGTAGGAAGACCCCAGTTTCTGGTATCAAAAATAAACAATATATTGAAAATGTAATTTAGAAATTTTATGTAACCAATGCGGTGCATATTTTTTATGATCATGAAAAAGTATCGTTTGAATATTTTGGTTTCGGTATCCTGCGTTAAAAAATTTCCAGACTGGTAATAAACAAAACTTTACCTGCTTGTTCTAAACATTCCGAAAATTGACGATTTAATTTGAAACGTAGAAACTGAAAAAAAAAAATAAATAAATACAAAAATAATTTACAAAATATCCATTGCAATAACCAGGCATAGTCGTGGCTGCATATTTTTGCAAGCTTTGGCATGTTTCTATATGCATTATTTATGGTGCAACTAAATTACATGATAAATGCAGTTTTTATAGACAGGACATGCATGGGCGTATAGGGCTTCGGTTGTTTACTGATAAAATGCAATTATATTACTAGGGAACAGAAAACATATTTCCAAATATTGATTGTGCTAAAGCTAAATGGACGCGGAAGCGAAATAATTCCACCCTATATTTCTAAATATAGTAGCAAATTCTATAGTGCAAATTCTAACCGCACGCAATGAATACCGCATGTTACAGGTTTATAGAAATGAATCGGGAATCGTATATGAGTATTATATTAGCAAATAAAATGCCTAAAATGATACGACTTTCATAAGATCTCCCACACTTATAAACTAGAAACATAAAAACATATATTTTAACGATAGTAAACGTATTTTATTACAATTTTAACACTGACTTCTAAGCATTCAAGTATACTCTGCTTCACAACTTTCCAAATTTAGCAACCGATGAAATAAAAATTCTATACCCGAATGGGAGTTTTTATAAAACAAATACGAATATATATAATCAATGGTATATTATAATTACCTAATTCGTTATAGTACAAATTTTCATCGTCTGTTATGGCGTAACCAGGCCAAGGACAAATTAATCGGACTTTGCTAAACGTCATCCATATATTTTTATTCCATGAACCTCCCTGGTCATTCTGTTGATAAAACAAACATGAAAATTATGTACATACAGTAACAGCATGTTGCTCCATATATAAAATATAATAAACAGTATCGTACGAAAATAATATTCAATATATCAAATTCGCAGTTTCACGACCAATTTAGATAGTTTAACTTGGAAAAAATCTCATTTTGAGAAATTGGAGTTTCAGTATCATCCAATTTTAGTTATGAATTACAGAAAACCAATCAAATCACTGTTTATGTTTATTTCCCCGCAATCCAAAATTCAAATTATAAATCGATGTTCTTTTGTGAACAATTTCCAGAAGATAGATATATGCATGAACGACTTTTTCTTGTTCATCAGGAACAAGAAGACAGTATAAGTTCTAAAAGTTCTAAAAGAAAGTGTGTACAAATTCACAAATGAACCTTACAATTCGATGTTGCATATTCGTAAATATTGCTTTGGAATGTATTAGATATAGTAAATTAGTCGGTTAAGACTTCAGGTAATCCCTGATATACAGAATTATCAGTTGCCTACTATTTTACAGGGTAGTTCGCATCTTGGCAACGCTAAAGAACCTAGAGAAGGGGGTTCTGGCATGAAGAGAGCTCCTCTGTGTTTTCGCGGATTGCGGACGGGCATTATGAATATAAATTCTCGCTGAAAATTGAGATGATGGGTGCATAGTTCTAAGTTATATCAACAACGTTAGTCCAATACTCTCGGATAACCCATAGTATTAAATCAACACTGAATTTTATCCTCTTTCGTTCTCGTCCTCTTTGGAGTGAAATAAATGAACGAACCTTGCATACTCGTCCAACCATACTGTAGAAATCGTTCTTTGTGTTTTCCGCATTGAAAGTGCCACCCACGAAATTGGTAGATTTTTCGTTCAAAAATAAATATACATTGTTCTTGTTTGGCACTGTATAAACGCCTTTAAATTCTGGGCCTGTAAATTTAAAATATAGTAAAAACAAGGGTTGAGGAAGGAAGCAATGCAGAAATTTGATGTAACACAATACTGGCATTTGGCAATGCTGATATGCGTTTTGCTATTCGTCAGAGCCATGAAAAAGCGAAATATAAGTTTGCATTGTTAGATTGAAAGTCGCGAGTGGGCGTTTTTAATTAAACCGAAACTCGACAAAAATTCATATTTAAGGCTTGAACGAGCTCAGTCTTTAAATCCACGGAGTACGCTTGAAAATTAAAATAACCAAGCTACTTCAAACTACTTATGAAGAAGTGCAGCCATCTCTGTAAGAATGCTGACTCGAATTTGACCTATTTCAAATTCCATACTCAAACTTACATACTTACATTCCCGAATTTCAAATACTAGACTGAATAGCAAAACATGGAGATTAGTTAACAGATAACTTTCTATCAAGAAAATCACTCAACGAGCAATGGGCGCGACATCTGTTATCAGCACTAGGGCTGCAGTTTTTTTACATAAGTTTTCTCAGAGATTAATTTATCGTGCAATAGCATGTTCTTATTCCCGACAATGAAGAGTTGAATTTTGTTTTTTTCGGGTAAATGGATACACCGTGTGGTTCTGGACAAACTTTTATAAATAAACAGGGTTACCATTCTCGCAAAGATAATGATTCAATATGTGTTATCCATATGCTCATGGTACTCACCATTAAACCATCCTCTATTCGTTGACAATGATTCTGGAATTCTTTTTGAAAATATTCCTTCCTTTGACACAGATGGGGTTGAAGCAACGTAGAATTCGTCCTCTGGAAATGTAAATATAAACAATATTGTACTACATTGTATCCCCTGGGTAATACCAGGCTATTTTAGTAACTTATTATTTGCCGTCTTGCCACTCGCAGATCTATTTAATTTGAGCAAATTAATATAACGAAAAACAGCGTTTCAATCATCTTTCTTACAACCTAAAACTTAGAAATGAGGAAGGACTAGAATTCCATAAATTTGATTTTACCTGTTGAATTTTCTTTACCCATGACTAGTGATCTTGTTTGACTTGTGGGAGAATCAGAAAACCATGATTTTGCATCCATTCTTGTTTCTTTAAATGTTGAATTCTATGAAAGGATGTTGATATTGAATACTCATTATCAAATTGAATAAATAAAAAAACGGTCAATCTGGGTGATAGCCCATTGCATGACAGTAAAGAAAGGAAAAACTGCTGAAAACGGGTGATGGATAGAATGAAACGATAGCGTCTGACGCGTGTTTCTTCACCTGCATACAAACTTACCTGCGCTTTTCTGATAGTTAAGCGATAGAGAAAAGCATAAGAGATTATCCCCACCCACATAAGACGTATTTCGAAAAAGCTAGTCCAAATAATTTGAAAATGACTGTACTTGTCGGTCACGTCCAGGCGAAATCCTCAACATTTTTGGGATCGTCAGCTTAAATATTGTAACTTGTAAGACATGTCTAGACTAATTACTGGCTTGGATCTTTCATGCAGATAAGTTGCTACTTAAGGTGCTACTTAAGCGTAAGGATATACTGTTTGGATCTTCAACAACGGTTCGTACATATTTAGTTTATTACAAGCCCTGTTTGCAAACCCAGTTTGATACACTCGATAAATATATACAGTTTTGAAATAGAAGTCGACTTCGCCTTACAAATTTTGATAACAAAAAACTGAAATCTATTATTGCAAAATTTTTTTTAGTAAATATGCGTGGCTGGTTGTCTGCAAATATAGAATCAATTGTCTTACAGCCAGCCATTTTGTTTGCACAATAGGATATCCAGCTCTTCAACATTTCTCACACACAAAAGTATACGCTCATAATCACGCGCATGTAGTTAAATTTCATCATTTTTTCCACGGCTATACGCCTCTGTGAAGACATGCATGGTGTATGTAAAGTTGACAATACAACTCAGTTCAAGGTCAATACATCGATTAATACAGATTAATGAAACCACAAACTAATAATGAGCATGCTGCCCAAACAGTCAAAACAGAAGAGAAAAACAATAGAAAATTATTCACGCCTGAGCGAACATGATAAATGAAGCAAAACGAAAGTGAAAGAATGCAGTGCTTGAAATGAATAAAGCAGAACAGTAACAAATTCACTGTGTTTTATTTTAAGTTTAGGAAAGACGTAATTGTCCGAGGGTAAGCGTTTGAACGAGTCGTTCAGGAGATGCCCCTTTTTTGGTAAGAACATCAGCCAATTGTTTTTTCGATTCGACCCAGCTTATGCTGTTGATTTCTTTGTTTTGAATCATCTCCTTCAGCATCCCTATTTCAACTCGTAAGCGTTTGTTGGAAACATTTTTACTGGATCGGAGTGCTTCACATAGTGATCGATTGTCGGTTATGACATCGAGTTGTAGGCTTTTGAGTTTTCCAAAATATATCTCCGCAAACATATCTTTGATAAAAACAGCATTGTCAACTGCGTCTGACAATGACAGTGTTTCCGCTGTGAGAGTACTTTTTGGCAACGCGACGAATCCTCTTGGACTGCCAGCTTAGCAGAGAGCATTCATTATTTTCTCCAACCAGAACACCAATTGCCACCTTGGCTTCACCATCTCTCAGATTACCATAAGCAGCATCAGCGAAGACGACAATCTTTAATAATTCATCATTTCCTAAATTTTTGTATTTCAATGATAATTGCTGGTTTTTCAGTCTTCTTATTATCTTGTTTATATAGAGCAAATCTTTTTCTTCCCATCTTTAAGGTTAGAAGCAAGCTGACAAACATCATAGCTCACGTCAGGACGTGTCTGATTGCTTGCCAAAGAAGACGGCCAATATTCGCTCTTAAAATATCTATTTGAGAAGACGAAAGACACTCTGCATCATCTGAGGTCACTTTTATGGTCTCAAGGTTTTTTTACATACAATTCTTGATTGATCAATATTTCATCGGCTGATTGTTGTATGTCTAGTCCCAAATATTTGAATGCCTCGTTTTTCTCCGAGCTAATTAGAAAATGTTGACCTCAGTTTCGAAATCAAATTGTTCTCAAAATACTCTGTGCCAGACCACAGAATATCATCAACATGAATCCCAGCTATACCTTGTAATTCCCCATTGCAGTATACATAGAATACTGCTGAATCAGATGCTGATACTTTTGCTCCTTGGTCAACGAGAAACTTCTTTAGTCGATTGTACCATTTGAGTGATGCATCACTTAATCCATAAACACATTTGTTTAATTTCCATAGCTTGGTAGTTCCAGCCTCTTTGGGAGGCTTTAAAAATATTTCTCTATCCACACAATTTCCCTGTAAGAAAGCTGTTTTAATGTCAATCGTATGAAGCTTCCATTGCTTTTGTGCGACAATGGCAATAAGAACCCTGAGTGAATCTTTTGAACAGGTGGGCGATTCTTTAGCAATATCGTCAGTTTGTTCTTCAAAGCCTCTTGCGACAAGTCTGGCTTTGGGAATGATTCCATCTTCAGTATCTTTCATTGAACACACCCATCGTACGGAAATTGTTGGTTGACCAACATTTTCGACTTCATTGTAGACCTTATTTTGTCTCCAGCTTTTCAACTCTGACTTCTTTGCTTCTAAAAAGTCAACATTTTCCAAGACCAACACATCTTCATGAGTGTTTTCATCCATTTCCTTCTCGTTCAGATTTTCCACTTTATCAAAATCTACGTACCCAGATTTTCCTTTAAAACTTTCTGGATTACAATATTCAACATTGTAGCTTTTCCCATATTTCCCGGTTGATTTACCTGCACGACTAAGGATTTTGGCTTCATAGTCTTCACCAGCTAATGTAAAAGAGACAATTTTGCCTTTAGTCAAGTTGAGATTACGTCTGCCACCAGTTGCTGCTTGAACTGGACTGCCAATTGCACTTTGGTCATTATCCATATTTTCAGTATCATCGCTTTCATTTGAAATTTCTGGAACAGACTGTTCCTCATCTTCTATATGATCATTACCATTAGACGAAGCGTCAATTCCATCATTAGAATCTGTTGGAATGCAAACCTCCTTTGTCTGAGGAAAATCCTGAAGATAACGGTTGGCATGCTGGACTCTGCATGAATGTGCTCTGATTAGCTGTCCGCCATGTCGTATAAAAATAACCGGTCCATCTTGCCCAATTACTTTTGCAGGGCCCTTCCAACGTTTTTGATCCTCTCTCTTATAATAAACCTCTTCTCCCGTGAAGAATTCATCCCGAGTCTGTCGGGTTTGTGTTCGTAATGCTCTTCTTATTTTTTCGGAAGATTCTGATTCAATAACTGCTTTTCTGGCAGCTTGCATTGCAAATATATTATTGGCTACAGTGAGACTTATAGATTCACCTTCCAAGGCAGGTGGGTCATCATGAGTAACTGATGGCAAAGTGGGATTCCTTCCAAACACAAGCTGGTTAGGGCTGAAACCATTGTTATTCACAAGTGAGTTTTTTGCGCTAACAGCCCAAGCAAGTGCAGTTTCCATATCACATTTCTCAGTTGCCTTAATCTTCATCAATGTTTCTGTCAATGTCCTATTGTGTCGCTCGCAGAGTCCATTAGACCACGGTGAGTATGCAGCTGTCGTCGTGAATGTTATATTAAAATTTCCACACATATCTTTGAACACTTCAGAATCAAATTCTCCGCCGTTGTCACTCAGAATACGAGCCGGACTTCCAAAAATGCTGATCCAATTTTGCATGAATTTCTTTACAATTGTTGATGAAAATTTATTTCTCACAATGGCAGCTCTACTGTATCGAGTGAAGTGATCAATCATATGCAAATACCACATATCAGAACCTAGCTGATGTAGATCGACCGCCACTGTTTGATTAAAATCATTTGCCCATGAAAGTCCTACAACTGGACGTGGCGAAGGTTTTTTGTAAACTTTACATATTTCACAGTCACTGACTGTTTCTTCAATCAGGCTCGAAAGATCTGCATTCCATTTTCCTGCATTCTGAATGAGCTTCTTTAATTTGTCTTGTGACGCATGGCCGAACTGTTTATGCAATTTTGTAATTTCAGCTTTCCCAAATTCTTTATGCCCAGTGCTTTCTGATGCAAGGATTTCATTACGACAACCAACTTCTGCCTTCATTTTAGGCAGTATATCTACCGCATAATGTCCATTGGTAGATAAATGCAACTTAAGATCTTGCTTGAGCATTACCGCACGATCGTTCTGCATGTCAAGTACAGTGCCTGCACGCTTTAGTGTGCTTTTGCTGAGTAACAATGGCAAGTTTTCTTCATTCACAATTTCAACCTCCATTCTCAGCAACGTTCGGCCAATTTGTACAGGAATTATAGCCTTTTTCTCAGCCTGAATTTCTTTCCCATCTCCAAATTTAAATCTCTTCATTGAAGGAAAAATCTCAACTCTGCTCGACAAGTTTTCGTTTAAGAGCCCAAGATAATTCCTGAACCATTTTTTACCAGCTACTGTCTTCGTGCAAGCAGTATCTACTATTGCAGCCTTGGCAGCTTCAACTTCAAAAATATCTGAAGAATTTTCATCTGTTATCAAAACCATTTGTATTTGTTCGCAAACACAATCTTGCGCATCGGAACAATAAACTTGATTCTTCTCATGTGGACATTGTTTGGCCCAGTGCATTTTTGATTCACAAATTGCACATCTAGATATATTTCCGTATTTGTCCCGTGGATTCAGTCGAGCTTTTACTGTCGATTCATGATGCTTGTATCGTTGCTTTGCTCCTCCGCCACTACCGGTGGCATATCTCGATCTCTCTTTGAAAAATTCTTTCCTAGATTTTGGCCTACCAGTACCAGTACCGGTATCACGAGTCACAAATGCATTTTCCTTTTTAATATTCGATGCAACATCATCTTCATCAAAATCATAATTCTTTTCATCGCCATCTTGCTTTGAAAGAATCCTTTTTAAGGCTGATTTCATAGATTCGAACTTCAAGTCGCTTCCAACAGTAAGAACCATTTGGCGCTGTTGATCAGTTAGGCCTGCAGCATCTAATATCTTAAAAGCCAGAATGGTATCTGGTAGCTTCATGTCATATTTTACAAGTCTAGCATACCGGTGTTCAAACTCCAGGATAAAATCCACCATTGAAATATCAGAACTTTTATGATATTTACTAAATAGCGTGTAGGCTAAATAGGCCTCATCAGTTTTCTCTGACTGAAATGCACCATCAAGTTTTCCAAGAAGTTTGTCCAACCCATCATCAGCTTTCAACTGTTCACTAGTTAACTCTGACACAGCTTTCTCAGCTTTATTATTTCCATCAAGCGACTGCAGACGCACCAAAATTGCCTGCTTTTCCTTTGGCACTTCTGTTATGGAAATCCACATGTCCAACTTATTTTTCCATTCTGCATAGCTAGTACCGCCTCCAAACCTTGGTGGTGGTATTTGTTTGGAAGTCATTTTCCTCTGCTACCATGTAAAGTTGACAATACAACTCAGTTCAAGGTCAATACATCGATTAATACAGATTAATGAAACCACAAACTAATAATGAGCATGCTGCCCAAACAGTCAAAACAGAAGAGAAAAACAATAGAAAATTATTCACGCCTGAGCGAACATGATAAATGAAGCAAAACGAAAGTGAAAGAATGCAGTGCTTGAAATGAATAAAGCAGAACAGTAACAGTGTAGATTTTACCTACTTTAGTAAACAAAGGCTAGCAGGCGCATGATAATACTTTAATTCTTTGCTAGATCAATTTTTATGCAAATGGTCACTCGAGGCATGAATGCCATACAAAGTTTAGCGTGTCAAAAGTTCGTTTATGTCGGGTATAAACTATAACCATGCTTCATCGGGCGGTCTATAAACGGTTCTTGCTCGGCGTGGAATAAACGAACGAATAGAATTTTAAACTCAGATTATATACTTCCGTCGAAATCGCATGACTTATACAAAAATGTGGGCGTAACGATAAAGAAAAGAATAAGCAAGGCGAAAGTGTGATCTCGTGAATATATTGGTATTCAAAAAGGTGAAATCATGATATGACTCTCGATGAACAACCTATTGTGTGATCTATAGCAGGGATAGCGAACCACTGACCCGTGGGTCACAAGGTTACCCACCATGTTATTTCGGTGACCCGCCAAGTCACGAATTATTGCAAACAACATTTCATTGATAATAAAACCGTGTCGCACATAAAGTTTATAAAATCGAGAACCAAAAATTGCTCCATTCCTATTATAATTGCCACATGTGTAAAACTCAAACCTTACAAATCCAAGTACTAACGAACGAAAATGCAATTTGAGAATGAGATGCGACTCAAAGTTTTTCATTGACGCAGAACTTGTTTAAATATCTATGACCCTTACCTTCCTTTCATAATAAAAAAAATTTTTTTGACCGATTCCGTGAAACGGTTTGCCTTCCCTGATCTATGATAACGCTCAAGATGCTGTACTTTTCATTGATGCATGAATGCTAACACACACACGGGTTAGGATCGGTAATTTCTTTTAGTTTTACTTTAAGATTGATGTGAATAGAAAGTATTATTTTGCAATAAATCACTTTGTGGATATTCGACTTCAATATGGTACTTCTATATATTAGAATTTGTAAAAATTGATCTGGACAGTTTTTCAATTTTGTACCGCATTCTCCATAAAACAATGTACATGGTGATTAACAAAAAACAGAACCCATAAATTTTCTAACTACTTCTATCAAATTGAAGCAAATTTATTTAATTTTGTTTACACTTGAACTTCTGTTTGTGTATGATTGTACCCTGAAGTTTGATATTTTAAAACGCTTTGCATAAAAGTTACGTTCTGTGTAGTATATGTTCCAAACGAAACGAATGTTTTGAAGTATATACTTTTACAAGTATAGCGAGGACATCGGTGCTTTAAAAAAAAGTCGATAAACGGTATCTTACACAAACTAACTCAAACATATAGACAGAGAACACCAATGACATTTTTGTCCGCCCTTCAAGACGCCATGAATCATTCTGTAAACGGACGAACGAACACAGAATAACAGACAGTAAATATTTGGAAATAAACAATCGTATTATAGTTAAGCAAAATCATGTTTTATTTCAATAGAAGTAACCCGACATTGTTATTAATAATAGTTTTCCCATTTTTTCTAAATACATGACATTCAAATTAATTTGATGGTAATTCGTAACGTTCAGGTGAAAATGGGGACAAATATATTCACGTCCATGTTTTGCGATTACCAAGAGTGATACAAAGGTGTAGCGATGTGTCATTTGACAAAGGAGAATAGTCTACTCTATGGGTCACAGTGAAGAGAAATCAGCTTTGGCCACAACCCGCCATACTACGTGGGTACAAACTCGTGACTAGGGTGTCTGAGAATGCTTCACCCTAAAAGATAAAAACGTCTGGCTCTGTGTGAGTGGGGTGAAAAGGATTCATGACATGAAAATGTATGCTGTCTTTCTCTAAGTACGATGAAAAAAAATTATTCATAAAATAAGAATGCATTCTGACGTGTTATCGTGTGTCTTCCCATTAAACATTTCCCGTTAAAAATTAAAACTTTGATCATTTGGGGAATTTTTTGAAGCTGCACACGAGGTTAACATATGATAATATATCAAAAACATATGCACAAAACAAAATGATCATGGTTATATGGTATAATAGGTACAGGCCAATTGCTGCCTCATTAGGAGAAGATACTTAACAACACCACAAGCATACTTCAAGCGACAGAGTCTAGCATTTGAAGAGGTATCATTCTTATTGATACTCGAAGCACTTCAAAATGTCTCTATATTTTTAAAGAACACACTGAGTAAACCACCACGGCGCCATATTCACATATAGATGATAAAATGAATAATACTGTGCAAAGATTGATAGATATAATGATTTGCGCCAAAAAAGACCGCCTAGCGAATAGCGATGCGTAATTTCATACAAACAATGCCCACATTGAATGCAAACGAACCCGTGGCAAATCGCCATTTCTCAATTAACTTTGGACTTGTTGGTAATGTTTTGCCTTATTTCTACTCTGTAGAAGTAGCCCCCAATGTAAGGATCTACCAAAATCTTTCCAATTCGGCATCGTCTACTCAATTTATTACCCCCTGGGTGAGGTGGTGGGCGTGTGGTTCTACATTTCATTTCGTGATTCTACAGCACGTCGATTAATTAAACACCGTCATAGAAAAATTTAAGTACAATACTCAAAATGATGCCACTCACCTCAATATTATAATAATAACATTTCGGCTTTTTAGCATTCGTTCCACAGACCAGCAATTCTCCTTGTGACGTCACTTCCAATATCCGCACAGTGTTTTCGCAATGGAAATCGGCCTAAAATAAGTAACAGTTGAACTACGTGAAATTTTAGTAATAATAGCAATAATTTTAACAGTACTGTTTTTGGCAGCAATTTTCATTCAGCTATCCACAATAGACGTTACATATATTTTTCATGTCTGCTATATTGTAATTCAAAATGCAAATTTATAATTGATTACTGTAATCACATCACCTATATTGTGCTATACATTACATTATTCACATTTATAGATACCATATGCCACCATAGAGAAATAAAAGTGCCTGACTAAGCACGAAGAACAGATTATACAAGTTTGGCGTACTAAATACAGTACAACTTTCCGGCGTTACCAAAAGGTTACGAGTTATTTAAATTCCAATTCCACGTAATTATTAATGCTATAGTTGTCGTGCTACTTAATATTTACGTGTTGTAACTTTCGGTAAAGGATACGGTATTTTGATTATGAATTTTAATTAAAAGGGAAATTTGCGTAAATTTTTTAATTTTGGGAGTTCATTAATAGATAATATGCTGATTTGGAACGAATAATGTACAATGTAATAATGATTTTTCACTTTCACGGTCATCATCTAATAATGACGTTCGTTAGTTGGCTGAGCATAAGAGAAAGTCACAATTCGGGTATTATTGAAAAAATGACATTCTGAAACTCGAATCTGGGAGGTCGGAAAAGCATCGTCTTAATCGTGGTTTGTCAAGGGGGCCGAGTATTTCTTTAATTAATGTGGCAATCGAAGAATCAAACATTTTTGAGAAATAAACTGCCCTTATTCTATTTTAGTACGATAAAAGTAGAGGTAGTTTAAATTGAATTTATGAATAAACTGTATGGTGTATATGATAGGACAAGATTCAATTATACTCTATAAAAAGCTTATATATTTTTTTTCACTTTAATAGTACTGTAAGTAATTCTGACATTCCATATTTGGCAATACAACTTGACATACGAGTGAGCAATAGGGCAGACCAATTTCATCAAATTCATTGAATAATACATGATATATTGTCAACTATGTGGTCGTTTATTGATCGTTACGTATGTCTTAGACCAAAAAGTTTTGGTATTTCACTTAGTTAAATAAGTAACAGAAATAAACACTTATGCTCTGAAAACGTTGGAATTAAATTCGTGAATTCATTGGTTAGATTTATTAGAACCAACAGTTTTACAAGCTACATGGTTGTTTTATTACGAATTATTTTTTCAGCTGGAAATGCCTCCTATAGCACATTACATTTATTTGCATTTCAATAGGAACAAGCAAATATTGCTAAAAAGATAATCAAGGTTTAGTTACACATGGCCAATCACGGACTAAAAATATCAATTAAATACAATACGCCATTACAAATCGAAATTATCGATTTGGCTGAACTATATCACGTGGGAGTATTACGAATATCATTCCAAATTTTTATGTATACATTGCGTCACAATAATATGAAAATTACTACTATGAACTATCAAATTCGCTATTATAACGTGAGATAACAAATTAGGTTATCACGCTTATTTTTTAAGCACATCTAACTGCTTTGGAAATATTTAGCGAAGAATATTGTATTCTGAAATCTTTGAATCGGAAAAGCGTGTATTGGTATACTCCCATACATGAAAGGTATGTTTCTGAGACGTTTTTGCTACGGAACAGTCGTTTTACTTTATACAAGATGATGTTGATAAATAGACAATCATTCTAACAAATGCGAATCTAAATAGGAAATACTGATTATAGCAACTTCAGACAAAATTCGCAGACACGAAACCGAATAAATCTGTTGTGTGATATTTAAAAGACTGCCCTGTAGCTATTTTGATATCTGCGGATGTGTTTATATAAAACAAATTTATCTCGAAGTAGTCGATGATGACTTGGCTCAAAACAGGTTTTTGACGTGGATTCTGGCCACAATACAATCAACGAATGGATATTGATAATTCTATGAGACATGCTCACATCTTCGCCAGACAGCAATGATATTTTCGTTTTTAAAAGGAGACAAAATTGATAAATAATTCAATAAATTTAGCATAGAAAGCAAAAACATAATCAATTTAGTAGACACAGTAATAAATTTAGCAAATTTTCTACACTCCATAAGTAATAACTAGCTCAAACTCTAAAAATTATTATGTTGTCTGGAAGTTGCAAGAGCGCTAATTCGTTCGGCATAAACTGGAATTTTCCAGTCAGTTACAAGAATAAATGTAATGGACAACAAATCCATATTTTTTTAGTATATTATTGTAGTTGGGCCGTTCATGAGCGCTCAGTCGATAAAGCCACGATTATAATTCATTTAGTGAGCGGAATATGATCATGATTTCAAGATTCGGTAGAATACTGATGTTTGAAGTCTCTACTTCGCAAAATAACGCCCGATATAGTAAAGTCTATCATAATACAGTATCACGTCACATTTCAAAGTGGTTTCATCGTGATTTTGCATTACCACGTCACTGACGTAACATGCACTTTCAGAGAATGCAATCAAATTCTGTGGAATAAGCTATCATTTAACTAGTAGGTAAAATATGATGTCATAAAAGGAAATACATTCTCGTATTCAAGCTCAACATTGCAAGCAATGAAAATTATTTTACGCAATAAGATCTCGAGATGCGTGAAAAGAATATCGGATTAATATCTCGACTCTGAAAAATGACTTTACTAGCGGCGTGAACTTGATTTCGGACAGCATATGCCTTCCCGTAAAACCTACTTGAACATTTACAATGATCTCATACACTAGCCATCTGGTAGCCAGTTAATGAAGGTATGATCGAACTCGGCCACCAACAAATGACTGTTTGATTCGTTTATTATTAGTATTATCTATTAGTATCGTGTAACTGTAAATGTTCAATAAATGGTTCCGAGTTTTTCTTCGATTTTCCCACGTATACACAAATATGATGGAATAATGACAGAAAAATGAGAATGATATTAATTGAAATGAAACATTAAACAATGAAATATTTTCACATTATATTACTTTTCAAATTGAAATATTTCGCATTGATTCATATGAATGCAAGTTGTGAATCGTATGTTTGAGATCTGAAACGAGATCTTATGGGCTATGGCACACCCAACTAAGGGCATTAATTTAATTTAAAAAATCCAATCATTTTAATTAATGTTTACAAGAAACAACATGGTATCATTGTCAAATTAGCTAAATGAACTAACATTTTAAGTAGTTAAGTTAAGTGTGTTGATTGCATTTTTAACATTTCTCCAGTTCAAAATAGCGTCAACAAACTTGAAGTTAGGTTGTAATTAGCTGAAATCTTGAAGAAAACCAATGATTATCCCATCAGATTAACGTTTCTCGAATTCAAGTACGTTTTTCAGGTATGAGTAACTGAGGAAATCGCGTATCCACAAGTTGCGTGACGCATATTTGCAGTGTATTTTATATAAACTAACAGTAATTAAACATAGTAAGCTGCCGGATTTGAAGAACTGCGATTTCAACATAGTTAGGGCCAGCGGACAAAAATTTTATGTCCTTATAAAAATGTTGTAGTGTGTCCACCGCTGTCCGAAATTTCCTCAAACTCAAAACGGAAGCATTCAACACAAAAGTTTTGTTTTTGCCAATAATATATGTACATCTATATAATATATATATGTAATCTTATATAATTACATGTTCATGGTAAAGACGAAAATAAAGCCACTTCATGCATTGAGTGGAATGGAGGTAAGGCGATTGAAATACTGATCTTTGCAATTTTGCAGGGCATGCAATATATATTATATATTGAATAAAAAATAAAATTTGGAATGTCATGCGTGCGTTATATACACACAAAATAATAATTCTAGTGAATTACATGAACAGCTTGCGTTTTATAAAACGTATATAAGCTGACATGAAACTTAGTCTTAGATTATATGATATATCTTTGTTTTCTCCGAAAAATCGGAATGACCAACATTTAATCCAATTGGTTTTGAATATTCTCATGATTTAAAGTTGATATGGAAATACGCTGACTGCATTTAATCGAAAAAGTACACGGTATTTCCCACAATAAAGCACAAATACGATTTTCATTTTTACATTTTACAAGTTTACTCATAGCATGGCCTCATTCACAAGCAACGCTAGCTAGAAAGTAGCAACTAATGGATAAGGAACTGATGTATTCAATTTGATGGAAAATAGCAACTATGCCAGAAAGTCAAAAACATACCGCGCGAGCGACAGTGTAAACACCTCATATCAGGGGGGTCCAAAACCCAGGCCCGCGGGCCACGTGTGGCCCGCAGCTTCATTATCTGTGGCCCGCGTCGCATTCGGAGAGTAATCAAGAAATCTAATTTTATGTTGTTTCGTCATAAAATTAACCAGAAAATTGTTTTGACCTATTGCTACATCACTAATGTCACTGAATTGACTAGTGTTATGGCTAGCTGAGGTACTAGCGAAGTTTAATGATGTGCTTGGCTAGTCTAATTTGTTAACTGGCTTCCTATTTTTTCGTTCGGGAATATATGCTAACAATTTTGGTATCATGTAAAACTAAAAATCGAATGCGGATTCAGTTAGCCTAGGTTGGCTTGATAAGTGGCAAATACTGACCAATGTTCTTGCAAAATAAAAGTGTTTGTTTTGTATTGCACTGTTTTCCTATTCTTGGTACTATTGTGGCCCGCGAACAACGCAAAAATAATTTTGTGGCCCGCTGAACCGACAACCTTGGACCACACTGCCTTATATTATGGAATATCCATTTTAATCGGAAATTACTCCTCATTACAAGTATTTTACGTGATCGAGAGCAGAAAAATATGGGATGATAGTCAGACATTGGGCTTAATTGTGATGAATAAACTGCGAAGGTTCAGTCAGGCGGCATGCGTTATCTCGACAAAAACTGTTTTAAATGTGAATCATTCGCGTATACTAAAAAAACATCCAAACGTCAGACAGTGGTTTCAAAAATTCAAGCAAAATCTATCAATACCACTAAATATTTAACAGTGGGAAATAGGGATGACACATAATCTATTCTAGGCATTGACTAGTCAGGCAGAATAAATGTTTTGGTTGAATATACAGATGATTATATAGTATTTTAAAAATGCGCTTAACCATTCAACATCGGCCGATCCCGATATATATCCCGATACGGATAATTATGGCGCCTCCAACCTCCACTGCGAATCAACAGAGCTAGTATCAGCACCTTACCTGGTACTGGACGAGAGTGCGCGAAACATCAAAGTTTTGAAGTACCATTACCATCTTTTCCGACACTTTATAAAACGTCGGAATAGCGATTTTAGACCGAAAAATATTTCATGTTATAAAATTCCACTGTGTATTTTTACGCTATTAAATGAAAAAATACGTATTTCCTTTATCAGTCGACGCTTTCGAACTTGTGTGAGCGTACTGGTTGAGTATGAATGGCAATAAAATACTGAAATATACGATGTTCACTTTTGTCCGATGACGTCATCCATTTCAAACTTGTTATTCACAAAATTTGGCATTCAAAGTCGGATGGAAATACGCGGAAGCTTTGACTCAAAGATCTTCGATTCAATGAGGTTGGTCGTCAAATTTGTACTGGCTGTTTTGTCTTTGTTCGTTGGTGGTTCTACAAAGTTTGCAATAATTTTGCAGTGTGGGAAAATATTAGACCTAGAAGCGACAGCAATACCGCATAACAATATTCAATGTCCATTCAGGAAACGATTGCGTACGATTTTGTCTACAATACAGTAGGTCATTTCAATGTAGTGTATATATGCTTTCTGCTTACGAGCAACTTGTTCTGGATGGATTGAAGAGCATATAGCTACTTAAAATTATTTAAACAACTATGGTTTTTATCGGAATAAATGGACGCCTACCATTTCCTTTCTGTCAAACTATAACACCAACACGAAATGACGTCGAAATAATGAGAATAATATAGGATGTGGTCGAAAATCTCCCATCAGGTAGGTTTGACACTGTTTTGGAACTGGCGGTATCTGAGACTGAAACCATCTATCTACCTTGTATATACCGGTATATAATACCAACTAACCGTTATAATTTACCCAAGATCCTGTGTAGTCATCGATATCTACACCTATCATAGGGTATATTAACATGTTCCCGATGATGAAAGGAGAAGGTTTAATATTACCTAACACTGCTTGTTTTCTGAGGTAAACTTGTTGGAATTTGTTAATGTAGAGAATAAGATTTTAATAAATGATACATATATTCGATTTTTTTTTCATTTGTAAACATGGTAACTTGAAGATTGAACCCAAAGTACGCTACTGATTCTACCAACAAGAATTATAAGCGATTAAACTTATTATATAAATACAACAAATAATAATTCAAAGATGAGTAACAACAAAATGATCTTCGATAAAACGAAAGGCACGATAAAACGAGTCCTCAGAAACGTTTCACCATTTCGTCCGCTATTAACCGAAATGGCGGGAAACCTTTATTGTCGCTTCATCAAAGCGCGGTTTATCGGGGGTGTATTTAACAATAATCATATTAACGGAAATGACGTTGTAATTTCCCAGAACTATTTCCTGTCTGATCAGATTTTGATTTGTACCGATTCGATACCACACGCATATATGAGGCGACCTGATATTAGATTATTAACATACTCTTATATAATATGCACAATACCACCAGGCCGTTTCCAAAACGTAACTAAATTACACTCTAGGTCTAGGAATACTTCATCTTGACCTAACTTAAATGGTGGTATTTGCAATATTTTTATTCATACTAATGCAACATATGAAGTCACAGAATGAAACAAAACGGGTACTTACCGAGAATTGCTTACAAAAACCATAATTTCTTGATGTCGAATTGAACGTGATCTAAAAACGAGAAATAAAGGCAAAAATCTTTAAGGTCAATCAATAATTCCATTTAGCTTATATCTCTACCCTTGTTTGTTTGATAAGTCAAGTTTATCGGGAATTCTTGGGTCAGGATGACATCATTTGGTTGCTCCAATTATTTTACTAGAAATGAAAAAATTTTACCAGATGTTTTTGCCTTTAACAATTCTGATAATCCGACTGCTTTATTAAAGTTGGATGATTCAAAAAAATTACGACTTTCGTTAAAAAAATCTGGAATATTTTACAATTTTCGACATTGATGGATTTAAATAATCGGAATGAATAGTAGGTATACTATCAAGTTTTCAGTTATGGACATCGATAGATGATAGCAATATGGAGGTAACTAATTTTGTTCGCCTACTTTAAGTCAAGGAACTGAAACCTATGATCCTATGTATATTCACTCGGCTAACACAGACAGTCCCCGAACTCGTAAAAGAACTGAAATAATAAAAATCGGAGTAAAAGTATGGCCTAATCCTAACTTCGGAGTATCCAACATACAGATAAAACTTCTATATACAGTTTTTAAAAAGGTTTTTCTGATGATAGACATTCATAAGTGTGACATTATAAATCTAGGGAGTAGGACAGGCTATAAATTCGTACCTTTCTGCTGTTTTCTGTCGAAGTCTTATTGAGGTTTAAAATGACAAAATAATTTGTTCCACCGACAAAGGCGTTTTCGCCATGAACAACCATTTTATCCGAATTTTCGTCGCCATTTTCATTTTCATAAAGTGTTGTTGACTTTGGAATGTTGATACCTGAAATATACAAATAACAAACGAAGCTAAAATTATTATTAATATCTTCTAGAATAATTTTCGGCTGAAATCTTATGGAATATTTTTTCTTGATAAGAAAATCCCCTAACCGTAAACCTTCAGAACTATGGTGGTATCGTGAGATAAAATAATTTATAATACATTCATCATACGTCATAATGCATTGCCTATCAATAAAAATTCCCCTTTCTAAACTAATTTGTACAACGTGAAATCAGCTCTGTGACATTGTTTCTGATAAATTTGTACATATCTAGTGAAATAGTAATAAAATGCCAGTAACCTTTGAAGAGAGGAGTATTTTTATGGGTGCGTTTACGTATACACCAAAAAGAGATATACCCAGTGGTTTTCAACCTTAGGGTTCCGTCAGTGCAGTACCTCAGTTCCGCAAGTTTACATTCCAATCCCAAAGTCTATACAATTATATGTACATTGTTTCAATATATAATCAAATGACGATTAGGACAATTAAACTATTGCATGGGGGTTTCTCGATCCTCTGGAATGGGTAATATCCAAATATGCAAGCTAAAGTCTCGGAGTATAATGAAATGTGTGGATCGCGATATTGGCATTTCAAGTGGTAATAAGAGCGTAATTCATTTTTCTGTATAATAAGTCAAATGACGGACTACAATTTTTAAAGCTGATTTGGAATCTGTAACTAGCAGAAGAAAGTTTCTTTCTATTTGCAGTGCTTAAATAACAGCAAAATTGCATAAATATGTGAAATGTTACCAGACGAAGTGCAAAAACATTTTTCATAGTCACAATACGCAGACAACGGAAATGCGTATCGCTTCCTTTACCTTACTGAGATGCAGCATTCAAAAATTTTCGTATGCGGCTGCTTGCGCCAGACTGATAAACAAGTCTTCGAATAATGATAAATTACGCTTGGCCGTAAACTGGTCTTCGCGTGATTACATACCACATACAAGTCAATGGGCCGAACAAGACGCTTTCACGCCTGGTGACGTAACGAGTACAGCGGTATGCATTATTTATGACATCTTTCAAAATGATTGAAATGGACTTCGCACAGAGGCTTAACTACGGCGTTCTATTTGCGTCAAGACGCTGACGACTCGGAAAGCGAAATTTATCTGAAAAAAATTTTATTCCTAACCGACAATTCAAAATGAAAAAAAAAAAATTTGAGGCAAACAATAACTACAAAGAAAAATCATTTTTGCTCCGGTATTTTTGAAATATCCACGCGGCAGTTTAACTGCATGGGCATTTATTATATGGCATTCAAAAGTACTTCATATTGTTATACTTCATATGCATGTGGACATTGTAATTAAAATAATGCAAAATATGATAGCTGTATATAATGCATGTCCGCAGGCTATCACCTTATAAGATAAATCTGAACGCGCGCCCTGTCGCGGCGTATGAAAATAACATGAGAACAGCATTACGCAAATATTTTCAAAGAAAACATGATTTTATATCGATTATGTAACTAGTTATTAAAAGTCTGTTTTAACTGACCAACCAACAATTATTATATCATTACATCCGCTATAAAAACTGCCATTCGCGTTTAATACCGACCACGCGCAGATTGTTGCCAGATTTGAAATTCAGAATGTGTCAAAACAGTGATCACAATTAAGTAGGCTATTCCATTATCAAAGCACGTGATGGCAACTTGACAACTACTGAAATATTTGGTCTGTGTGATACTGCCAAGGCCCATTGATATAAATGATGACAAAATTAGACTATTCTACCGTAAAAAGGGCGAATGTCACAATGGTTTTAATACAACTTTGGGTCGACATCTTATCTGATATTACCAATTTACGCCAATTACAATTTGAATTGGCTCGGAAAGTACCCCAATTAATTGAAAATCAAAGCTACTCACCTTGACAGAATGAATAATATAAGCATCCAACGAAGGCACACAGTAAAATCGTAGTATGATGTGATCCCATTTTGTATTATAAAGCAATATTCCGTGTCCTACATAAGAGTAATCTCAATATCGGCATCTAATAACGGATGTCGTCATCGAATCATGTTGTAATGTATACGCTAATTTTAAAAGCTTGCCAAATATGAATTGTATATTTATTACTTGCTATTCTAGCTTTCGAAAAATACAAACTCAACACACTTAAACGTTTGAGCTACAACACTTGCTGCCAATCCGTCCTGAATGCAATCAAAATTTAATCAACCTTATCGTCGTGTGAAGTACATCACGCACCGAACAGAGCGATCGCTTCCCACGCTTGTATTCTCGTTCGCTATATCATACTTGAACCGAGCCAATTGGAGACATTTCAAAATTGCGTTTTAAAATATCGATCCACATGAATTTTGCGAGGATTTACGATAGAAAACAAAATGTAAGATATTTATGGGCTGGTATAAGAAATAAGCGTTTAAAGGCAGTCTGAATAAAGCATCCATTTCTTCATCTTTAGTCTCATTCTGATCCAAGTTCGCGTAACTGTAACTAAACTTTGTCTCCCAGCCCCATTCACAACAACGAAGCTCTACAGCAGCTTGAGATACTATAATTGAATCGATTTCCTTTGCCAATTTCGTGTAATTTTCGTTTTGAATAGCATATCACAATGACGTTTAATAGCGTATATAAAACATGGCGAGTACATTATTCGGTATAGCCTATATATAAATTTTATGTTTATAGATATAAATAACGTTACCGTTATATCTTAAGCTATCAATAAATTGTTCGGCTATATAAATTTATACCAGAAATGTTTCTAAAACTAGAATAGCATAGATGTCTTCAGTGGCGTTTGCAAAACGAATACAACAAATTTAAATATCTCAGATTGAAGACGAGCTTCATGCTTAGGCTATATTTCAATTCTTCGATCGCTAAGTTATCTGTACATCACAGGATATCAAGTTCATGCTTGTTCCCGACCTGTAAGACAGATTCGCGTACGGTTTGGTTTTGAGTGAGCTTTCCTACGTGTTTTTATTCTGTAGTTTTAATTGAAACCTAAGAGGTATCTTGCAATCTCCCTGCGATGAATAAGTGAATTCCGTAGGGTTCGGTTGAACGTATCTGCCTATGAGTATGACTAAAACAAAAGCATACTCGATCTACCATGCAATCTAAAGTACTCTTCTCTTCACTGTACACGTCTGTCTCCGTCAACTGAATGACTGGGCCTCAATAGCCGGAACCATAAAAGTTATAATCGTTTTAAAGTGAAACAACGACTTGGAGTCACAGTCTATAAACAGTAGAGTCATTGAATGAGTCTTTCTAGGTGTTCTCCTACATGTCAGGCATTGTTGCGTCATATTTACAAATATGTTGGACAATATGAGAAAAAGTTTAAGGTCTGCTTACGCCACCTTGTGGGTTAGATCCAAAATATTTCCAACATTTCGCGAAGGAAGTTATAAAATACGAGCTCTTGCCGTCTTCTTTTCATTATTGTTTTTGAAATCTCATCTTGATGTGCTAAACAGCGTTGCAAAATAAGCTCACTTGAACTGGGCCTACTTGACAGACAAAACAAGGTAATAAAGATTTATTATTCTAAAGAATCGTGTCAGCGAGTGTTTTAACGCAACGCTTCTAGGGAGAAACGCCAGCTATGCCGAGAACAACACTTAGAACTGGAGTTTTTGTGTAGGTCACAAATAAATAAAAAATTATATTTCCTTGTGCTTGTATATAAGATTCGCGCATTGAAATTTAGAAGGAGATCTCTTACCCAACTTTTTGAGGGCACCCCGAGCTCGTTCAGCCTATAATTCCCTTCCAATTCCACTTTATATCGGGTGCAATCATGTATTGGGATAACAGGAAGTTACTAATACTCCATACATCGAGTGACAAAGTGAAGAGTGATCAAGTTTTCAAAATGAGAAACTATTTTATTCAGATAACTATAGTAAAATATTATATATATATATATATATATATATATATGAATTAACATAATCACGACCAATCATCCAACCTGTGAGAGAGGCCATAATTAGACGATGAGGGTCTCTAGGACAAGGCTATTACATTTGTGAGACACCATCACATTTTCGAACTCAGAAGGTCTCTCCAAACAACTTCATATGTCAATGTCAAAGATATGAGTGCGGTATAAATGCAATGATGCATTTCAGAGATGTTGAATATGTTATGATTGAGAAAATTGGGTTTCAAAATGGTGACACTCGAATAGTTTGGAGAAAAGCATCAACTATCCCAGTTCTGTCGGCCAATGTATCTGGCATATTCTATTTCAAATATTCTCACGATACCTATCCTGCTTAACATTAACCGGATTAATAAACTTTCGTTCTTTTCACTTTCCATACCGATGGGTGAATGAGAAAATAATAAATTGATTAAGACAGCTTTGTTTTAATTCATTTGGCCAGACAGCCATTACGATGAGTGTAATGTTTATAATGAACTGTCGTGCATATAGAAATGAAAGACGTATACTAAAGATGAAAGGCCGCGACTATGGCATTGATTTTCAACTCAAAGCTATCTTACCCGACCCTAGCATTTTCCCTGCTCTTGTTGATTTTGTGAAATCTACCAAGAGAGTACTATAGGCATATACAAAGTCTGATTTAAATTGTCTGGCGCAAAAGACTTAAATTGTTTAAAGCGCCATATACTTCCATACCACACACACATTTAAAACATAGGAAGTTGCAGTCATCGAATAGAGTGGTCGGCTAAATGCTACAAATGTTTTTTTTCTAGCTTTCGTCACAGCGAAACGATGCAAAAGTTCATCAAAATTTATCTGTCCAAGATAAAGACTTCTAAGTGCAGACAACCTCTCCTGAGACATTGTAGATTTCAGTTCATTTTTGGTTCTTGAGAGAGATCGTTCTTCTGAGTAGATACTGTCCATAAGCTGAGAAATAGTCTTAAAATAGTCTTAGTCTTAAAAGGCAGTATGACCATTTTTGTTGCACATGATTTGATAAAGGCATCCGTGTGACAAAGAAAGATATTTTTATTCTTCTGTAAGCATCTGAATTTTTCTCACGTACAAGTGAAAATGTAAAAATTGATCAGTTTGTTTCTGGTTTTCTAAATGTGCTTCTATGTCATTACTCCTATAAATTTTGAGGCTATAGGCTTTAGCCTGCCAATACTACAGGTTAATCTGGCATTACGTATGAGTAGGCTTACCATAATTCTGAAGCAAAAAAAAACGGGACGGCGCGGATTGGACAAGCCAACCTTGGTTCGATTCCAGGGGCTTAGTAAAAGTTTAAACGTTTACCATACTATTGTGTGCAGATTACGGGCATCAAAATTAGCTGTAAATCCTATTAAAATATTATCTATTGGTTATTGCTTTAAATAATGGAAATCGTTCAACTCATCAGAAAAATTGCACTTTGTTTCCGGCATTTTTATGATTCAACGACAGTACAGTTGTGTATTAAATTAACGCATAGTTCATACTTCATATCATAACTATGACATAACAATTTTCCTCTCTATCTGAACTAGTGAGGTGAGACGCAAATCAGCGGTAAATTGGCTGTCTTCTTTGTTTGTAATAGTATCAAATGGAAAAACTATTTAAGACTGTCATACTGCAAAACCGGGACATTTAAGTCTATCGCCAAGACGGTGGAAAACATGCTGAAACATTGTTCTACGTCTTTTGTCTAAAACATGATGTCCATGACTGAGCATACAGCAATTTTAAAATGTGTTGTGTTGGCGCTAGAGTGTATCCAATGAGTCTCGTGAGCTAGACCTCTCTCAGTGGGCTTGCTCTACTCGACACAAGACCACTGACTGTTGGAGCTTCAACTCGCCAACAATGTCAGCCGATGAAGGCCGCGATGTAAACGAGATAATTGTGGATCTAGGAAGAAATGGGATCGCTTCAGGCGTACAAAAAGCCACCAAAGCCAACGTGGACTCGGAAAATAATTGTCACGTAAACACAGTTGCAGAAGAAATGGAAGAAATTAATACAACACCTGAAGGTGATATTTCCATCGCGACAGATCGTCAGAGATCAGAAGAGGTAAGGAACTATTGCATGCATTATCTGTTCAAAAATATGAAAAATAAATTAAAAAATTGAATATCAAGCTTCCAATACGGAACTTACTCCACAGCTTCTAGTAAAAGTTTATATTACGCTAGTTCGGCCATGAAACTTTGATTCTATCGGTTTCGCGCTTATTACTCAGTTTGGGTCAGGAAAGAACAAGCTTGGCAGTATACGACCATGTGATAATTGTTCAATATCATCATACCGCGCATAAGTCAAAAGTTAATAATTAACAATGTTCATGCAACGAACTGTAATGCAGTGCTATGTACTGACTTACAATTATTTGTTTGTTCGTCAAATATATCACAATCGGTCAACTTCTGCTTGTCGGAGAATGGGTCCACGAATCACTAACATTTTTTTAAAATCAAACCTTTTTTAAAATCAGACTTTTTGCATTCTTTATTGGTGTTAAACTTTATACTTTTTAGGTGTAGGTATCTCGAAGTGAAATACAACGACCTTTAGTTGTTCTTCTTTAAAAGGCACAAGCTCGTGACCTGTATACGTTTACAATTTTGTGGTTTACCTCAATGATGAACCATCACCATTAAGATTATGTTAAAGTGATGCCTTTTATGCCTTAGATTAAATCAAAAGTTTCTTTTTTTTCAGATATTACTACTCGCAGCTACTTATGTAGAAGATGCTCTAGATGGAAGAACATTGCCTTACAAAACAGACCCGAAATCTATTGAGCAATATCGAATTTATAGCAACCCGATACGGCGATGGGGAACAGTATTTTTTATGTGGTGGAATCTATGTCTAGCAATATTTGAAGCCCCCGCAGTATCTGGAGCGGCATTGCCAAATTGGGTAAGAAAAATTAACGGGACTATTTTAAGATACGAAATGGTGATATTGGTTTCAAATTGTGAATATACTTCTAAGCTGGGCTACTCGCCGACAAACGGCGATGCGAGACATAACCTCGAGTATTCAATTCGCCCCTCAACTGCATGCTTTATTTTGGCAGCATTTACTCAAATACATAGAATGCGCCTGTATTATAAGGTTAAAAGACACACCTGTAGATCCCCTTTTAGGTCATGTGCATCACGGTTCCATTACATTTAAACCCACGTACATTTGAACCCATGACAATTGCACCTGTATGCTATTGCACCTATGGAATTTTTTTTGTTTCACGGATAGTTAAACCCATACTAACCCTAACCCATGGGTTTTAGCACCCGCATATAGATTGAACCCGTGGATATACGCATGGGTTCAAATGTACATGGGTTCAAATGTACGGTCACCGTGCATCACAGCTGTAATTGTTTTTATATTACATATTTTCATCAATTAGTTCTACATGAAATGCCCCCAACTTCCATTCACTTTCTTCTAACCAAGATTTTAAAAAATGCGACAAAGAGACGGTGCAATAATTCGCATGTTATTAAATACTACAACATTCAATATTGATTTGTACTGCGTATTGCTTGAACGCCCTTAGCTATGTCTCAATCAATTTTAACTTTCATTTAATTCAGGCAACCATGTTAATGGAAGTTTTATGTCTCAGTGTATTTATCATAAGATTTTGGAGGTTATCAAGATTTGTACCAAGAGATCGGCTTCTACATGATCCAAAAAATATTGTTGTCATGCTAACTATTGTGGTGAGATTTTCTCATTTGTCACGTCATACTGTATACTCGTTTGCCTACCTATTTTATATTATCCCTGTGAGTGCTGCAAAACAATTTTATCATCTAAGATTTTTATTTATTCAGCCAAATTCATTTTGGTAACAATTTGGGTTGGAGAGATCTGTTTTATGTAATCAACTCTAATTTAATTTACGTTATCTCATTTTTATTCCGTTTGCTGCAGAAAACGTAAAGTAGATATCCTCGCTTGGATGTATGTATATAGTATGTCATAGAATTTTTAGTATAAGCAATCCTGATTTTATTCTGAGATTTGGGTGAACTAAATTCATTTTACTGTAACTTCCCGGACCCCACTGCAATCTGTGTAAAACTAATGAGATATCATTAAGCTTATGGAACATCGTCAAAAAAGCTTGTCAAAAACAACTCAAACAACATCATATAATGTGAAAGTGCGTGTGCATCTTTTATTTGACCTCAGACAGGCAAAAAATAGATATTTTATTTTCTTATTTCTCAGAAGTTTTAATATGTTTCATATTTGAGTGAACGCAAAAGAAACTTAATAACCCAATTATTAAAAAAAATTGTTTTTTCAGTTTACCGTCATAGATATGATTGTTTACATCGGAATGATCAATAGTCCTGCGAAAGATGAAGCCATCCGGGTATCCCGAATCATTCGTCCATTATTTCTTGTAAATATGAACGAGTCCAGACAAATTCGAAGAGCTTTTCGAAATATCCGAAACACGATACCGGATATTTTAAGCGTCCTCGTATTGTTCTTCTTCAGTATTGCTCTATTTTCTCTCATGGCTTTCAAATTATTCGAGAAAAGAGGTCTCACCTACAGAACTACAAACGAGGCATATTTTGTAAATTATTGGGATTCATATTGGGATTTGTATGTACTCGTCACAACAGCAAACAGTCCCGATGTAATGTAAGTTGAATTATTAGAATGTTTGTAACATAACTTTCCACAGTTCTTAGAACATTTATCACTATTTTCACTTGAGATAGAGACAATCTATTACATTTAAAGAATATAAGCAATGCCATATTCTCTAATGCTCCAGCTATACGGACCCGAAGGCCAAAACGAAGGAGTACCGATATCAAATCTATTACAGTGCCGGTGGTCTTCCCAACTTCGACTGGCCACAAAGATTGCTGCCACCGCGAACGCGTCGTCGAACTGCCAGCACTCAGTGCGAAATTTTTTATTTTGATGACGTCACCAGACAAAACTCAAAGTAGAAAACGAATCCCATAGAGCCCACAGAAATGTATAAATAAATAAAAGTAATAAAATTCTAGCAAAAACAACAATCTTGAACAAATAGAAAACTGGTCCAGTAGTTAAAGAGAAAAGCGAAGAAAAAAAACATAGTAGCAAAACGATCGATAGATGATAGGTCCACTTCATGTCCAACAGGTGTTTACATAAATTAGTGGAGGTCTTGTGTGACTTCCCTAAAAATCAACCCGTTGTCCATAAGGCAGTCCAGTAAGCCTCCTACGGAGACGTTCATTAAATGGTGACCTGGAAATTGGAATACATATCCACCCATGCTGTTAATTTTTTTATGTCGCTAGTTTGTGTGTCTGCTTGATAATCACCAGGATAATATTAATTCACTATTTAATGGATACAAGCATACAAAAAAATTTATTGTAAATTTTTGTTTTCAGGATTCCAGCGTATGATTTCAGTCCTTGGTTTGCAATATTTTTCATCACATACGTTATTGTAAACACATATATCTTCATGAATCTATTTCTTGCTGTTATTTATAACAGTTATAAAACACATCTGGAGGTGAGAATTTTTTTATAATCGTTTTCTATAGTGGCAGCTAATAAGTAAACTTACTTAACAGTATTATAGTACATGGTCCTTCGCGATTTAGATATTGTAATAGCCACATAACCTCGCGTTCCAGATGCATGGGTACTGTGGAAAAAACACACGATTCGTGATATTATGACGCAATAACGATGTGTATCGTGACTGGCCATACAAGTTTACCGTTTCATATTAAGTACATTTTCTTGCATAACCTAATTGTTGTTAATCAAAATAGACAACAGTATATTTTGAAAGTGAAGACTGTTATCATATACACAGAAAGAAATCGGGGTCGCAGTTGAAGAAAAGCAACGGAAACTTGACAAAGCATTCGACTTACTTAAAAATGATTCTCTCCATGAAGAACCTTGTGTTACGTATCATAAATGGATTGCATTATTACGAATAATTTCGAGTCGGATTTCTGAAGAAAGGGTATGGAAGATATTACTAGTTTATAAATTATAGCACAAACTTTTTGTTCGTTTCTTTTGTTGGTGGGTATGACTCTTTGAAATATCCCATTATTCTCTGGCATTCAGGCATTTTCATGTTTGTTTGAAATTTAGATAATCCTACGATCGGCCCATATAAAGTTCAAAATGAAAGTATTGTCCTACCTGCTTTTATTTTAAAATCATGGGCTGCTAGGCCATAAAGAATATTCTTAGTTAGGATGTGTTCTGATGTAAAAAAAACTATGATGTTTTGATTTAACACCAAAGTCCGTAATTCTCACTTGGACATGCTTATTTGTCTGTATTCATTTTTTTTTTTGAGATTTACTTTTTTTACGAAGAAGGCTTGGACAAGTAGGGCGTATATTATTTTAATTAATGTAGTTAAATTTGAAAGTGAAGAAATTCTTATCATTTTAGGCATTGGTGCTATGGCACGTATTGTGTGATAACGAAACAAAAGACGGAATATCACAATCATCATTTTCGAAATCAGCTGACGCTATCAATGTTCGTCTCGTAATTGATGGAAGTGATAACAATTTTTTTGCAAATAAGTTTCCAGGATGTTTCTACTCGAAAGGAAGTAAAGTATTGATTCAAGTAGTAAATCACATGTATGTTATTTATAGCTCTAACCCTAAATTTTATTATATATACCAAGCTTTGTGAGTAACCTATTGTCATAAACAAATCATTCAGCTTATTATTAGCGAAATGTGCAACGAACGCAAAGCGCCAACAATTACAAAGTTGACTAATTGCTAAATACTTTTAATGGCCAGTTCCAATCTTTGCTGCGACCCTCAAGGTCCTATATAAAAACTACCTCAAGGTACTGTACACAAAATACCCTTTATCTTCCGTGTTTAAAATAGAAGACTAACCCCGTCCCAAACTAGTCAGTCCTTGAACTCAACAAGTCACATTAAACTAGCCTAACAAATTATCAACCTTGACTTATTATTTAATTGATAATTAGATAATTAGAATTATAAGCTCCTAAATGTTTTCGCCACTTCAAAAGAAAATTTATAACAGCTCTTCTTACCATCAAATTTCATGCATACGGAACAATTAACTTTTTAAATATTTTTTAGAATTGGTTGTACTTGAAACTTTTAGAAGTTCTCAGTAGGAAATAAAATTTGCAACATCTAAAACTCCGCAATTTTCAGTTATTTTGTCTACGCTTTTGACTTGTTGATTCTCGCAAACGCAGTCTGTATAGCTTTGGATTTAGAGCAAACTGAGTGGTTTTTCCTACCGGTATTTATGATCGAAATTGCTTTGAGGATGTATGCCGTTGGTCCGCGTGAATATTTCAGCCTAGATCGACTTTGGAATTGGTAAGTTAAGTCCCAATTAAAGATTAATTCAACTATGTTTAAAGTGACATTCCTAGTCTGTGGGCCAGAAATAAGGGGAAAATTAGGGGGGTCTCAAAAATGAACAGATGGTACAAATGGTGCAAGTGAAAACAAATGAAAAAAATTAGAGGCAAGTGGTAACCCTCACTTTTGAGACACCATCAAACTATGTCAAATACATACAGTGAAACAGGCTGACTTATCGGATGTATTTTACTCTAGAATGGGAGAATAAAATTTTGCACTATACTGGATTATCCGACTGACTGAAATATGCAGGTCGATCCACATTTTATACCATTTTACACCGCCATTGAGTAAAACATACAAAATAACTTTCCATTACTTCCTTCACAGGTTTGATTTCATCATTATTTCAGCCGCTTTCATCGCTACAATCGTCGAAGCAAGTTTGAACGAATGTTAGTTATTTCCTTCGTAATATTTTTTCATGGAAATAGAGAATCGATTTAAAAATTGTTCTATTTTACTTTATATATATACTAAATTTAAAAAAATAGCGCTGAACACACATGCATACAAACTGGAAAAGTAAAGCTATGTTTCCTTCTCTCGACTTCATACTCAGCTCAAGGACTCACACAGTGATATCTATCTAATTAGTCGGCCGGTCTTTTCGAACTGGCCTCATACTTCGAATTGAATTGGAAAACAAGTTTTCGGTCCACCTCTAGAGCTTCAGATAAATACAGTGAAAGTTTAGACTGACTCCGAACTTGTTCTGTTGCTAGCTGGGCATTTCTGCAAAAACTCATCGTGTATTTGTTTCGTTGCTGAATATTTGTTTAAAAAACTAGTGGGCACAGCACGTCACAAATAATAATGTCCATACAATTACGTGTCGAGAATAGACTACGGTGTCTTCGAATCCATCATGATCTTACACTTACAGTCTATTTCCGAATCAGTTTTTTAGTTTTCTTTTTAATTCTATTTCTAGTGGATCAATTCCCGAGGGAAGCACTTGATGTCCTACTGGTTCTACGATGTTTAAGACTTGTAAAAATTGTTGGAAACATTGAAACATTTCGAATCGTAGTGATGACCATTGTCAATATCACGCCGTCATTGCTGACGTATGCTGGAGTGCTAATAGTAAGTAAAATAGGAGTATGCATATATACCGAAATACAGTAATTAAACTAGCATAAGTATACTTGTTAGCTGCTTTCGGTTGTTAATACTATAAATAACATAAATATATATGTATTCTAATAATTTGCAAAACAGTGGGGACAATTCACAGAAGTGGGTAGGCTTGAAAGTAAAATATATATTTATATATATATTATTTTTAAAGATGGTGTATTATTCATTTGCTGTCATTGGAATGGAAGCTTTTAGCAACAAAGTCTTATTCAACGCTAAAGAACAACCACCTTTTTGTGGCAACCCCAAGTTACAGGATTCGGAATTTGTGCGGATGGGATATTGTCAAATGAATTTCAATGATATTATTCATTCCATCGTCACGTTGTTTGTGTTAATGGTCGTCAATCAATGGCATGATATCCTTTTGTCGAATAGGATAGGATAGGATTCACATATTTATCCAGAAGTGAAGAAAGTCGATAAGACGGCTTAACCATATGACGAATCACGGCCTCTTGTCCGGTTACTATTCCATGTCGGGTATGGGATTAGTTAGTTATCTGTTTTCGGAAGCATGGACTCCAGCAATCCTCTCGCAAATACTATCCCCGCGTGGGATTCGAACCTGCGAACCCACACAGAGTAATCAGAGGTGCGATGGCGAGCGTATTCCTAACGCTTAGCACGATGAGCACACCATCCGCATCATATATACTAAAAAATATACACAAACAGCACATATATGATATCTAAATAGTTTGTCGCTAACCGTATGTGAATAAAGAGGAAGTGTTTTAGCGAAGTTAAATTTATTCAGCTGCAGCAACTATCGAATATTCACTTGCTTCCTACCAATATAATCTCATCCTCGTGATTGAATATCATTTTGGTAAATAAAAAAATTATTTTTATTTGTAATAGTTTTTTATTTTTCTTGACTGCTGTGTACTTATCACGCAAGGATTTGTTTTCGTAACGAATAAAGCGGCCAGATTATTTTTCATCTCATTTCATCTATCTGTCGTCATTTTAATTTTAAAGTGAGTACATTGTATTATAAAGAATCATTTGGATAAATTTTGATGTTAATTTATTCTCATGCTTTTATCAAAAAACGATTGCTTCATTTCCCACTAGCTGTTTAAGGATTTAGAGCAGGGGTCGGCAACCTTATATCGCTCGCGGGCCAAAATTGAAGGTTGCAAGTCATTGGCGGGCCGCACATATTTTTAGAAAGTTAAAAACCGAACGGATGGCCGATGATTCACACTTTTTCACACAGATCAGAAGTTAAATTTTGAGCAGCGCGCGAAGACTGACCATTTGAATAATTTCTGCCCCATTAAACTATTTGCACTTAGCATCAACTCTTCTGCGTTTTGTTTCCATTTGTCTAATTATATTAAAATTATAGGTTCATTAAACGCGTAATTGTGAATTATATACTTGTTAGGTTATAATATAATTTTGTCTGCACGTGTCCCAAAATAAATTCGGTTACGCAAAGAATATAATTGTCAAAACAGCTGTTTTGTTACTATATTCAGTGAAGCGTCGCGGGCCGGATTATATTGCTCCGCGGGCTGTAGGTTGCCGACCCCTGATTTAGAGTATATATTCACGAATATTTACGTAATTAATTCAGCATCATTGTTGCATTTGTACTGGAAGCATTCATCCTAGAATATACCATCAAGAATAATGTTATGGAAGATAGAATAGAAGAAAAAATAAATGAACTGAGACAAGAAGCGGAAAGGTAAGTCAAGATATTTCCACAATTCAAACCGTGCTCTGAAATTTGGCAACAATTTTCCTGAAATTATAGGTGATTCACAGTAACATCTTTTTTTCTGAATTCCCAGAACAAGGGACACATTTTGATAGAAAAGTTGTTTGTTTAGCGACCTTCTAATGTACGATAAGCGTAAATATGCAAAGTAAAACGAACAATTCAATTTGCAACGTAAAAATGGCACACATGTCACTGGATCGCTGCATAGTATCATCTCGCTAAATTCAGTTTGTTCTTAATGTTTATCGCAACCAAATAAAACAAGATGCTTGCAATCATATTCTGAAATACAGTAATATAAATATATTCATCTTATCAGTAAACTTCAAGCACATGACCGAACAGAGCTCGTCGAGGCAACAGATGCTTCTTATGTTGAACGCCAGAACTCAAGTATACCGGGATACAAATTTAGAGTAAACAAAGGTGGGTATCGAGACAAGTAATGGTTTCGTGCAAGTACGGATTTTGTTAAACTCGAGTTACCACTCGTGAGATGTAAATATTTGCTATCATCTCCTTTCCAAACCCTCACATAATAGGGTCAAACGTATATGAATTATTATTTTCTTGCAATCTGTTTTAGGACATAAAAATATTGAAGTTTTACTGCAAAGAATGTTTGAAGCAACAAGAAGTTCAGCTCCACAGCCAACTGAAGAAGTGCCAGTACCAACGGCAGAAGTTATCCAAACTATTTCTGACACAACTCAATCTTCATCGAACTTGTGAAACAAGCGAAACGTTAAACAAGCGGATATCAGACTCTGGATTTGTTTGAAATCAAATTATTTTCTTTGAAGTAAGATCTGGAGTATAAAAGTTTTTATTGTGGTTTCAGGCCAGTACCTCGACCTATGATGAAATATCAGGACTTATTGGTTCTCTAGCCCAGAAATTAAGGTTAACGAAATGGCGAGCTCTCAATTACACTGACGCAGATCTTTAATCAAATCGCTGCCAGCATTTGTTCGGATTATTGATTATTCAAGACGTTACCATTATCAATATATTATTTTTTCAAAATGTCGGATAAGCTACCCTAAATGATTTAAATTTTTTTCATATACAACATTTCGATATTAATGCATTTTATCCGATTCCTTCAACATATATAGTTCAAAAACTTTGGTGCAATATTTAAAAATATGCAATACTATTTCGAATCGACTTGTGCAATATATTATTACTGTGTTATCTCATTATCAAATAAAGTTATTCATGTTTGAATCAAATTTGAAATATATCGCGTGTTCAATGATCCACAAGTGTGCCCAAAGCTATGTTCCTCGCCTGAAGTTGGAACGCGATGTCCCTCGCTAAAACCGGAAGGCTACGTCTCTAGCCTGGAGCTGGTGTAGAAGGCTACGTCTCTCTCCTGGAGCTGGAAGACTATTTCTCTCGCTAAAGCTGAAAGGCGGAGTGCCACATCGTGCTGCTCTAGCGAAACAGATTCAAGCAACGTCAGGGAGGCCTAAAGTGGGCAATAAGATACAAGATCAAAGCCTACACTTCCTTGCCCCACGGCAACCCAAGGTAAGATACAATACAACAAACGCTTCACGCCGACTAGTGCAATTTTATATTCACCAAAAATATCGAAACACACGAACGGTATTCAAAAGTTGCATCAGCAAGGAACAAGTAGCCTATAATAAACCACCGAGGAACGAGTACAGAAAACCTTGCTTGTTAAAATATTGCATGGAGATAGGATTTTGAATGCTTTTATTTTGATAATTAAAAGAGCGACTCAATTTTCATAAATTACGATCTACTTTCACATAAGAGTAGAGAGTTTCCTCAGCTCACAACTGAAAAAGGAGAATTGTAAACTCAATTCACTTGATACTTAGAAACTAGCATTCTGTGACTCTGCCGAAAAGTTCCAAAAGATATGATACTATTCAATGAGGTAGAGTGAAACTTTAATTTTGTCAAATTTGCCTAAAACGTGGTCCTTTGGACGAACATAAATATGTCAAATTGCAAAGTAATTTTGTAAGATATTTAAGGGTATAAGTTCGTATAACGCACATCACTACAAATAAGCAATCAAAAATTTGGGTATTAAGAGAATGCCAGAAACCATAAGAGGGAGAATCAAATCATAATGAGACAGCAGCAGAACAAACCACCTTCAATGTTAGAAATGAACAATTTGCAGAAGTTACATTTGCATAAATTTTACCTGTTGTCATTGTGAGTTGGTTGTATTAACAAATGCTGTACTTTCAATCTCATGCTATGATATTTGGTTTGTAACACAAGGTAAAGTGTAAACTTTGGTAATAGAAACCCACTAGTAATTTTGTATAAAACATATTTTGAAAATGTTGTGTATAATAAAAGTTGGTGCAATAAAGCTTTTTCAAAGAATCTATTTTGATAACTTTTTTTGATTACATATGTGACAAGACATATTCTGCGAGTATGACCCGCATATGGATAAAAAAAAGTATCAGATTTGAAAGCGGAACTTAGTACCATTTCTGAATAAATAACCTTAAGTTTCAAAGTTTTAGGCCTGAGTACAAAAAAATTAATAATTTTGCAAGAAATTAGAAAAAGCGAATAAATTAATTCATGGACTTAATTTAAGAGAAACCTAAAAATCATACTGCTGAGGATTGCATGCTCCACTGCAACTAGCGGCACACTCATCTTCATAAGAAATTTGCAAACACTTAGAGTTCCGTTTTGATGACCTATTAGCCGTTCCTTTTGGATGAGAGGGATTCTTGCCAAGCATTCCATCATTTGTGCAAGAAGTTCCTCCATCATAATCTAGGGAACTATTATGATGCATGAAAGAATTTTCTCGCAACATTGCATCCTCTTCATTATTGGGGTTTCGAATGGGGCACGGACGTTCACAAGTTTCAGGATCGTACAATAAGCCTTGTTTGGAAGAATTTAGATTTTGATAACACACGCACACATTACCATCTTCGAATCTCTGTGACATGTTTTTCTGTTTCTTGCTACCACTCCCACCACACGTTCTTAGTACTCTGTGAATATGAAAAAGGAAAACAAATTGATAAATATAACCTACTGAATGAAAGATCACAAAAAACAAGATCACAAACTTTAATTAGAAAAATCCCTGCTGACATCTTTTGTTGCAACAGAGACATCAGATTATATGAAACTTAGAGCCATAGATGTGGAGTGCAGGGAAGTCTGCCTGAAATTTGACCCCGGCTCCTGACTCCCAATTGAAGGGATTTTGACCAGTTTGTGGAAGTATTTGAAAAATATTTTGATGAAAAAAAAAAATTCGACATAAACATTTTATACTTGGATTATTACCAATATACAGGGCTGCCCTAACGTCCTTACTTCTAAGATTTGTCCTTATTTTAAAGGGTTTCAACTTAGGAAATATTTTTGTCCTTTTTTTGACACAATGTCCTTATTTTTGTTTCATATTAGGGGTAGAGGTTCCTATACCGGGCACTTAGATTAGTCAATGAGAATGAATGATTTGCTAGTAATGGTATTAGAACCTCATGGAGTGCTACGCACATCCATGACAAAATAACAGCAAATTTACTGTCACCATGACAAAACAATAGCCTAACAGCAAAGATCAGTTCGATCGAAATACAACTTAGAAGTGAGATGGAACGGATAGTTTCTGAGAATAAAGAACTGCTGGTGCAAATCCTTTCTATTGCAAAATATGATTAAAGATGGGTCGCACTGACATGAATACATTTTGTTTAATACATTTCGTTCTTATCTCATTATCATTTATCCCCGACGTCATTATTTTGGGGTTCATATCGATGGCAGCCCTGCCAATATATGAAATTTCATCTAAATGATACTAAATTTGACTCTGGCGCTAACCCTAATATTATTAAAATGTCCACCCTGATAGGCAAACTGCTTGAAGGACATCAATTTCAAAAAGATGAAGTTAAAAAAAACGATTTTGGAGTAGAAATTTCGCTATCAAATGGCATAGGACTAATGATAAAAATAACTAATACCGATGTCCCTCAAAAATCACCATCTTTGTACATTGTTGAAGAATTGACATAAGCACATTATTAAATTGATATATCTTTTTCTTTGTCTGTACACAGAAGGGACGCAGGGATGACAAAAGAATACAAAATTTAAATCGATGGTACACGTAATAAATATCAGGTCACGAGTGGTGTGGTGACATACTACATATGGTCTATTAACAATGCCTTAAAAGCATGTTCTCTCAATGGTTCAGGTTTGGCCAAATAAAAGGGAAAAAGAAAATCAATTCATCAGAAGTGCTAACACACACCTTCTTGACATGTCTTCCAGGAAGCCCAGAGCAGTTTGAAGGGCATGGTGTTTATTAATCATTTTATTATATACACCTGTCCATATTTCCTCATGAAAAGATCAATAATAGGTAAAAAATGAATCAATATCAATAAAGGTCTGGATATGACTAATGCTCATGTCAATAACATTTATTGATTGTCCAGATATTAAATCTTTTAAAAAAGCTCATTCAAATGATAAATAGCTTATATTAAATTAATATTTTGTTTTCGCATAAAGCAGAACATTGCATAAATATGCGCCATTTATTTGGGAAAAATACAAAGAATTATAAACGCCCGCAGCAAATTGTTACTTAAGGCAATGTAATTGTTCAAAATTTAATCAATTACCTTATTTCAAATATCACAATTTTATTAATGGTTCAAATTTCATTATTACATTCTTTGTTATACTTTTAATTTTTGTTATAAAGATAAAATACTGTCCAGAATTCCAATTAAACCATGAAAATGCACAACATGCCTTAATATAATGTTACCTATGATAAGAAAATAAAGGAGTATCCCAAGCTATGCATTTTACTGGGATTGTAAATTGTTGTAATATAGTTATTATTGTTCGATGCGCAACTGGAGGCAGAAATTCTATTTTGAAAGAGATCAATATTCCAATGTGGCAGTTAGTTTACCATAACATAACTTTAATCGGACACGCGGGTCACAAATTCAAAAACAAAACAACAATTTTCATATCCTAATTTTAGAAAATTTATCTAGCCATAATCACATTACTTTATTGATCAATTTACTTTTAAGAATATCAACTTGATATCGCGGTATTACTGCTGATAGCCAAATATAATAAAAGACCCCAAGCTAGGGGCGGACACCCTGGGGGGCGAGGGGGGCGGTCGCCCCCCCCCCCCCCCCAATAATTTAGTAAAAAAAATTAATACATGTTGTTTCCGCCTTACAAAATTATCATTTCCGAAAAGTGCCATTGTCAAACGCAATTAAACGGTTGATAGTTACCGATATTATAACTGTTTTCTTACAATAATGTGGACCAGAGCGCCTTGGAGCACCTCACATTTTCGTAAAACATGCGCGCCCGCACAGGTAATACTCCGTCTTCAAACGCACCGCCGATCACGCGCCACGGTTTTGCACAACTAATTCATTTTTGTACATATTAATATGATTTTCTCATTGTCAAAATCTTTCAATAGTGTTATTGTTGGCACTTGCGAGAGAAGTGAAAGAGGCGAACTGTGTTTCATTACAACAATTAATTATTATCGCTAAAAAATTAACTAGATCTAAAGTTGTTAAGTACAATTTTCACCGCTGGACGTATCTTTTCACGTTATGGATTTCGTGCAAGGCCCAGCATAATTTGCGGGCAAAGATCAAAGCATTTACTATGTCGAAAAGTTGAGAAGCGGCAATATAAAATACTAAAAATAAAACTGTAAACAATATAAGTTTTGCTCAGGCCCGCGACAGTCTAAAAACGCTTTTCTAGGCATCGAAAATCGCAAAATTTCGTGTGCCTACGGCACAAATCATGTTTGCTTGACCTTTAAAAACATTTCGTCACTAAAATCGAAACAGGGTCAATTGTGAGCGGGATTTGCCTTTTTAACCATTACTTTTAAATTGACGTAGAAAATTTTCGTGTTAACAAACAAATCTAGGAACGCGACTTTTCCCCGGTTTGTGTTGATATATAAGATAATTAAAGTATATTCGATCACTTTTTGTATTTTTTTATGTGATTTTTATTGTACTGAAATAACTTTTACTACGTGAGAATTGACAGAAAATTTACGGATTTTTCGAAAGGTTTTATCTTTAAAAATAATCGGAGTGACAACATTACGATTGAGCGGAGCCAGTGTGACAAGTACATCTCAAATTTATCGAATTCGCAAAATAGCAAAAATACGGATCAGAACAATATATAAACGGGCAGTTTACCACACATTTTTATGTCCGCGGATTGCCGTTGTGTTTTAGTGTGGCTCTTGTTTTGTCGACTCAACCGCAGTTTAAATTGAAGAGAATTAAATTAATAAATCAAGACATTTTGAATTTGCCCGTATCGGTCTCTGATTGATTACTTTGCACAAGTGAAAAATCATTTTTCGTTGATAAAGTCGGCTCTTTTAACAAGTGGCGTAATCGTGGCGACTGTTCCGCGTGGATTTCGAGGCGGTGAATTTGTATTTTTGATTTACTAGTATACTTTATAATTATTTTCATTGTATAAATTAAAATTGTACTATATGGGATTTTATATCAGATATCGAGATTTTTGTAACGGCGATAACGAGTTCGGAAGATTGCAAAAATAGGTATCAAAATTAAATACATCAGGCAGCTTATCTCATATTTTTATGTCCACATATCGCCGTAGTACTTTAGTTTAGTAATATTTTCATTTTCACGTAAGAAGTCGCAACCGCGAGTTACGTTGCACACTATTAAATTAATATGTAAGAACATTTTAGAATCTCGTGGCTGTCATGGATCGACAGAAAAATCATTATACGCTTAAATAGGCGTCTCTTTTAAAGAGCGCGTAATCGCGGTGCTTGTTGCAGACGGCAATGGGAAGTTCCGACTTTGACCCCCCCCCCGCCTTTTTTTAAATCCTGACTGCGCGCCCGATCTTGTGCCTGTTTATTTTCGTATTAAATTATAAATAAAAACCCTACAAAGTCATTGCGTGAATCCTGAATGTTACTTCGAGTTCAAATGATGATTTAATAAGTCGGCAATAATCGCAATTGACGCGCAAGTTCCGTGTCCGAGCAAAGCAGCCTAGGTACTCGATATATGAGTAGCAAAATGACATGCTAATACTTAGAGAATGACATCGACAGGTTATTGTTACGTGACGATACACGGCGCGATGTTTTTTGGTAGGCGATCCAAGTTCGCCCCCCCAAAATTATGGAAAGTGTCCGCCCCTGCCCCAAGCCATTCAAAACAAGCTCTGTGCCGTTGTTATTGGTGGTTCAAGTCGTAAACACGAGCAGGCGTGAAACCCGAAATGATTCTTAGTAACGAAACCGCAAACAGAACCCTACTCAAGTTTCGTGAGAGGATACGCACGACAGAAAAATCACGGTGTTTAGTGTAAAGAATGACAAAGTTATAACCGATGTACACTTAAATTCTTCGTTGCATAAGACTAAAATTTGTATCTGATAAACACTAAAAATATCTGACAACAGGTGACTTGTTTTACCCCAACATCTCGAAACATTTATCAGTGTACATTTTATTTTGCTGCAACAGTTGCTTACAAATATTGTTTAAATGAAGGGCCTATAACAGTGGTTCTCAACCTTTTATGGATCGTGGCCCCCTTTCGGCGCCTTTTTGCTTTCCCCTGTACGTCATTCCAAAAACTAAACGTGTTGGATTGTATTATTGGGGTTTCGAATGGGTTTTACGACCTTTTATGGAATTCAAAAACAAACCACAGACAAGGAAGGCCAAGCTTTTTAGTATACAATCAATGGGAATCTTTTGCTTGTCTGACGAGGTTCCTGATATTAAGCACAGTCTTTGATATAGCAAGGCGAATGTCACTGTCAACCTTGAGACGGTTTTGATGCTAACAAGATCAGAAAAACCAGATTCGCACAACTAGGTTTGTAACAAATTGAACAAGCAAAATCGATGTCAACGTCTTTCACCTGAGCATGATTTTTGTCACTTCACTTCGGTATGCTCTGGGTGTGTTTGCTGCAAGTGGCGCTTATTAAGCTTTGATGGCTTCATTGTTTCGTTGCTGAGGACAGCATAACATGAAACGCATTGCGGTTTTCCTTGCCACACTCTGACACTGAGGTAAACCCCATTTCAAGATAAGAAAAAAACGATATTAAATTGCGAATAATTTTCTAAAATCCTAATTTAATCGCGGACCCCCACGGTTGAGAACCACTGGCCTATAATATAAGCTTATATTTGAAACTTGTCCCTATTTTTAAATAACTACGCCTCACAAAATAAATTTGTCATCATTTTTGAGATTTGCGCATGTTTTGTCCTATTTTCATTTTAGGAACTCGACATAAATTTCAATATTATAAAGCAAAATGCACAGTTAAAGATGGTGGTATACTAGCAATAATTACTTCCATCATGCGCAATATGGATTTTTGTAGCCCGTTGTTAAATTGAGTTCATGACAAGTATGTGATTGCTCAGCTGGGTACAAATTTTACAAGCCTTTTCAAATGTTTGTTTTTTTCTCACAATATTTAATACAAACATCCGTCATACCCAACTTCCATCGTGCGCGACCGTTAAGTATGGCAGTACTGACTAACAATATGACAATTATTCGTCACAAAATTTGTTCTTATCAAATTTTCATGTCAATTAAAATCAGAAAGATATTGTGATTTGTGAAATTGGTACGAAGTAAAGTCGAGTGTTCATTTGAATAGAACTAACACTTGGCGATTTCGATATCCTTTTTGGATTCGGGACCATATGTTTCAACACAGAACTAAACCATTTGCAAAATCCTGCACATAAATAAATTCTTCCCATCCAAATGAAAATAAAAGCGTGTTTGAGTCAAATTGAATTATTTCAGTCATTCGAATTGTTTTTGGCGTTGTGTGATTTTTCACGCAAATACGGGTTACTGGTATTCTTCAATATCCTGTCTATAGTGTTATTCAATATTCGTTGCCGTTCCACAAGTACGTTTCATTTCAACTGGCGCCGGCGTAGAGAGGAACCACTGTTTAGTCCATTTACAATACGAGTGCCATAGGTCCAGTTATTCCGGGAAGGAGCGGGATTTCGAGCATTTAAATTGGCGCCAGATATATATATATACAGAAAACCATAAAAAATCCAATTTTGCGTTGCTGCCTTAATTTGAAGTTTGAAATGCAACATGCAATCTCTTCATGGTTTTCACTTTAAAAAATACACTCATAGGAATATCTGACTTAAATTTAAAATCATGGAAAAGTTCATGGTTCAACTTAATTTACTAACATTATTACGTATTATATTGTTAATTTGAATCTAAGAAGATGCTATGACTTTTGTGTCTTGAATCATTGAACGCGATTATGATGTTTATTATTAGTGCTGTTATTATGGCCTTTGCCTATATATTGATCGACTCCAACCAGTTTGAAGCAAGTTAAACGTCGTTACATAAAACTAGATCTTCCAAAATATGAAAGAACTGATTAAACATTTTCATATTCATGGACATTTTTGCTTATAGGACACAATATGATATAAATAAAATAAAGATCAAGTCTGTAATTTTATTAGAAAATTAGGAAGCTACTATGTTTAATTGGTATCGGAAACGGATCATTATATTATTTTTTTTCTTAGATTTTTTCGCTCTGAACATGTCATTTTGGTCACTTGGAAATCGTTTTGTTCGTATCAAAATATCATCGCTCAAAACCCAGTAATATGAGTTGTCTTAAATTTGATTAACACCATTTTGGAATTTTCGCGACCTGTAATAAGTCCCAGATTGACTTCGCTCGTCTATTACTTCCGATTAAAACCACCACCGAAGAAACAACAATTGAATCTCTAGTTCACTATTTTAAAAGGAAAGACCCGAAATTGATCACAATTTTTGCTATTCCGAATTGCCCACACGAAAGACCGAAATTGAGTATCAAGGATTATAGCAAAAATTGCCTGATATAGCGAACAGTTTCCACTCTCCACTATGCCTATATGTCAGACAAAACAAGTTAGCATATAACACAAAGCAAATTTAGCAGGGGCATCTTTCATATGCAGGCCGAATAGTCAGATGGATAACATGAGCCATGAGAATTACCATCGCCAACCAAGAAACCAACAACTTGAATTTGTAGAATAAAGTAGTTTGATTATCTGACGTAGCTAGGTATCCTGAACGTAGCCTCATTCGAAGAAAAGAAAAACGTACCTCATTATAACATTCCCAGAAGTTATTTTATAATATTTGCTCAAATGAGGCTTAGAGGCTGTTATTTAAACGTAAAAGTTATCACATTTAGACAGAAACACAAAGCTTTCCCACTAACCTCTGCGTTATCCTTCTCTTCCGTTTAGCGATGCAATAAAGAAGAACAGTGGATACAACTCCAGCAAAAAATACTCCAATCAATAACAAAATCATTCCAGTGCTTGATCTTAAACCTATGTAAAACGAGTTTATTTAAAAACCTTTCCCCTTCAAAGCATATCAAACTATACGAAGCACTATATAACAGATTGTAAAGATACAAATCTTCATACAGGAGATTGTAAAGATATGAAAACATAAATCTAACTTTGTATGCTCCAAAAGCAGACTGTGTATTATTGAAATATTGGGGTCATGTTATTCAGACTATATTAGCAATAAAATTTTTACAGTACTTGAGTAAAAACACATTAAAGTACAAAATTCCACAAATTTAAGCCTGTCTATAATATATTTATGAAAATGGATATTGAAAGTTACAAAGAGCTTGATACGCTCATCATAACTGACATAAATTGCTTCTGTTTCAAAGAAACAAACCTAAAAGATGTTCATTGCCAAGGTTTGCCTGTGTTGTGGAGCTTGATGATTCTGTAAATTCTAAAATTTTCTGTTTTATTGCATCTGGTAGTATTGGATTCCTAGTTTGGTTGTATTGTCTCCTAAATTAAAGAAACAATTATTTATGTATTGCATATAGAAATTTAATGATATAAGGGAACATTTAAGAGAAATTTAATGATATATCTAAAAAAACTGTTGTAAATTACAGTAATGCAAAAAATCAGATTATCAGCGAAATTATCATCTAATATAGGTATCCGGCATCCGCATTAGGAATTCGTACTTGTTATTCTTTTTTTTTTTTTTCTCTTGACGCTTCATAATTGATTTGATATCAAATGAGTTTGATGATCAAATAAACAAAATTTTCGAATAATATGTATAAAAAAGATCTTATATATTCTGCAAGTGCAAGCAATATCATAATGGTCCGTGGACTGATGCATCCATATTGGTGTCCAGGTTTGAACTCTTCAAATATATCCTGCATTTAAAGTGTCACTGACCTTTTTGGTGTATGTGGTGTTGAAGTTTCAATTTGGTGACGTGATGTTGGTGTAAAGACTTCATTTTGTGCAAGATTGTTATAATCGTACTTTGTGTATATCACTGGTAAAATCAAAAATAAAACAAATTAGGCCTAGCTAGCTAAACTGTGATGGACTACAATGCTTTTCTATACAACACTCATTCGTGCTTTTCACTCCAAACAAAGCCCTAAGGAACAGTAACTCATATCTAACGATCTGCTAATATTACATTATTTGGAAGGACCAGAATCTTTTCGGTTCGGCATTTCATACCCAATCTATCACACCAAAGGAGATTAGATTTGAATCCGAGATGGGGGATATGTGATGCCAACACAGTTATCCTTGAACTGCTAGGCCATCGCACCGCAAGTCGAAGGCCAAATCATTCACTTGAAAGATTATTATTAAAGACAAATATTTTTTAGACAATTCTTTTTCTCAAATTTGGTCCAGTGACCATAAATAACCTTCAAACAAGATGCAAATCCAGTTTTAATGAAAAAATGGCTTGAATACCGGTAATTTATGATCTCGTCTTTTGAAGTAAATTAGTCTCACAGTCATTTTACCTGATGATGGCACTGTTTCTGCAACTTTTGAAGTTTTCAAATATTGTGTTGTGGTTGTTGTAGGTATTAATAAAGAGCTGGTTGTAACTGTTGGAGTTGTATTTTCTAAAACATCTTTGAATTTAAACCATAGAAATGTGCTTCTCAGATGTTGCTTAGACTTGATACCATTTTTGGTTGTTCCAAAAAAGAGGTGTCTTGGCTTGCGACTTATTTGAATAGTGATACTTTGATCATCGGAATTCTATTTAAATAAATCTGTGGTTAGCATAGATATGAACACATTGTTAATTAGAACTTAATAAATAACGGGTATACTTCAAATTCTACCAGTTCGAATACCTAATTTGAAGGACGAACAACGCTCACTTCAGATCCTTACTAGAGATGTACCGATGTATCGGTATCGGGTATCGGTATCGGCAATATCGGCCATTTTTTCGGTATCGGCCATGTATCGGTATCGGTTAGATTAAGGCCGATATTTCCGATATATTTACCTTTTTGATATGGACCAGAATGTTTTAAAAGATAAGTTGGAATACTACTTTTTAATTTATTTTTTGTCTGGAGAGATCGTGAGCTATGAGCCATACATGCCCCCAATCCCGCGAGAGAATAGGATTCACGTATATTTAGCTATTTATCAGCCAAATTAGCTCAACTAATTTGGCTATTTTTGCTGTCAAATTTTTATATTAACATTTTTAATATTACATAGTAATTATGAAGAAATATATCAACACGGCACATAACAAAAAGCAATTGGGCGCCGAGTTCTAAATCATACAGTGGAATTGGGGTCCTTATTAACGGCACATGGACTTTTGGCACGGGTATAAATTCTAACTGTTTGTCGTCAAGTACGAGTGTCATTTAGTCCGACGACATCGATAAACTAAATTCGGACACAATTATCCCTCTACGCAGATTATTAATTTTGTTTGACTACACAATTTCTTTATAGATAAATATATGAAAAATGCTTTTAATTTGAACGTAGGACGGCGGCTCTAGAATGTGTGGGTGATATCCGATATTCTTTTAAACACGAATAACGATATTCGAAGGTCGCGATATAAACATTAAATTCAAATTGGACATCCCGGCTTATGAGTTTCAATTGAACACCGAGATTACTAGTGTTACTGTACAATGTATCTTAATCAGTTAAAGCATATGGATACCAAACATTAATTTCATATTATGTGACATATATATATATATCTATTTTTTCGATCTGAAATAATGTGTACTGTGAACAACGCTCAAAGACCATTGTTTTAACCCGTCTGCCCTACACGGCACACCTAATTAAGTAATATTTACATAGTATCGGTATCGGAATATCGGTAATATCGGCCTTTTCGTAGTATCGGCGTATCGGTATCGGTATCCACTTTTTAGCTGGTATCGGATCGGTATCGGCGACAAAAGTGGTATCGGTACAACTCTAATCCTTACCATTTAGATGGCCTTACCATTAGGACATACAGATCAGTGTTTTCCCATAGCAAACTTAAGATAGAAACGAAAACATTAGGTGGACTTAAGAAATCCACTAAACTATTCAATTACCAAAATCCCTTTGTGAATAGCAGCACAACAAACACTGGACGTATCAGTGTAAGGATCGGAGCCTGTGACACGACATAACGCTATATGGCATGATGTAGGACATTGAGCAGTGACTTCATCACAATCTGTCTTCTGTATTTGAACAATTCGTTCCAAAGTCGCATCACATTCAATTGAACCTGTAATAGTAAATGTTACTAATGTAAAGCTTGTATGTGGTTATGGATGAGGAGACAGACATGTTTATTGTAATATATAGTAAGCTATTAAACAAGGTGATTTTTAATATTATGTTTAGTATTATACATTAATATCTTACCTATATCTTCGAATGCGTTCGTTGGAGTTATTAACAATGTGAAAATAATCAGTAAGTCGAAATTGATTCCATGAAAACGAGATATTTTATGTGACCATTTTCTTTCCATGCTCATCGAATGAGGCTAGAGGGATGGGAAAACTTAACTGAAATATAACAGTATATGGTAAGAAATGCAGTTAAGTACCAATATAAAAAAAAAAAACAGATCACTGATGTCAATTATGTCACTACTGACTGCCAAACTGCACTATACTATTCATAACACTGAAAATTTTTAAAAGCTATTCCTCTAGTTCACCTATTTTTCTGAAGTGCCTAATTCATAATTCGGATCTTTTAAAGTACACGCCGCAAGTAGACTACTTCTAGTTGGCTTGGCTCAACAATTCCTGTGTCACTCCTAATCCCCACCTGACTACGTCACTGCAACTTTGACCCCAAATTGGGTTGGAGTGATAAGTAGGTAGGGTCGCACACAGGTCACGGGGTCAGTGGGGTCGTTGAGGTACCGTATGTTAGAGGATAAATGATTACTTCAAATCATCTAAGATTTGACAAACCATGTTAAATTTAGCAGTTTGTATCATGGCTTACTGTAAAACAGGCCCACAAGCATCGCGCCCTATGCTTCAGCTTATTCCTGTATTCTATAGATAATATAGGTGCCTATTGCATTGGGACATCACTGTTTGGTTTTAGCTTATTTACCTTAATACCACTACATGACCAAACCCAAACGTCCAGTGAAAGCTCTAAAGCTTCATGAAAATATATTGACCTGGGGTTGCACTGGACACTTGAAAGTTGTCTTTGGGGTCGTCCTGATAAAAGCTTGGGAACCCCTGAGCTAGGCCAACTACAGAACTGGAAGTACTTGCGGCGTGTACTTCAGGAGATCCATAATTCAGTACCTGTAATTGATAATTCGAAAGTACCTAATTTTAGTTGGCCCTGTCTTTCAGTGGAAAATGACTAAACTGCAGGAATAGGTAGCTAGTTGCTAGTACAGTCAGACAGTACCGGTTGACTGTCGGACGGTACCGGTATTAACCAGTCAAATTATATAAAGGTACCGTACCGCTACGATTTGTTTGTCAGACTGTACGGTACCGGTATTAACCAGTTGAATTAGGCTATACCGGTACCTACGGTACCAGTACCGGTACGGTATACAGGTACGATACAGCCGTTACCGGTACCGTACCGTACAATATTTGTATGTCCATTTCACTTTTGTCCATGTGCTTTCGTCGAATATACCGTATAAAAATAAACTATACCTGAATTATAGTACCATCATCACACTATTACAATAGCAGGGTAAACCAATGTATACAAGGATATGAAAGCAAAAGTCCCCTGTCATCGTGACCTTACTATAACGCGTGCGCGGCGGTGTGGCTCAACGGGCTAAGCGTTAAGGCCGGTATACACCATACACGGCAGTAGTATAAAGGCCGGTATACACGGCAGTAGTATAAAGGCCGGTATACACGGCAGTAGTATAACTCACCGCACAGCGACTCTCGGCACTGTGCAGTATGCACGGAACCACAGTTCTGCGCAGTGTACTGTGACGTGAGGTCAGGCAGGAAACGGACTTGTCCTTCGTCTTTTGTATTATTTCTGTTTTGGATATTTTGGGGATCGTTGCAAGATTAATTTTATTAAAATGGGTATCGTATCGCGAAGAAGAATAAGTCGTTTTCGGTCACGGCGCTACAAGCAGTACTTGTACCGACATCAGCTGAAGTTATTGTTTGTGGTTCTCTGTATTAGATTAAAAGAGGATGAGCGCTGTGTCGGCAAGAGATTGTGGATGCACCCAATACTTTGCAGACGAAAGGAACATGGTAATTTTTTTTTACAATACACTAAATGCATACGTCTCAGTCTCACGAAGCCTATACTCACCTTCTTTGCCTCTAATTTCAGGAGAATACTACAGATTGGTTAGGGAGATGAGAATGGAAAGAGAAGCCTATTTTAAACAGTACTTCCACATGACACCATCTACATTTGACCGTCTTTTGAATATGATAGAGAGCAAGATTGTGAAACAAACTACAAATATGCGTGAACCAATTCCGCCTGAGGAACGACTTGCAGTCACTTTGAGGTATTTTGAAATAGGGTTTTAACCCACAGTATGAGTGAAATCGTGATTGATTGATTAAAATATAAATGAACAGTACCTAACGTTAGTCTACATATGGTAGTTTATCGCTAAATACAACATTATATATTTTTCAGATATTTGGTGACGGGGGATTCATATCAGCCAATCGGGTTCTCTTACAGGATTCATAAAACGACCATATCGCGAATTATTCCAGGAACCTGCGCTGCAATATGGGATTCCCTGCAGCCTGTGTTCATGACAGTCCCAAGTGAAAATCAGTGGAAGATTATTGCAAACGATTTTAAACAATTATGGCAATTTCCAAACTGTGTTGGAAGTATTGATGGGAAACATGTTGTCATACAAGCTCCTGCAAACAGTGGTTCATCATTTTTCAACTATAAAAAAACTTTCAGTCTGGTACTGCTTGCAGTTTCAGACGCAAAGTACAGATTTATTTACGTGGATGTTGGAGCGTATGGACGGCAGAGTGATGGGAATGTTTTTGCTTCACCATCTTTTGGAAAAAAAACTCCTGGATGGTTCATTAGACCTGCCAAAAAGCACCATATTGGAAGGGATGATGGAGCCACTACCACACGTTTTTCTTGGTGACGAGGCTTTTCCCTTAAAAACCAATTTGATGCGTCCTTTTCCAGGTACCAGATTATCAAGAAGGTCCCTAATTTCAACTATCGCCTCTCGAGAGCTCGCAGGGTTGTGGAGAATGCCTTTGGCATTATGGTATCTCGATTCAGAATTTTCCGCAGGCCTATATGCGTATCACCAGCCAGAACAGACCATATCATTAAAGCATGCACAGTCCTTCACAACTTTCTTAGATATGATTCTAATTATTTTGAAGCGGATTTCGTAGATCACGAGGTCAGTGAAAGTGCAGTGGAAGGCCGAAGAAAATTCAGCAATGTTAAATATCAGAAAGATTGGAAGGCCGAGTGCGAAGGAGGCAGTAAAAGTTAGAGAACAATTCAGCGAATATTTTGTTAGTGAGAAAGGGGCACTGCCATGGCAGGATAAATATGTGTTCTCGAGTGGTCGAAATATGATCTAAATGCACTATCCCCCCTATCATTTTTTGGTTTTATTGCTTCGTTTCACCTTTTCTGAATAAAAAAAATTTTGCTTCCGACTTGGTTAGCGGAATCTTTCATCTTGTTTTTATATATGTTGCCGCAGTGGAGATAATAGCAACTACGAGGGTAAATCACCAGACTGGTTGACATTTTAGGTACACTATTGGGTTAGCACTTACAGGGATGTACGAAAGCTACTGAGCAATGATATCTAGTTGGCAAGATAAGTAATATCAATAGTTTATTCAATAGAGTATTTAATTTCATTAATGAGATTCATGACTCCAACTTTGAACCTCCATCTTTTTTCCACACTCATCGTCTTAACCTCGTGAGCCATGCTCAACAAGAAGAGTTCATCAGGATCTTCCTGTATTTTCTCTAAAAACAAGAAACATTTATATATATATATAATTTTGGTTTGATACGTACCAGTAAGTAGATATTTTTTGAGTGATCTGAAGCATAAATATTTCACCAAAAATTATTTACACAAATGAGAAAGTCAACAATTTAAACTAAAATAATGTAGGTGTCATGGTACTCGTGTAGTACGTGAATCAAGATGCCAGACATCGGAACATAGTATGTGTACCAGGTTAAGGTTCAACCCTAATTTCAGATACAAATACTACAGAAGGCACTTGGCTAGAATTCAAATTCTTAACAGAACTAAAATAAGGGAAATTGGAATAAAATTATGTCCCAACCTGATACACACACTACGTTCAAAGCGTCCGCCATCTTGGTTAACATCGTACGAGAGAGCCCTTTTTTTTTCGAAATAGCGACTCAAGATGGTTTCCAGGCATCCAAGTTATGAACCGCGATTCACTTTATAAGAATCACTGCTCGACTTGACTTACCTGATGACTGCTGCAATTTTTCTAACACGAGCACTGAGCGTCATCCGGCTGCTTTTACGCTTTTTTTGCCACAGGTGGTTGAAATTGGTCTGTTTCATCTGCTAAAAAAAGAATGGCATATTCGATCATATAATAGTATAGAATTCAAAAGCATTTTTTCAGAAAAGCGAATACAACTTATTTATTGCAACAGTGCATGATATTAGGGTATTTCATAATACAGTATTATACGTCTGACAATTAAAATTTATAAAATATTTTAAAAATCATATTTTGGTGCTTACCTGATACCGCTTCCAATGTAACATCAACATCACTCGAAGATGGTGTATCCGGCATTGGCAGGTTTGATGTTGTACTGTAAATGTTTGTGCCAGAAAGACGTTATCTTGTACTTAACATTACAGTGCCTAATTTTGGTCACTTTATACAAAAGAATGTCTGAGCTACCTAAGTACTGATGCCTAAATTACACAGAACATACTGTATTAATAAGTTTAGGATTCTGAACATAGCTTATGAGAAAAAACACAGATGTTAATATGTATAAAATGTCCAAATCTATTCAACATCAATTTTGTTCGAAATATGTTCAACTATAATTTTTTACATTTCCTAATTCTTTGCCTCATATTTTTTAATATGAAATCTAATTTGGAAATTGATAAAGATACCATACTCAAAAATAATTAAAAAAATTTTGTATAAACTTTGAATAGTACATTATTTAGTGTTGGTACCCTGAAAGTTACCTTTATGCATATCCTGGTCAACTACAAAACACGATTCTGGTCTAAACTACAGCCTTTCCTTGGTAAAAAGCTTTATTATCAAAAAGATACACTGACAATATGTAGAAAATGCAGGCTCCTTGTTCAAACACCCACCTCCTCATGGCTGTAAACGGTTCAAGGAACTCTAAGGATCTCATAAGGCTCCACTCAACCCGATGACTTGCCGCCGCACCAGATTTCAATTCTGCCCTTTTCTTCTTTTCCCTCCTATATTTATCTCGAAGGTTTTTCCACTTATTCTCGCATTCTTGCCCTTTACAGAATATGAAGAGGAAACTAGTTCTTTATAGCAAAAACATAGCACTTTCTTTAAAGGCGATTCAACTAAATTAACCAATACCGATACCTCGTAATCTAGTCATCATTTAGCTTATTTACATCGATTAGGCTACTATCATTTTCAGCAGTATAAAACAATTCATTTGCTGCAAAATTGGACTAGTTCCTGACAAGCCATAGGCCAAGTCTAAAAAAATTAACTACACTAACTATTTTCCTGGTTTTTGAGTTGGCTTTTATAACTATAGGCTTCAGAGTGTAGAAGTTCAGAATTACTAGAGCGATTTGTATCATCTGTAGATAGTAGTAGTACCTGCGGGTTCGGACATGGTACCGGTACCTATCCGCCCATGGTAATTAATTTTGTGCTGGGTAGTATGGTAGATATCATTGCTACTGAGCAATGATATCTAGTTGGCAAGATTTAAAACAAAAAAAATATTCAGGAAAATTTATATTTAAGTAATATCAAGAGTTTATTCAATAGAGTATTTAATTTCATTAATGAGATTCATGACTCCAACTTTGAACCTCCATCTTCTTTCCACACTCATCGTCTTAACCTCGTGAGCCATGCTCAACAAGAAGAGTTCATCAGGATCTTCCTGTATTTTCTCTAAAAACAAGAAACATTTATATATATATATATAATTTTGGTTTGATACGTACCAGTAAGTAGATATTTTTTTGAGTGATCTGAAGCATAAATATTTCACCAAAAATTATTTACACAAATGAGAAAGTCAACAATTTAAACTAAAATAATGTAGGTGTCATGGTACTCGTGTAGTACGTGAATCAAGATGCCAGACATCGGAGAATACGCTCGCCACCGCACCTCTAATTACTCTGCGTGGGTTCGCAGGTTCGAATCCCATGCAGGGATGGTTATGTGCGAGAGGATTGCTGGACTCCTCGCCGTCGTTGGGTGGTTCACGTAACCGCTGGTCGGTTACGGCTTCCTCCACCACCAAGTCCATGCTTCCGAAAACAAACAATACAGTAAAAACTAATCCCATACCCGACTTGGAATGGTAACCGGACGAGAGGCCGTGGTTCGCCATATGGATAAGCCCTCTTATCGGCTTTCCTCTCCCCCGGGATAAATATGTAAATCCTATCCTATCCTTGTCGCCGGCTTGAGTAATTTGGGAGAAGGGATTTATGTATTTGCTTTGAGTCTACAAAACTAAGCGCAAAATGATTTTAATGCAATTTCATATGCATACTTTTCCCTTTATGAGAAAAAGTTCTAAAATTCTCCGTTCTCCATATTTAACTACATATATAATATGTTATTCTATTCCATTAAAGAGTCCAGCTGCACACTAACACAAATGTATTTCTGTAACGTTTCGTCCGACCAGAGTCAGACTTCATCAGACAAGCAGTTTACAACAATGGCAAGAAATAAATTTGGTAAATGAATTTGAAATATCAAATCAAGTGTTGAAATGAAATCAAAGGCATAGAGAAAAGATAGGAAATTAGTCTCGCGCAACCCAACTCAAATTTGTATAATATGTTATTTACACTTTTTGTGCATGAATTGTTGCATCATAATGAGATTTGGAATCTACCAATCAAAATAACACCTATGTCTTCTGGCCAGGGCTGCCAATCTAGATATTTTATATCTAGATCTAGATGTTTTTTTCAAGATCTAGATGTAAAATTTGTAACCTAGATGTTAGCTATAAAATCTAGATATTTTTTTTTTCAAGGTTCGAAGTATTATTCAGTGGGAAATAAATAAAGAGATAGTAGTAAAGTAATAGTGTATAATACTGTGATAGGTGAATTTATATTATTTCATTATTTAGAAGAATTGATGTAAGATTGATAAAACTTATTTATATTGTATTCGTCCACCGCTACCATATGTAATTAAAATATTTAAATAAAGAATTAAACATGTTTAAAACATGTGACGTTTTAATTAACGTTAAATAGAAAGGACGACGTTGGTTCGATGAGTCAGTGCTTAGTATTGCATTGTTGCCAAGGCTGCAATGGGTGAGAATAACTTCAAGTTGCTTACTCCTATACTCCAAGATTTTAAAATTATAAAGTTATTTAAATCTATAAGTGATATTGAATTTGTCTCTCTTTAAACATCAACCTATCGAAATGCCAAAGTGTATGCACTACCAGCAAAAATTTAGAAAAGATTGTCTTAAAGAATCAGCCTTTAAGTAAGGAATGGATTGTTCCTTCAGATGATAAGAACAAAGCCATTTGTAAGTTCTACAGGTGGGAATTGAATTCTAGGTTATGATGTTAGCTTCTTCGACATCCAATATTACTGTATTATGTAATACAATAAACTTTGTATGCTCCTGTTTCGTTAATTTTCATTAAATTCAATGACTTCATATCTAGATGTACTTTCTAGATGTTTTATTTTTCAATCTAGATGTTTTTCGAGGTCAATCTAGATGTTTTTAGTCAGGCAAAAGTGGCAGCCCTGCTTCTGGCTTTTGTAGTTGATTGGTAGGCTGTCTCGCTTGCAGACAACAGCCGAACCGGGTCTACTTTAGAGCTAAGATCTGAACCGCGGGCCTGAAATGTCAATCATTACGTTCGGGTCGGGTCGGGCTTCTCTATCGCTGACTCTTTTTTTTAAATGAGGCGTTTTGGTCACGAGAGACCGTGGTCTGCAAAAAAAACAGAAGTTGCCTCATGAACACGACGCCTACTGTACTAAACTCTTGCAAGGACAATTTAAAGAACTAAATAAAATATGAATTAGCGGCTCGGGCCTGCAAATCCAGTTAATTAGTCGGGTTTAATACCCATGGATCGGGCAGGGCTGGAATTTTTGGGCCCTAGTCTACTTACGACAGTTTCTCAAGACTGCGAGATACCCGTCGTAAACGTATTGTAGGCTACACGAAGAAAAATATATTTGAATCTCTAATATACTCAGGAAATATGAAGACAAATATTTTGGCCTTGCCAAAGTAAATCGAGATGACCCAGAACAGGAGTTGGCCACCACAAGTGCCAATCTTGGAGCGCGAGAGGATTTTTACGGCTCCCGGCGTCGTGAACATTTTTCCAAAACATTGTTTTAAAAAGTCAAAATAATAATAAAAAATTAGCGTATTCGGTTCGAAAAACGTGATAACATTGCTGTGTCTTATTTTATTGTCTCATCATCATAATTTTTCTTTAATTTTGCGTCATTATTGTTCGCTCGCATCACGGTGTTTGCTTTTTATTCCGTTTCAACGTCAGCAGATGTGATACGATTTCATTTTCAAGAGTCGTGGGCAGCGAATTTGGGTTTGTGGATATAATAGAGCTGAATGTACACTCTGCTGCGAAAATGTCGTTTGCCCTACATATAAAATGATTCTGAGAAGAATGAACCTCATCGATAGGCAGTTTCCCATTACGAAAAATAAAGTAGTATTTAAAAAACATTCGGTATACAAATTAAACTACGATATAGTAGGTCGGGGGAAGTCGGACCCACTAATAAGTTATTTTGAATAACTCTTCAAATAATGTCGCAGCTGCATTCGTTCTACGTTTGATTTATGCACCCACCCTCCAGCTATCTTGCCACATTTGCACATTGTTGCCATAGCAACGAATCGGAATTTACGCCCGATTTTCAGCTAATAAAATATCGGGGTAAGTTAGGCACTTTGTGGGAAAGACGGACACACACCAAAATTAACTTGATGGTGTCTAAGATTTCGGTCATAAGACTTCGGTCAACGCCTAGATGGCCCAGAATTATGTCTCTTAAATTTTTTTTAAACAGATCACTTTTCTTGCATATTAAAAAGTATGTCCGTCTTACCCCATAAAGGACATAACAGGGCAATTTTTCAAAAGAGTTTGAACAGTTTTAGGAAAACTAGAAATTTAAAATTTAGTTTGCGCTTTTTCAACTGCAATTTTTATATCTTCTTTACACGGACTACCTCTAGAAGTATTTATTTTGTAATTTCTTGGCATAACCTTGGGCGTATTTTATCCGCATATGAAAAAAAAATTGGACGGGGTAAGATGAAATTTTACGCCGGGCCTAACTTCTAAGAGACCCAGTATAAATATGGCGATGAGTGTGCTTTTGATCTTTGTTGTGAAAGGGTACTTAGTACCAAAAAATATTTATTTATAAGTTTCGATGACGACGGCCCATTGACATTTCCAACAGACTATATTGCAAAAAAATCCTCCCCCCTCCCCCACTCAAAATCCACCCTACCTCTTAAGTGACCCTGCCAACCCAAAAATGAGTACTGGCAGTTTGCTTAAGAATTTATTCGATCTAATGCAACTACTTCCAACAAATAAACAAAATAGAACCGAGTTCGCAGACTTTTCCGGCTAAAATTATCCTTCGCCACCACGGGACTCTATAATTTGACGGTTTTCTGTCCCAACAGAAACACCCTTTCCCCCAAAAGCACCGCCTTGTAAGTTGTCGAGCCTGAAATGTAAAATCTTGATCCTGTCGTTGTTCGCATGATGTCGCTCTTTCACGCGATGCGTTTTGAGCGACGAAAAAGCGCGAGGTGTCGCTAGTAGGAGGATTTTATTTTGACTGCCCATCATACCCCGGGTGTCCAAACTACCCCGACCTACTATATATAAGTAACTACAAAGTTGCAGAATGTGTCGCTAAGCGCGGAAAGCCTTGCACTGGTGGTGATTTCAAAAAAGAAGTATTTATCAATTGTTCCGAAGTTCTTTCTGAAATTCTGAGTAATGAAAATGTCATTCTCTCAAGGACTAAAAATCTGCCAGTGTCTATTGCCTCTATTCGAACGATAGAATGACGCGTTGAAGACATTTGCTACTGACGTAAAAATGCAACACGCTTTTGGTCCTTTAGCGTTGCCCCTGATGAAAGCGTGAATGCCGGTGATATTCCTCGTTTAGCGATCATCGCGGAAACTTTATTTTATCACAAAAGACAAATAGTTATTAAAAAATGTTTCTCTCGTAATAAATGAACCAAGTCAGGATTAGGCCATAATT